ACAGCCTGTTTGCTGACTTCCGGTGGGACCTGAAAGCCCATTTTTCACTCTCCCCAGGCTCCAGAGCCTTTCTAGGAGCCTGGGGAGGGTGGAAACGGCCTTCTCCCCCCCCCCCGGAGGCCCTCCGGAGGCAGAAATGGCCCATTTCCCAACTTCCGGTGGGCACGGAAAGGCCCAAAAATCAGCTGGCTGGTGTGTGCATGTTTGCCAGAGCTGTGCTAGGGCAACACTCACGTACCCACCGATATGGCTCCATGTGCCACCTGTGGCACGTGTGCCATAGGTTAGCCATCACGGGTCTAAAGAGTGACACAAACTGTGCCGCTTGGATGTCTCCCAGATTAACAAAGTCATGTGAGATAAGCATGGCTAAGTAGACTACTGGAAGAAACCATATGGCATACATGTGAGACAAGATAACCTGAAATTAATTGAACATTGCTAAATGGTAGACCTAATGAGAGGGAATATATGAAAAGTATGAAAGAACTATGGATAGACAGAAGATCTACCTCCCTGCTGAGAAAGCTAATGCTTTGACATAGGGAAGAAGCTGTTTTCACAGCTGGAGATAGACCAACTACACATTGCATCCTAGACCCAAGATCTGAAGGAACAACTAGAAGTGCAGCCAGTACCTGAACCTGGAAGGTCATTGCTATTCCCTGCATTATAGAGTGAGCAGCTAATATGAGGCATAAAACTATAGATAAACTAGCTACAGTCAAGCCTTGAGACCAGTTACCAAAGTTTAATGGGAATACGATCAGATAGCATGCTAGGAGATTCCAATGGAGCCCTCAGGACAATCCCTATTGCCACCACAACTCAAACCAATGAATTAGTATAAGACATAGTCTCTAATCCTGAAGATTCTTGGGTGCACAATCAAGAAAAATATCAGTACATACTATCTACCCACCCACCCACCCCCACCCATGGAAAATGAAATTGAAGGCTAAGATCAAGATGACTCAGAAGTTAGTTAGATGATGGAAGTATGGAAAGGAATGGAGATTGATACGACTTGGCTACTAGAAAAATATAAGGGCTTGACTCCATCTGAAGCCCTTGAGACTGCTAAACAAAGGCTTGTGACACTGGCTACTAAGCTAAGGTGATACACTAGAGAAGCAGAGGTCAAGAAGATAAATACCCTGTTCACCGAAGAACCCATCTGCAGTGCAATAACACAGTGACAGCAGAGCCACCAATAGCAGAAACTGAACAATACTAGAAGAACATACGGGAGAAAAAGAAGACACATAATATCCATGCAAAGTGGCTGCAGGAACTGAGAGCAGAGAGTTTCCTATTCCGAGGAGACAGCAGTCTCCCAGAATAGGAAGCAGTCACCATTACAGTAACAGACATCCAACAGCAAGTCAAGAACATGAAGAGCTGGAAAGCACTTGGCTTGGACATGATCCACACCTATTGACTAAAGAAACTAGTAGCAGTGAACGAACTCCTAGCAGAGCAGATGAATTAGCTTCTAGCAGCAGGCTCCCACCCAGACTGGCTAACACAAAAGACAGTGCTGATCATGAAAGATCCCATCAGGGAATAGCGCCATCAAACTACGGGCCAGTAACCTGACTCCCAACAACATGGAAAGTCCTGTCAGGCATCATAGCTGCCAAGCTACATAGCCATACGGGCCAGTCCATGAGCAACAGTTCAGAAGGGCATTGGGAACAACATTAGAGGCTCAAAACACCAGTTACTCATAGATAGAGCAGTTGCCTAAGAATCAAGGTCTGTACCAGTGATGGCAAACCTATAACATTCGTGCCAAAGGTGACATGCCACAACATTTTGGGTGACATGCCAGTATTCACTAACACCCAACAACTATTCTTGAAAGTACTCCCTGTTCTTATGCAAGTTTAATGGCTAGATTAATTGATTAATTTTTTTAAAATTTATAATAATAATTCAAAACCAGCTTTTAAAGATGACTGAATGAAAAGCATACATTGTTTGTTTCTTTCTTGTGTGCCTATTTCAGTTTCTGATGTGTTATTAGAATGGAGGATAAAATGTTTCTGATGATATTTATATTTATTGCACTACCTTTTCAGAATAGCCAATAGGAGCTATATTCAGTGGATAAGCTTAACATTTATTTAATTAAATTGTTTAATAATCACATCAACAGAAGTGTTGAACTTCACCAACAATGTATTTTGAAAGTATAAGATTTTGCTTGTTCAAAGAAGGATAATATGCTTAAAAGGTGTGAAACTCCCTGGCTTTATTGACATTGCTTAATAATATCAAGCAGTTTCTCAGATATATTAATTCATTTCTGTGCCCCAGTTCTTTTCTGTTCTAGTCCAAATGACTTTTCCCCTACTTCTACTATCAGCTATCACTGCAGGGTGTCTGTTTCAAAATTCCCAGAAGCCCTAATTAGTAATGAAGATGTTAGTGACATGAATGCTCCTAGCAACAGTTCTTCAGCTCTCCTCGGTGAGCAATATGTAGGATTTCACTGAATCAAAGCTGGCATATAACATATTAGGCCATTAACGATATATTTAATAGCACAACTTGTGGACTGTTTTTAACAACAATCTCAACAGATTTCACAATCAAATCATTGCAGACTGGTGGATTACAGTGTGCCCAGTCACATTTCACAATAGTGTGAGGGGGGTGGAGAAAGCAGTTGCATAAAAGTGATTGTGATTTTCAATTACTACATCGACTGTGGATTCTAACAGGTTCTTCTGTTGTAGTAAAAGAAAAAGAAGAAGGTAATTCACTTTCCCTAAATTGAGTGTTCCTGCAGTGGATTGAGGAAATATTGGGAGAGGATTTTGTTGAAGATGAAAACAGAGAATTACTTAACATGCAAAACTGTAGGGCGAGATATGTGTGTATGCAGGAGTGTGGGTGTTAAAGCTATCCTGCATTTGAAGTGCTCCTGATTCATATTACGATTTCTGTGGCTGAGTCACGGCAGACAGAAGACCAGAGAAGTCATGTGACCAAGCATGTGAATCACCCAAACAGCAGGAATACAAAGTGGCGGTGAAGCACTGTACAGAAGCCCATGTTTTCTCTCTGCCAATATCCTCCCACTCACTCCTCAGAAGCATGTCAGGCTGAAATCGATTGCATCAAAATTTAAAGTCTTCTCCGTAGAACCGCTTCTTCTTTACAAGTCTTTAGTGCGACACTTCCAACAGAACCAAGTAGAGTAGTTCGGTGTGGTTGTATAAGCAGGGATTGAAATTATAGCATTGCTTGACACGACACTCTTAGGCTGCTCGCAGCAAACATTTCTTTGTGGATTCAAGTGTTTGATCTGCTTGGCTGTATAACTGTGGTGGTTGCCAGTCTTGTTTTCTGTGTCTGTAGGTTTCATAAGTGTTTGCTCCCATATATATTGCTTCCTTCCATATGAGATAAAATGTAACATGTGAACTTCTAAAGATAGAAAAATGACGTTGACAGAGGAAGTTGGTCTGGGAGGAAATAAATGAACGATTCAGTCACTATAGGGTAATTCTTTAAGGAGTGATGATGGGGAAACCAAACAGCAGGGGTATCCAGTGGAAGCCTTAGATTGGGGTAATAGATCTGATACAGAGTGCATTTTTAAATGTGGCTTGCCCTGAATAGTTTTTTGAGATTTGATTTGCCTTTGATTAAAGCAATGAGGTAATATGCTTCAAAAAAGTGTGGAAAGATTTTAAGAGTATGAAAGTTACTCGACAGCTTTTAAACAAAATAACATTTAAATTGTTATTTAAAATAAGAGACATTTTATAAATTAGCTGCTGACCAATATGAATGTAAATAGCTTTCAAATACCAATTGTACAGGTTTTATTTGTCGCAGTGATTATCTACCTGGTGTGACTACAGATCAAATAAACTGGATTTTTGATTTGTGACTTTCTCACTACTTATTTTTATTAGTGGTACCTATAAGTATTCAAATTGAAAAGATGAAAAGAGTTTGGAAAATATGTTCTTAGGAAAATGTATTTAAAATGTAAAATTCCTGATGTAAATTTTATGTATCAATTTTGATGCCAGATATCTGGCTACACCTAGGTTTGGGCACTTCCATGTGATGTCTTTGTGTTACTCCCAGAACCTCTTTGCCTTCCAGTGTTTCCTTGTTGGTGTCCTCTAGGTAGCTGAATTGTCTTACTTTTGTCTATGGAGATTCTCAGTCATCCAGGTCATGGTTGTCCCAAAGGTGCTTTTTCAACAGGCAACTGAACTTTTTGGTTTTTCTTTGAAAATGTTTTGCTTCTCGTCCAAGAGAAGCAACTTCAACTTACTGTCTTACTTTTGATTCACCTGCAATTTCAAAGGTCCTGCTCTGAAGCTCATCTTCAGCTGGAGATCTCAAGAATGAGAAAATATGCCATTTTTTCATTAAGGGGAACTCTTTGGTCCTATCCTTCCTCACTTTAATGTGTGAGTGAAACTCTGAGTAAGAGTCATCCAAGAAGGCTTGAAAAGAAAATGCTGGCCTAGTAGCTTCATAGCTTCTTTTTGGCAATCAAGGCAAAATGAGGTAGCAGATTGACAAGATATAGTTAGTTTTTAACCTTCTCTTCACATCTGTAAAGAAAGAAGCTGCTTGGATTATTTTTCTCGCTTTGAGTGAATTTTGGTTGCTATAGGAGCTGTCACACCTTGGATTTCTGATTATGTTTATAGACTGAAATTCTGAATAAATAAAAAATTCTGATGAAAATAATTTTAAGTATTTAAAGAGCACACATCTACTGCTTATAAATTTATGGCTAAATGAGGACCCGGATTGTGGGGGCAATAAACTGACTTTGTATAAAAAAGAACACCGCTTGGGGGGGCCGAAAGCCCTACTAAGCAGGCATATACAAAAGTATGAAGGCTATTGCTTAACGCATTGTAAGCCGCCCTGAGTCTCTGGAGAAGGGCGGCATATAAATCGAACCAATAAATAAATAAATAAATAAATAAATAACCATTCTTTTTCCTTTTTTACAGAAAAACTATGGAAAGGCAGATGAAGACTGTAGGCATGGTATGAACATTAAATTGTTTCTTGAAATTTCTAAACATTAAGAAATGATTCTGCATTTATCTGCAAGTGAAATAGAATTGTCCAATTATGGGTCTTGTCTGAAATGCTTGCTTGGCTTACAGTTTTGCCCCAGGATCAGATTTCTTTTATCTGACCATTGTTTTCATAGTAGCTCTTCCTCCTGTTCCTCAAACTTATTCTTTCTACCAATTACAATAATTGACATTTGCACAGATGGAGGTAATCTGTTAGAAATAATATTGTTAATAGAATGAAATAAAAATGGATGTTAAATGCAAGACTAAGCCTGAGAATTAAAGACCATTCTTGCTTTAATGTGCTATTTCCTAAACATTTAAATATCATTAATCCCCCAAAATATTATTGTAAAATAATTAATAGGTGTTACTATGCAAAATTATCCCTTTCAAATGTGCAATTTAAATTAATTTTTGTTATTTGCTACTAGAAAGGAGACAAATATGAGATATAATCTATTATTTGTGTTCAAATCTCTGTGTTTTTAGACTGGGGAAATTAGTCTTCGTTTCTTATTTCATTTAATCCTAGATGTAATTGATACCTGTAGCACCTATAATTGCTTGTTCTTTACAAAGTACGAATAGTTTTTCTAAACTAGAGATACACAAATGCAGTTTGTCTAAACTGTATAGTTTTTTCTATACTAAAGGGATACAATTTTTCTGAACTGAGGTCTGCACTTTGTCTTTGAATAACAGTGTATCTGGAGCCACACTCTTACCAAATGGTGGGTGAATAAGTGACATGGGCTCTTTTTCTGGAAATAAGAATTGGGAAAGGTCAGATTGAATGACAGATGACCAGATTAGCTGTTTTTGAGAAGAATGTTGATGGATGATGGAAGGAAATCTGTGGAGCGATTGGAGGCACAAGGCTCAGGATTGAAGCGATTGGAGCGATTGGAGGCACAAGGCACCAGGCCATGGTTTTGGCTTGGATGTCTGTAGGGAGAAGAAGGAGTGCATATAGAGGTAGTCTTTGATTTATGACCACAATTAAGTCCAAATCTTCCATTCCTAACAACAGATACTTGTCGAGTGAGTTTTGTCCCATTTTACGATCTTTCTAGCCACAGTTGTTAAATGAATCACTGTAGTTGTTAAATTAGGTTATTAAGTGAGTCTGGCTTCCCCATTGACTTTGCTTGTCAAAAGGTTGCAAAAAGTGATCACATGACCCTGGGACACAGCAATGATCATAAATACATGCCAGTTGCCAAACATCTGAATTTTGATCACATGACCATGGGGATGTTGCAATGATTGAAGTGTCAAAAGCAGTCATAAGTCACTTTTTCAGTGTCATTGTATCTTTGAACAGTCACTAAACAAATGATTGTAAGTTGAGGACTACCTGTATACATCTGTGGTTAATACATGTATTTCAGCACATTCTTTACATTCATTTAAAGGTTATTAACATTATTAATTCTCTCCATCTTATGCGATTACATGTAAAAGCACCTCAATTAGAATCTAATCTTCTATTAGATTCAATACTAGTTCTCTCTCCAAAACTTAATTGTAGTACGAAAAAGAGGTCTAAGCCAGTCCACTTCAAAGGCAACTCTGATAATATTCCCCTTCCAGCTTCAGATTTTCAAAAAGTCTTTATTCTCATAAATGAACACTAGCAGTCAAGCCTGTGCATGTAGGGGCCACAGGCCATATTAAGTGCTGCGTTGAATTTAAGTACTTATATTTGTGGATATCACTTGTTCTAAAATGCATACTTATGTAAAAGTATTCTCATTCTAAATTGGTTATCTTCTTTAATTTGAATGAATAATGGATAGTGAATTACGTGAATGTAGCCAAAGTGTCATGGCCTCAAAAGGCGATCCAATTAATATAATCCAGGATCCATATTTCCAAACATTGTAAACATTGGTAATTCTTCATACTGTACATAACATTAGATTAGCTATGAAAAGGTGTGCGTGAATATTTGGATCACTTCCTTATTTTTCCAAAATGTATAACTGGGAACAGCTCAGTAGTCTCCATGCACTCAGTGGTCAATAGCGGCTTCAGATTCAACATAACAGTTGTGGCCACCTAGATACTTATTTGGAGATAGGTAAATTCATAAGAGTCGGGTGAAGTCAACTGCCTCATACATTCTCAAAATATAAAGAGCTATCTATCTGGAAAACTAAATTTTACTCATTTAATTTTATTTTATTAATTATATTTATATACCGCCCTTCTCCCGAAGGATTCAGGGCGGTGAACAGCCAAGATCAAATACATAAATATAAAAATTAAAAACAATTTAAAACCAGATTAAATACTTTGGCCCACAATTAAAAACATCCCATTAAACTCCAATTTAAAATTTAAAACCATTAAAATTAGGCTAGCCTGGCTTGCTGAAATAACAAAGTCTTCAGGGCACAGCAGAAGGTGCGCAAGTCCGGGATCCTCCGTACCTCCGGGGGCAGCTTTTTCCAGAGGGCAGGAGCCCCCACTGAGAAGGCTCTCCCCCGGGGGGTCGCCAGTCGACATTGTCTGACCGACGGCACCCCGAGGAGCCCCACCCTGTGGGATCGTACTGGCCGGTGGGAGGCTGTCGGTAGCAGAAGGTGGTCCCATAAGTACCCAGGTCCTAAGCCATGGAATGCTTTAAAGATGTTAATTAACATCTTGAATCGCACCCGGAAGACCACTGGGAGCCAATGCACCTTGGGCAGGAGAGGAGTTACATGGGAGCGCCCCGCCGCTCCCATAATCACCCGCGTGGCCGCATTTTGGACCAGCTGGAGCCTTTGGATGCTCTTCAAGGGGAGCCCCATGTAGAGAGCATTGCAGTAGTCCAGTTGGGAAGTGACGAGGGCATGAGTGACCGTGCGCAGGGAGTCCCGATCCAGAAAGGGACGCAACTGGCGGATCAGGCGAACCTGATAAAAAGCCCCCCTGGCCATGGCCGTCATATGCTCTTCTAAAGACAGCTGCGCGTCCAGGAGGACACCCAAGTTGTGAGCCCTCTCCGTGGGGGCCAATGACTCGCCCCCAATAGCCAGCAATGCACCAGCTGGCTATATCGGGATGCCGGAAGCCACAGCCACTCAGTCTTGGAGGGGTTGAGTCGGAGTCTGTTTCTCCCCATCCAGACCTGCATGGCCTCCAGGCACCGGGATATCACTTCAAGGGCATCATTGGGGTGATCTGGGGTGGAGATGTACAGCTGAGTGTCATTAGCGTACTGATGGAACTGCACCCCACGGATGATCTCACCCAGCGGCTTCACATAAATGTTGAACAGAAGGGGCGAGAGGACCGACCCCTGTGGCACCCCACACATAAGGCGCCTCGAGGACGACCTCTGCCCCCCTTCCAACACAAACTGCGACCGGTCAGAGAGAAAGGAGAACCACCGTAATACGGTGCTCTCAACGCCCAGCCCCTCCAGCTGGCGCAGCATGACACCATGGTCGATGGTATCAAAAGCCGCTGAAAGATCTAATAGGACCAGGACACAGGAACAACCCCTGTCCCGAGCCCTCCAGAGATCATCAACCAATGCGACCAATGCCGTTTCCATGCTGTACCCAGGCCTGAAACCGGACTGGAACAGGTCTAGATAGACAGCGTCATCCAGGTGCTGGGGAAGCTGTCGCGCAACCACACTCTCAACAACCTTCGACACAAAGCGAAGGTTGGAGACTGGACGGTAATTCGCCAAAACAGCCGGATCCAGAGATAATTTAATAATTTTACATTATTAAAAGGGCTATAGTTCACTTCATATTGTGACTTCTGTTGTCTGATGTGGCAGAGGAGTGTGTCTATATAGTACAGCAAATAATATGGATTATCAGATTCTGTAACAGCTTTGTTTCCTATGCCATCCATCTGGTAAATTTGCAAGATTCGTTTTTCTTGCCATGTACATGTATACATCCGGACTAGACTGTATTGTTTCTCTGTGTTATATAATATATGTGGGTATATGCATAATTTTGTATTTATTTATGTATGTATGTATGCATGCATGTATGCATGTATGTATGTATGCATGTATATTTATATAGTGTATATTGAAGATGGTGACCCTTGAGAGTTGTACGTAACGAAGTTTCATTTTAATATATGCCGATTAGTTACATTCAAAGTGACAATAAAGTTATTTTAAGTCTAAGTGTATGGTATCTGCTTTTGATTGCAGTATTGGGAGAAGGACTGGACAGGGAAGGGGATACTTTCCGTGCAGTGCTTGGCTGCGTGCATCTTAAAGGGAAGCTACAGGCTGTTTCTAACGCTCTTTCTAACTCACTGATGGGTGAATCACTGGTAAGTGGCAATTGGTTCTCATTACAGTTTTTCAAATACTAGACTTTAGAGACGTAATAAGGAGACTTGACTCAATCTACTACTGCTTTGTCTTAAAATATTAACGTATTTTCATCTTTATAGATGAAGAAACGGGAACCCCAGTTTTGTCCATGAGTTTGCACTAGCAGACTGGCAGTTGTTTCATGTGATACAGGCATGGGTTTTAAATACTCTCACGTAATTTTCTCAGTATGCTAATTAGTAGAACAGAGACATATGCTTTTCCATTTTTATTGCTGTATTTTTGTCTTTTGAGATCTGGGTGGAAATAGGTTGCAAGTTTTTTCTTGAGTTTATTTTCAAAAAGAAACAGATGACTTAATCATCAAGCTTGCTTTTATTGTGACCACTATAGTAGGGCAGCCATAATTAGACCGATAAAGCTGACTGATTGCTAGATGCCAGCAAAGACATATAGTGTATGTAGACCTTTGCTGCCATCTCATGGTTGGCCAGAGTTTTGCAACCCAGACAAAGCAGAAGTAGGCTAGAATATGATTCATTTGTAGCAGGGGTGTCAAACTGGCGGCTCAAAGGCCAGATGCATCACATGCAGGCTACCTACCCCGGCTCTGCAAGGACAAAAAATGTCATGATACGCTATGTGACACGATCAAATTTGACACCTGTGATTTATAGCATCAATCCCTACTCGACCCCATCCTACCCCTACCTACTCTACCCTATAAAAACTTCGGAAGTCTGACTTGCTGTATTTTAAAGTGCTAAACTTCAATGTATTTTCAAAAACACTTTATAACCCCTCGTAGATTTCAGAATCTTCTTAGAAAACAAGACTGATCAGTAGTTGAAGCTACCACTTTGTTCTGAAGGAGGACAACAAAGTAGGGCAATAGTAGGGAATATTTTGGAGTGGGGGGAAGCAATGAGAGGTCTGTTGACTCTTTCAGAGTGTAAGCTTCCATGCTTTTGATGTGTATGGTTTATCTGAGTTCTGTTTTTGGTTTGCTATTGGCTTTTCTCTCCAAGTGTGTCTACTCCTGAAAAGCATTAGTTTACTTTTTGTGAAATTGCAAATATGGGCCTCATACATATTCTTGTTTGCAGTTTCTTGGCCACATTAATTTTAATTTGCATCTCTGAAGGCAAGCAGAAATATACTTTCTCTTGTATAGTACACTTGATTTCTCTTAATTTGCTCCAAGTTTCTTTTAATCCATTCCAATAGGTGGGGGAAATCTGCCTACCAGGTATTCATCTGGCTAGCGTCCTTAGTCTGGTCATCTTCAGCACATTAGTTTGCTGGTTTTGAGCGCCCATGCACACTTTTTATCCCCTGCTTGGGGATAAAAAAACAGCTTCTAAAGCACAGCTGAGAGGGAGCAGCAATGAGAAAAGCAGGCAAAGCAGGAGATTGCTTCACTCGCTAGCGCCTCGTTAGGGCTGAAAAAAAGCTTTGAAAAAGCTACAAGTATAAGACGCACCCAAATTTTCAGCCTCTTTTAGTGGGGGAAAGTGTGTCTTATACTCCGAAAAATACGGTAACTCGTTTTTTGCATCTGTCTTTACACAAAGGGAAAAAACAGTCCAACCTATCAAAAACAGCACCACAAAAAACAGATTAGGAACACAAGTTAAAATAGGGAAGAAAATGGTAAGTGAGCACCTGTCTACCCTAGACGAGTTCAAATCACCAGGACCAGATGGCCTACACCCCAAGGTTCTGAAGACGAGACTGGCAGACGAGATCTCAGAACCACTGAACTATATCTTTCAAAGATCCTGGAGCACCAGGGAACTGCCAGAGGACTGGAAAAGGCTGATGTAGTTCATATCTTCAAAAAAGGAAAAAAAAATAGATCCAGGAAACTACAGACCTATCAGCCTGACCTCAATACCAGGGAAGATTCTGGAAAAGATAATCAAGCAACGAATCAACCAACACCTAGAAGCAAACAAAGTAATAACCAAAAGCCAACATGGGTTTGTCAAAAACAGATCATGCCAGACTAATCTTATTGCATTCTTTGACAAGGTGACAAAATTAGTGGACCAGAGGAATACTATCAATATAATTTTCTTGGTCTTCAGTAAGGCATTTGATAAAGTAGACCATAACCTACTACTAGATGAAATAGAAAAATGTGGGTTAGACAGCATCACCACCAGATGGATTCGTAACTGGCTGACCAACTGCACTCAACATGTAGTCCTCAATGGAACTGCATCTACATGGAGAGAAATATGCAGTGGGGTACGCCAAGGCTTTGTTTTAGGCCCAGTACTCTTCAACATCTTCATCAATGATTTGGATGAGGGGATAGATGGGGAACTCAACAAATTTGCAGATGACACCAAGCTAGCAGGAATAGCCAACACTCCGGAAGATAGGCTCAAGATACAGAAGGATCTTGACAGACTTGAACATTGGGCACTATCTAACAAAATGAAATTCAGTGGTGAAAAAGTAAGTTTCTATATTTAGGGAAGAAAAACAAAATGCACAGGTACAGTATATATGGTACCACGCTCAATAGTAATAACTGCGAGAGGGATCTTGGAGTCCTAGTGAACAACCATTTAAATATGAGCCAGCAGTGTGCAGCAGCTGCCAAAAAAGCCAACAGAGTTCTAGGCTGCATAAACGGGGATAGAATCAAGATCACATGAAGTGTTAATACCACTTTATAATTGGTAAGGTCACACTTGGAATGCTGTATCCAGTTTTGGTCACCATGATGTAAAAAAGATGTGAAGACTCTAGAAAGAGTGCAGAGAAGAGCAGCAAGGATGATTAGGGGACTGGAGGCTAAGACATATGAAGAACAGTTGCAGGAACTGAATATGTCTAGTTTAATGAAAAGAAGGACCGGGGTGACATGATAGCAGTGTTCCAATATCTCAGGGGCTGCTACAAAGAAGAGGGAGTCAAGCTATTCTCCAAAGCACCTGAGGGCAGGACAAGAAGCAATGGGTGGAAACTAATCAAGGAGAGAAGCAACCTAGAACTAAGGAGAAATTTCCTGACAGAACAATTAATCAGTGGAACAACCTGCCTCCAGAAGTTGTGAATGCTCCAACACTGGAAGTTTTTAAGACGATATTGGATAACCATTTATCTGAAGTGATGTAGAGTTTCCTGCCTAGGCAGGGGATTGGACTAAAAGACCTCCAAGTTCCCTTCCAACTCTGTTATTCTGTATTCAATATGTTTGAATTTCTGTTTATATAATCAGAATCTTAAATTTGAACAGATTATATCTGTTTGTACATTAGGCTTAAGGAAAGAAAACATTTGATAACAGAAAAAACATGGTAAAAATGAATTTTATATAATAAGAATCACACTAATCTTACTATAATTGAACATAGTTGTATAGATTGCATTAATATAAACAAATAATGCAGAATTGTGCTGCAGTGTAATACATTACAAAGGTATTAGCCTGAAAGAGTGTTAAAATGCCAGCTGAATGGTTGTATGTTGGATTGATTGGAAAGTTTATTGCTTGTATTGATCTCATTGTTTTATTTTGTTGTTGTCCATTTAATAAATGGAATACTACCTGATTCTAGTCACTTTCATAGACAGAAGAAATTTTGATTAGTTCTGAAAGAAATGCACCGGGCACTAGCAAACCAGTTTTGACACTTATCTGTTTTGTAAAGCATTAGGAATATAAATCATCCAGTCTCCAAATCAAGTCATTGATTTGATTCAACAAGTTGATTTCATTTGAATTGTTAATTCAGTAAGTCAATTGGATTCGATTTGGAAAAACATGTATATTTAGCAAATGGTGAATCTCCAAGTTGATTTAGACGTATGATTCAGTCATATTACTCTTTAATCAAATCCCCATGCATCTCTATTAATCATGTTACATTGGCTGGGTTGATTAAAATTGAAAGCCAAATTTGGCAAGTGATATTATTAGTATGGCTGGAGATCCATCTAGTTTCAGTTGAACTGCATTCATTTTTAATAACTGATGATAGGTTTCATAGAAGAGCATCATCAGTAAATTTATAATTGTGTGGTTTCTCTCCAAATGTCAATTATTTTCAGAGTTAGATAATGTTGGAAAGGTCATCAAGCAGTGAACTTAACACATAAAGTAATAAAATAACTTAAGACAAACTATGGGGATTTATTGATCTCTTAAGGAAATCCAGAGAATTTCCATTGTAAATTACTTGTCTTCAGTTATCTACTTGAAATACCTACGGGCATTTTCTGGGAACTTACATTCATGTCCTCCCTTTGGTATTTTTAGAGGTTAAATAAAATATATCCCAGTATCCCAGAGATTATGTCCCTGAAACTAAGAAGACACAAATAAACACATCCTTTAATACTACAGATGTTATGATGATTCTCAGTTAAGGCTTATCCAGCCTTTATTAACTAGTTTTCTAAGTGATACCGTTTCTATGAATTGTTTGGTAAGAACTAGAGAGCAACTCAATTGCAAAATTTTGCCTTTTTTGCATCTAGAACTTTGTATACTTCAGTGTCCCTCAGAAAAGAAAATTGCTAATTATATTACCCGGGATATAGGAACTGATATTTACTAAACTTATTAATGGTACTGTGTTTTTGCTGTTTGTAACATTGTTGTGGTTTAAGGCTGTAATAAAATTACTTTATATTGAATTAGCCATAGATAGTTGATCTTATTTATATCATAATGAGAGCATGCTTATTCTTGGTTTAATTTTGGAATATATAAATTCATGGACTCCAATTTGTCAACTTTGTTTGCGTGGTTTTGGCCAGCTTTCACAACAGATTCAGTAAAATCAGATTATGGGATAGTATTGTATTGATACAGGCTATAATAACGGAATGGTGGATGCTTGAGAGCATACAGCATCTCTTGCATAGCCCAGAGGGTTGGAATGGAGCCAGTCTGAGTTGTATATGTTGCTGAAACTATCTCTGCATAGCTTCTCTAAGGTCATCTCTACTAGATATTGGAAGCAGATATAGAACAGAAAATGTATTCATGATACATGCCCCATATGATATATCAAACTTTTGCCGTAAACTGTTTGCAAGTCCTTAATCCCTAATCTCTAATATACATCAGAAATCAATTCTCAAGTAATAGATTTTTTTTTTAAAAAAAGTGTATAGTGGCTCAATTTCAGTTAGTACAAAGTCAAAGTTGTCAAAAATATTTAAATCTACATAAAAAATACTTTTTCTCGGGTTCTTTTCTTTTATTATTTTTCGTTTCTCCAAATCTAATTATAGATACAAAAACTTTCTTGGACTTTAATATTTTAGCCTCCTCTTTGTTCTTCTCCTTCCATAGAATTTCCCAAGTGCCAATTAGCCGTTCATTTCAGCTCCGGGACACCTTTTAATCCAATTCAAAATTTTCTTTTACCTGTGAGTTGGCCAGTCACTCACCCTGTACCAGCACTCCATTCAAACACCGCTCCTGCACAAAAACTTAGTCCGGTTGCCCCAGCTTCAGAGCGGTCATTTTACAATGGTCGCCAGTCCGAAGAGCTGCCTCCGACCTTCCGAGGAACTTGCCTGTTCCTCTTGGTCTTCGGAGACACCTCTCCTTCTTCACCATCCCTACAGGACGGTTCCAGTCCAAAGACCCCACGACAGAGGTTTGTCTGGCTGGATTTTCGCAGAGCTCATTGGAGCCCGCTATTTTTCCAGTCAGTCTCGCTGCGACACTTCCGGTTCCCTGCCTATGCAGACTTCTAATTTGAAATATTCATGTGTCATAATGTTATTGCTAGTTTTTTTAGATTTGCGACTGTCATTTTCATGTTTGAAAGGCGCATTTTATGAAACAAAAGGGAGAAGTACTTTCAGTAAAGTAGAAAAATTGCCTTCTTTAATTAAATTGATAGGTTATGTTTCAAACTAGTCTGTAGTCATTCCAAAGCATTCAGCCAAACGGTGCTGGAGAAAAAACACTAAAAAATTGTCTGCATCTCTTAAAACTAAACTTCTTACATGTGACTATGAAAAAAAATCTGATTGAAAAAATGTTTCAGTTTTATTTTTGTAATAGATAACAAATAAGCAGAATGTGATTATATTCTTTCTTAGCAGAATGGGATGGTAACTAAAGATCTGACGAGGCTGAAAAACCTTCTTGTTGAAACAGAGGTAAGAATATCTCTCTTGAAATAAAGGAAATTTTTTTGTATCAGACACAGTTTTTGTTTTCTCAATTTGAAGGTGACTGCCATAATTTAAGAAGCATTTTAGCGTCCTCTTTTATCTGTGGTTTTATAGCAGTTATTCACTGTAGCCTACCTTACATTTTATAGTGCAGTTATCTTGAGTATTGCTGATTTTGGTTTGCATTTTAAATATTGACAAAACAAACCTACATTGGCCTTAGTCTCATCTGCCCATTTCTTGTCTACCTTTATAGCAATAAGGATGTCAGAAACATGTGATATGTGCAAATAAGAGCTGCTTGTAATGTTTTAATGGAGGATTTAAAGTGTTAGTAAATAAGCTGGCATCATAAGATATGATGCAAACAATGCTTGTTGGAGGTCACCATAGTTGAAATTAAAAGAAGGTTGTAAAATAGCCCATAGTGGAGAATATTACTTGCAATTTCTAAAGGCACACCTTCTACTTATGATTTTCTCTGGAGAATTTTATTCTGATATCTGCCTTCTGTGATTAAATAGGTAATAACTAAGACAATGTCATTATAGAACATCATGTTAGTTCTTCAGAGTAATCTAGTTTAGTGTTCCTTCATGGAGGTCTAGTCCACCATAGAAGTCTGATATTTATTTATTTTTATACACATGGTAAATAGAAGCATATTTTAAATTGATTTTCATCTTTGTGATTGCAGGCAGCAGCTTGTAAAATACCCTCGGTACATCATGTGGAAGAGGTGGAAGAAGGTACACTTCAAAATATTAATGTCTTAATTTAAGTAAACATTGGAATTGCTAATTAGTTGGTTGTCCTTGATGGTGGCTCTTCCTCAGGGGTAGATTCTACTTACCTTTACTACTGGTTGGCAACGGGATCAGGATTGTGTGCTCGCAATCACTTCTGATGATGTCAAGGTCAGTGGGCGGAGCCTCCCACCGGTTTTACTACCAGTTCTATAGAACCAGTCTGAATCAGGGGCAACCCACCACTGCTCCTCCTCCTTTTCCTCCTGGCTGCTCCAGCATCCTGGCTGGAAAAGTAGAAAAAGTACGTTTGTCTTACCATTCTGAATCTGACAAATAAAAAAAGATTAATCGGGTTAGGAACGGAATTAAAATTGATTCAGTTCTGAATCACACTCATGGATGGAGGATTCCTCTGGTTCTGAGGGGATGCCCTGCAGGGGTTTCACCTGGAGTCATCAGAAAAGCTGATTTATCACTGGGACTTCTTAGATTCTTAAAAGTAAGGTTTGAAACATTACCATTAGATGGGATTCTGCATATGTGAGAAATAGCCACAATAGAACGTTTTCCTTATTTGTTGGTGTATTTATATTTACAGATAGTCCTCGACATACAACCATTCATTTAGTGACCTTTCAAAGTTACTGCGGCACTGACAAAAGTGACTTATGACCGTTTTTCACTCTTAACAACCATTACAAAATCTCTATGGTCACATGATCAAAAGTTTGAAAGCTTGGCAACTGGTTTATAATTATGATGGTTGCAGTATGCTGGAGTCATGTGATCACCTTTTGCAATCTTCTGACAAGCAAAGTCACTGGGGAAGCCAGATTCAATTTACAACCATCTTAATAACAATGCAGTGATTCACTTTTCAACCGTGGCAAGAAAGGTCATCACATGGGGCAAAACTCATTTAACAACTGTCTCATTTAGCAACAGAAACCTTGGGCTCAATTGCAATCATAAGTCGAGGACTACCTGTATTTAAAACAATATGCTTCTCTCTTTTTTTCTATGAAATGAGCTCAAATATGTTTATTTAAAAACTAATAAAATGCATAATGTATCAATGTTTAATAGATATTCAGAATATATGAAACTAAAACAATTTCTCTAGTGTAGATAGGAAATAAAAGCGACATAGAAAAATAAATGGTTTTTAATATGGCTTCCAATCCAGAGCAATTAAGTGGTAATCTTCCCTGCTTCTGGAATTGGTTTCTGTATACTGTAAAATTTGTGGAAATTGTACCCTTTTCTGAAGTGCAATTCACTTTTGAATATATGCTTCAGGAAATGTAATGCTGATCAAGCTAATCTGCCAGGGTGTCCTTTTGGTGTAAGTGATTTCTGATTTATATAAGAAAATGATAGACAAATATTCATGGAAAATAATACAGCTAATTTTTGAAACTCCCTCTGAGTCACTTTCCTTTAGGTAACACTTGGTAGATATTATTTCTAGTGAGGATCAATTGTTTCCCTTTGCTTGGAATACAGTGATAACTTGTCTGTAATTAATTATATGGTTTCAAGCTGGATATCCTTTGTATCAGGAATTAAAGAATAGCAGGAACCAAAAAAATAACTTGCATTTTATCATCATGTGGCAGGATGTCATGATGGCTGGCAATTTCGCCCCCCACCCCGGGGAGTCACAAGTAGTGAAGAATACACATTATGCAAAAGGTAAAAGAATGCATTTTTTCAATATTTCTCAGTTTGAAAGCATTAGTAAGGGAGAGAGATGAAACTGAAATTGGTAAACAAAATTATGTTTGATATTTGGGAATCTTCAAAAGAAATCAGAAATTATTTGATCTCGTATTCATTTTCTAATATGTAGGCATCATTTAGGAAGTAAGAAAGGTATTTGTGAATGAATAAAAAAGAACAAAATCACAGAGGCATATTCACATTCAAGGATAGGATGTAGTTTTGGATAAACTTAATGTATTGTTAATATATCATAAATCAAAAACAAAATGTCTGGTCTGCAGGCTAGGGAATAAAGAATGATGGATGCCACTTATGTCAGTTTCAACCTATTTCACAGCAAATTGGGATTCTTTGTGGAAAAGTGAAGGAGAACTGATCCTTTTGACTACATCTGTACTTTGGATTCAGACCAGATTTTTTTGTGGATGGCAGTATATTTATGAAATACTTCCTGGAAAAAGAGGGGAGAAAGAATTTATGATGACTCTTCTTCTTCTGCATCTGAAAAATGTTTTTAGCAGAGTTTTGGGGAGTAAATGATGGTTATCTACGTTCTGCCCCAATGCCCAAAGGCTCTGCGGATTTGGATGGAGAAGAACCATTTCTGACTCAATCCTAAAAAGACCCTACTGTAGATGTTACTACTTTGGGGCTATTTTGATCTGAGGATTTTCCATTTTTCCATTTGGATGGGGTAGCACTTTCCCATTCAAAGTTTATGTATAATGCAGAAGTCTTCCTGGTCTCACAGATCCTGCTTGATAAGATGGTGGCAGCTGGGTCAGGAAGGTCTTTGCACAGCTTCATCTCATGTGCCTGTTGTACCTTTTCCTACCTAGAGACCCTTCAGACAGTCAGTTTTGCCCTAGTCATCTCACAGCTCGATTACTGCTACATATTTTACATGAGGCTACCCTTGAAGGACACACAGAAGCTTTGACTGGTGCAGAATACAGTGGCACAGACAATGATGGGCATTCCTCAGTATGCCCATTTGACACTCCTGTTTTATGAATTGTACTGGTTGCCAGATTGCTTCTGGTGTGATTCAAGAGGTTGGTTATGACCTATAAAAGTCTATATAACATAGGGTTCCTTGAAGGTAATACAGAAGAGTGGTCCCAGAAATTGGAGAATGCTAGTCTTCTATTTGTAGAAGTTGAAAACTGGGTGTTACTGGAATTGTAGTTTATTGACAATGCATATTGGATATAAGTATAGAATTAGGTAAAGACATTCCCCTCTGCAGCCTAATACCTAAGCTACCCATATTTGTTTAAAAAATGAGAAAACTAGCTATATTACAGACAATATTCTTAGGCATAGGTTTTGGGTAGCTAAGTGAGTAATTACAACATTAATGGAAGTTATTGTATGGAAATTATTAAATCTTTATATTATTCAGTAATTTCAGATGATTTTTCAGTTTCTTTATGCATACATTCTTTTAAAATATGTTCAGTTGTCCAAATATTTGTGCATTCCAGGATTCTTATGAATTATTAGATCAGCAGGATAAAAGGGGAAAGAATCTTACTTAATTTGAAGATTACTGTATAGCAAGTTGAGAGAATTGGTTAACATCTTAGAAAACAAGATCATGAACTAAAATGACTTGAACATTGGGCAAAATCCAGTAGGATTATGTGAGGATCCCACAATAGGATAGGAAAAATGAAATGTACTGTATAGGAAGGGGAGGCATGATTTGGCAGCAGAGCACTTGGGAAATATTTAGGGTCTATGAATCATCAGCTGCATAATGGGAGCATAATGTGGGCTACCTTAACAGAAACACTGGGTTCCGAAGCAGGAGGAAATACTTCTATTTACTCTGCACTGACACTCTACATTAAGTCTTCGGTCTGCATTTTAAAAATTCCATGGAAAAATTGGTACAGGTTCAGAGGAGGTCCACCAGGTTGAGAGATTTGAAAAGCAAGCCCTATAAAGGATCATTAAAAGAGCTGGGTATATTTCCTTGACAGAAAAGGAGACCAATGGGAATTCTGATGGTCTATAAATGTATTAAAAACTGTTATGTCCACATGGGATGAACCTGATCCCTGTTAAATCTGAGGGCAGGACAATGATTTGGATAATTTCAATAGGTTGAAATAAAAAAAAAAGATTTTCTCTGAAAATTAGGAGGAAATTTTATATAATAAAAACTGTGAAGCACTAAAATAGTCTGCCTAGAACAGTGTTTCCCAAACTTGGGAACTTCAAGATGTATGGACTTCAACTCCCAAAATCCCACAGCCAGCCATGCTGGATGGGGAATTCTGGGAGTTGAAGTCCACTCTTCTTAAAGTTCCCAAGTTTGGGAAACACTGGCCTAAAACAGCGATAATTTCTCATTGAAGATTTTCAAAGACACTAAAAAGCCACGTGGCAAGGTTAGGTTAGTAGATTTCTTTATGGAAGAAAGTAGAGTAGAAGACCCATTTCTACACATATATCTCAAGCATATGTAAAATCTTACTGTTCTAGGGTTAGAACTTCCAAGGTGAAATTTTTTGGAATACCCTGTTTCTCCTCTGGGCCATGTTTGTTTTAGAATTGGTCTCTGGAAGTTAGTGACTTCCTAGACTTCCAGGCACCGACCATCCATATATATTTTTATTTACTGTTCTTCATCCTTGAGAGAAAGTTTCAACTAGACACTGGGGGGGAATTATTTAATATTTTTCACTGACCTTGTGTTGGAGTCTCTCCACTATCTTTTGGTATTTTGGCAAATGTTATGGCTATGAACCAGCCATTGATTTCAACAATCAACGTGTAAACATGTTTTAAACTCTTTTTTTGAAACCAATATGACATAAAAGACCTTTGGCTGGTGTCATGACACTGTTTATCACATCAGTTTTCTTTTTTAATGTTAAGGAGCTGCAAGTCAAATATCTGCTGCTGCCAGAAGGATGAAAGGCAGCAAGGAATTAGTTGAAATAGCTCCCTTTTTTTGGGAGAGGGGGAGGGGGGCTTCTGAGCGAAGTTTCTTTTAATCTGTGTTTGAGATAATAAAAGGATTTTCTTTTATCCTCTTAACTAGTAAGCTTAGAGGCATATTGGATGGTGATGGTATTTGGCCCTTCAGTTAGCGCCTACTGGCTTTGTGTGTGGTAATTCATGTTTATTATGCTTGTACCACACTGATTTGGTTTCCCTGCAGATGGTATCTTTCTCCTAGAATAAGCTGCAGCCATCAAAAAAAGCCTTTAGTGAAGAATGTAGCTCAGAGGCACGCATGTACAATTATAGACACCATACATGATCTCTCACTCTGATTGCTAGCCTTTGAGGGTTGCTGGATTTCTTTTTAAAGACACTCCTGCACCTTTAATAGCAGCCCAGTATGCAGAAACTAAACCAGGGAATCATTTCCTTGCATGGTAATAAAATACAAGGATAATCTCTTGTTTAGTGTTTTTATGTCATAGTTTGCATTCCTCAACAAGGAATTGAATGATGGTCCATCCCTCCTCCCCCTCCCCCATCTCAAAGTGCTCCAGCTAGGCAAATGTGACAGTTTGTCCCTTATTTTCCTGTAATAAGTGATTCTAAAAGGCTGGATTGTAACCTCATGAAGCTGTTAATGAAATGCTAAATACTGCTACCTGGTGTTAATTAAAGTATAACTATTGCTTCTCCCATTTTTACATTTACAAGCTAATGTTTAAGCTTGCTTCCAGTTTACTGATCATTTTTGTCCTACAATTTGAGAGACCTCAACTGTAATATCCACAATTATCCACAAATCTCGATGAAGGATGTGCACAGTGTATATATTTGTTTAACCACATATATTCATTTGCAGTAGAACACAATCTGAATTCTTACCTGTAATTGCTTTGTTTGTAAGATCAACAGACTTTGTAGTGTCTGTTTAATTTGTAACTATCCTATTGATAAACCTGCTTGATAGATGATAGATTTGCATAAGTATCCTGAAGTTTTAAAATGTTATTGTGGCTTGAGTTTAGAAGTCTGTACAAAGACATTTTGTGATGGTGCTTTTAGATAAATTCTCTCCCCCCCCCACCCCAATTCAGATGGTATATTTAAGTTGACTTGAAAACCAACACATATTTGAGCTTTTTAAAATGTATATTAAAAATGTTATTTAGTCATTTTAAAACAAATCTGCATTTTCTGATTGTTAACAATTTTATCTTGCCTTTCCACTAAGACTACCTAGTTATATCATTTAGAATTATAATTAAAACATATAAATACATAAAAACAAAAAGTACAGCAATATTCTTATTAATAAATTATCCAAATTAAGTGAATCACTTTTACTCAGTGACAGGTGTATTATAACTCCCATATAAGGCATAAAGAAATTGCAGTATAGCAGTGCCTGGAGACCTAGCAATTAACTTCTGGGTTCTTAGAATCACAGGGTTGGAAAGGATCAAGACCCCAACTCCTGTTCAGTGCAGGAATCCCAAGAACAGATGGACAGATGCCTGTGTAGGAGTGCATGTCCATGCCTTGGTGATTGGTTCCACTGCTGAATTGCTCTTATTGCTGTCTGTGCCAAAACAAAACGTATTGCAGGCTCTAAATAGTTCATAAATTACACTTCCAGGTGGTAAGCTTTTATGAAGCAATTCCTATACTGGCAACAGAATTGGTGGGAAAATTAGTTTAATTATACAAATAAATCCAAATATAGCCTTGGGTGCATAAAGTAGTGGGGGGGGGGAATGCAGCCATTTGAATTATTTACTGACTGTACCAATATGAATCTGAAATAAGCAGAAAAGGCCACAAGGTGTCACTAAGAATCTAGAAAACTGGGAAGATCATATACTGATTTCCTTCTGTCTTCCTCCCTCTTTCCTTCCCTCCCCCCTGCCGCCCCCCCCCCCACCATATCCATTTGAAAAACATTTCCCTTGTAGTACCCCTGTGAGTTTAGGATGTATGCTTTTGATACTAAAATGTGCTTTTGGACAATTCTGTATATTTTATGATTAAGATAAAAGAGACATACTATTTCCTGAATAAACGAACATTTGAGGGTGGGGAGGTTCGTTCTCCGAGCTTGTGGGTTGGTTTCCGAACGTTTCATTACCAGGCTAAGTAAGATCTTCAGTGGAGTTTAGGGGATATTTGCCACCATCGCAAACTAACATTTGTCAATTTAGGCCTTTCCTTAAATATTCTGGGATAAATTATACTGTAGCCAGGATCTAAATGTTTAGTTTGACCGGCATATCCAGATTTTTTTCTGCCAACTTCTTACCTTGCAACAGCTTTGCAACAGGTGTAACTGTAAGTGGATCGATTGAGCTGCACCTTTTGCAAATCGGGTTATAATTAACAGTTTTAGTTAGGTGTGGTTGGGAAATTCAGAACTCAAGACTCAAAAAGTTATGTGCTTGGAGGCTATTTCAAATGGGGAATTTAAGGAATGGTTTTCTTCTCCATTTTATGCAGATTTTTAGAGCAAGGAATTTGCAGATACGGTGCACAGTGTACTTCAGCACATTCCCAGGACGAGCTGACCGAATGGCAGAAACGATACGCTTCCCGCTTGATAAAGTTAAAACAACAAAAAGAAAACAAGCAATGTTTGGGAAGTTACATGGAATCCTTAATTGAAAAATGGATGAATTCATTATCTCCTGAGAAAGTGGTAAGAATAAATGCATCTATCAGTGTTCATACTTAAAATTAGGAGCTTGATTTTGACACTGTCTGCTAGATTTTTAACACCTTCAAAATATTATTTATATTATGCAGGATCCTATTTCTGTTAATAAAAAATGACAAACCAATTCTGATTCTTTCATATGAAATTGAAAACTTCATGTTTTTGTGAAATATTTGTTATATTTCACTCTTAGTTTTATGTTTCCATCTACATCCATGTAGATGTTTCCAGATGTTTTTTTAAAAAATTGATATAGGGCCACAGAATGAGTCTATATGATGTTATCTTCCATTTGTAACTATTCTTATTTCGACACTGCTACTTCTGTATTTTTTCTTTTTTCTTACCACAGAAAAATCCATTATGGATTTTGATAGTGCTAGGTAGGAGCCTTACATCTGAAAACATAGATTCCTGTCAAGAATGTAATGATACAGTGAATTGTACAATATTAACCTGCTTCTAGACTAGGTCAGGAATGTACCTAAAAAAACGTGGAGAAAATGGTGTATAATTTTTGCTACCATGATTTTATTGATTCTCACCTTTAGAGTTAGTTTGCATATCCAGTTACATATTTGATTTTACATAAATATAAAATGGTAGATAGGAAGGACATGAACCAGTCCTATAGATATAAATAGGATTTACTGTACATCCATACCATTAAAACCATTTTGACTTCTCTCTGACACAAAGGAGATTTCTGCCCTGTATTTCTGAAATCTCTGATGGAATCAATCAAAATGGTAGATTCTGAGTTAAATATAATTCTGACTCTAATGATGAGTTGGAGATGCTAATCATGCCAGAGGCCTATTGAAATATAGTCATTTTTGTGCTACTCAGTTTATGGGCAGCTTCATTTCCCCAAGTATATATATAATCTCTATTACTCCAACAGTCTTTTTGTTATTCATTATGTATGTGAATACTGTACTTCTTGAGCTGTATGTCTTTTGTATCATATCCTAAATAAAATCCTACAGAGCCTGATAGTATGTCACCACAGAATTTAATTGTAGGGTTTTTGCATGCAGCTTAAAAATTATGTGATTGAAACAACTGTGACTCTTGTGTGTATGTCTTCCATGGAAGTTAAGGTGCTGTATTAGATTGATGCAGCCCTCTCTTCTAGTTTTATTTCAGATGCCCATTAAGAAACATTGAGTGTTTTCTCAATTGTTTGGATGTACTGTATGTAACCTTGGACCAGTCACTCTCTCTAAACCCTAGAAAGGAGGTAAAGCAAAACACCTCCAAAATCTTGCTGAGAAAACTACAGGGACTTTGTCGTCCGGAGTCAGGACTGGCTTGAAGGCCCACAAAATAAAAATATGTGTGAATCATGCATGGAGACTTGCATTAACGGACGTTTGCATAAAATATTTCATCTTGATGTGTTTCAAGGACAGATTTTTTTTTTTTTGCAAAATGTCTCATTTCAAGTTTGAAACTTATTTCAAGTGCAAAACAGACTGTTTCAAGTTGAAAATGCTTCCAGAAATGTTTGAAAAAAATATTGCACTGAGAATAAATTATAATATAGTATAACTATAATAAAATATTAGTTGATAAACTGACCATTCACTCATATTGGTCTTACTAATGTATAGGTCTTCAGTTAAACCCAGAATTATTTTTCCAGCACTATTATTATCCTATGAAATTTCTAACACTGCTTTTTCTCTAGCTCAGTGAATGTCTTGATGGAGTAAGAGTTGAACATAACCCTGAATTATCAGTTACTGTCACCACCAAAAAATCACACCAGATGTGGACTTTTGCTCTTACATGTAAGGTAGGATTCTGTCTTTTTTTAAAAAAAAAATCAGTTCATTGCTGGAACATAAATATAGATACTTAACCCTAAGATTTTAAACAACTTCTCTTTTAGAATTTGCATATTCTTGGGGCTACTATATGCCAAATTTAGTTTGTGGGATAAAAACTTGCAATGGAAAAAACTCAACCCACATTTAACATTTACCTGAATATCTACATTCAGTTACTGCTGAGATTTAAGAAAAATATCTAAATATCTATATATTCATAGATTTTTTTTGGTGATTTGGGCTTGCTTTGCCTTTGCCTCCTATTTATAAAGCAGAACCTTGTTAAATGGTTTAGAATTCAGCTGAATGCTGAAAATAGATTTCATTAGGCCATGGAGACATCAGCGGAGCCAAGAATCATGAACTAATGCAGTATAGCACTGAAGACAGTCATTTTGAAGGTGGTTTGGGGTAACCTTGGCTTCTCCATGTTTCTGGGCCATTTTACAGATCAGTATAAAATCCCTTCATTTATGGGAAGAACATTGGACTCTAACCTATCATTTGAATGCAAATTATTATTGAGAGAGTTTTCTCACTTCTCCCTTTCCAAAACCATTTATAATGTAACATTTCAATTTTTTTTTCTTGATTAAATAAGAAAACATACAGTTTTACAAATAAAGTGTTTTTGAAGTTGCAGGAAATAGTTATATTCTGTGTAGAGATATAGAAATATCACCACTACATTGCAATATGTGTTGATAGCCTTCCGGAAGTCCCTCAAACGTGGCTATGTCAAAACGCTTGGGGAGCTAATGGAAATAGAGAATTATTGATATATATGGTACATGTTCCATAACACCAGAAATGATGTCTTTTAGTCTTTTAAATTTTATATAGATATAAATATAGATACAGATAGATATATAAATGGATATATAGATAGGCATATGTGGTTCATTTTTTTAATTGTATGCTGCCCTGAGTCACACTTTGTGAGATGTGTGGCTGTATAAATGTGAAGAAGGAAGGAAGGAAGGAACATATACCTCAATTACTTAGAAGTTTTTTCCTTCACAGCCTGCAAGAATGCTGTATCGAGTGGCACTCCTTTATGATGCGCATCGTCCTCATTTTAGTATCATGGCAATATCGGCTGGAGACAGCACCACCCAAATAAATCAAGAAGTCCCAGAAATCTGTCAGGAATGGGTTGGAGGAAAGATGACCCAGAATGGAACAGATCATTCAGTGTACAAAATCAGTGTAGCTTTTAGTACAGAAATCTTTGGAACCTTTCGTCAAACTGTGGTATTTGATTTTGGGACTGAACCAGTTTTGATGCAACGAGTGATGATTGATGCTGCTTCAACAGAAGGTATGATTTGCAGTTTCATTAAAAAAACAAATTTGTACATTTATGAAATCTTTTTCAGCCCCAAATTTACTTATAAGATGTATAGCCTTGGGAAGGTTGCCTACAATAATAGTAAGTATTTGGACAAGTTGCATATAAACAATTATTTGGGGTACTGGATGCAAAGTGCATTAGTCAGGGGAAGTAATATATATAATCTTAAATATAATTTGAATACAGGAAGGTTCTTTTAAACTTCATATTAAAAACATTTTGAATCGTTGTTAAATTGTGTATGTGAGGGCTTTCCTTTATCAGTGGCATTTGAGTTACATATTAAACTATCAGGTACAAAAGATCAGGTTCACATGTGAAGGTCCACTTAAACTGATTTATTGCTGAACAGCCTATGCACAGGAATCTTCCCAACTCATGGTTAGCAGCTTTGTGGAGTTAGATAAGGGTATATTTAATTCAAGGAAGGCTGGACTGCTTGTGGCTATGCAGGGATTCTAAACTGATCCCTCTTTTAACTCCACCTCCAGGTTCTGCCACTTTTTGTATTCAGAGGCAAGTATACCTATAAATAAGTATAATAATAAAGTATTGTGTCATGTACAATGTCTGTAATAACTCAGATATCCAGGTTAGTTACATAGTTAAGGCAACAAGCTAGAAACCAGGAGACTCTGAGTTCTAGTTCCACCTTAGCCATGAAAGCCAGCTGGGCCAATAACTCTCTTTCAGCCCAACTCATCTCATAGGAGAAAATAGGAGGAGGAAGGAATATTAGATATATTTGCTGGCTTGAGATTTTTTTTTAATAAAAATAATAAAAACAGGATGTAATACATATGTATGTACGTACATACATACATACATACATACATACATGCATACATACATACATACATACATACCAGATATCTAGGTTCATTGTTATCTATCCCTCAAGCATAGGATAAATTTAGTACTTTCTAGATGTTTTGGGTTAAACCTCTGTAATTGACATCTGGCTGAATCTTTAGAGTAAAAAAGTTCAAAATTGTACCAACAGATTGTACCAATTTCTCTACCCCTCCTGTAGATTAAGCAATTGATTTATATAGTCACATGCTTTACAAATGGAAAGGGAATTGGATGGTGAGAAGAGGAACTCTAAATGGGCTGACTTTAAAATAGATAAAGTTGAATTTTACCACTGAATTTTCTTGGTTGAAAATGGATTTGAAACTGAGCTTGTCTTGTCTTAGAGATTCATTTTATTTATTTTACTTATCAACCAATTTATATGGAGATTATCATTAGCATTTTTGCAATTCTGCTCATGGCTTACCTAAATGGGATTCCAAAATTTCATGAAAATACAGGTAGTCTTCGACATACAACCATTTGTTTAGGGACCTTTCAAAGTCACAATGGCATGGAAAAAAGTGATTTATGACCATTTTTCACAATTATGACAGCTGCAGCATCCCATGGTCACATGATCAAAATTTGGCTGCTTGGCAAAGTTCCCATATTTATGACGGTTGCAGTGTCCCGAGATCATGAGATCACCTTTTGCAACTTTCTGACAAGCAAAATCAATGGGGAAGCCAGATTCAATTAACAATCATGTTACTAACTTAACAACTGCAGTGATTCCCTTAAAACCATGGCAAGAAAGATCATAAAATGGGGCTAAACTCACTTAACAACTGTCTCACTTAGCAACAGAAATTCTGAGCTCGATTGTGATTGTAAGTCATGGGCTACCTGTATATATATGGCTACCAGGGCCTGATTTTCCTATAGGCTAACTAGGCTTCAGCCTAGGGCCTCAAGATCAAGAGGGGCCTATATTCAAATTGTTAGCAAAATTAAAATTACACTTTCACTATAGGTGAAAGGGCCTCATAAGTGGAATAGCCTAGGGCCTCTTTTCATCTAAATCCGGCCCTGATGGCTACCCAGGACTGGTGGTTAAGCATATGATGCACAGCTGTTCTCAGATTTGGTTTCTGATATGGCAATGTCATGTTTGTGATTCTAGTAGAATAAAGCTACAGTATGAACACTGTAAGACATTCTAAGTATGTCTTTTGAGGTTAAAAATTCCTGTCAATCTGTCAATCCTTTCAGTTACCATTATCAAAAGTATGGATAGAGTCTATTGTAAGTTTTAATGTGAGCAATTATAGGGTTGCGAAGATTCCAAGAATTAGAAATCATACTTCTATTGTATTTATATCTTGATTCCCCAGCATAATATAAAAACAATTTGTGTATCATTATGCTAATATGTTTTAGACACAGAAAAAGAACATGCAAGCAATTAGTATTCATAACTTTATTAGATTAAATAAGAGTGCAATGAAATAATAAGCATTAAAACCAACTGTTAATAGTTTAATAACAAAAATGTTTGTTTCCATAGGCCTTCAGACACTATGAAATAATTTAATGCATACCAGTAATAAAATTGCTTTTTGATATCTGAAGTTCTATACCCTAATGTTTTAAAATTATTTTAATTTGATCATTAATCCACCTATGAGATGATGTTAATTGTTGAGGTTTTTTTTTAAAAAAATCTATTACCATATGCAGGCTGATTATTTAAATATAACTTAGTAAGCATATCTGTTTATTTTCTTTATCTGCTGCAAATAGATCTTGAATACCGGATGAATGCACGGCAGCAACTGTTAACCACAGCCAAACGTTGGGATTCCACTTCCAAGACAATTGTAGAATTTGAGCCAAACGAGACTACTGAATTGGATAAGAGCCTTCTGATCAGATATCAGATCCCTCTGTCTGCTGACCAGCTATTTACACAGTCTGTCTTGGATAAATCATTGACCAAGAGTAATTATCAGTCACGACTACATGATCTCCTTTATATTGAGGAAATAGCGCAGTATAAAGAAGTCAGCAAGTAAGTGGTGGTTTTGCTTAATGTCTGTTTAGCCAATTGATGTGACTTTTGCAAATGAAATTAGCATATCCTGCTGCTTTTTCTATGAACAAAATTCACTCCTTGGGAATTCTCCTGAAAAACAAAATTTTAACAGCTTTCTTAAAAATGTATTTGAATCTATGTTTCCCAGCCTCTGTTGCTGTAACTCCTGAAAAGCAAGGATTTTCAGCAACATCTTCCTGGTATAGAGTTTTTAGGTAATGATCAGCACTTTTGAATTTGCACTCAAAAGCAAAATGGTAGTCAATGTTGTTCTTGAGGCAGATATGGAACATGATTATAATAGCTCTCACACATTATTAATGGATAGACAATTACATTTCACACCAACCGCAGCCACCTGTAGAATATATTACGGTAGTCCAGTTCAGTGCTTACAAAGGCATGCATTACTATTGCTGCTTAATTGTTCTGTTCCAGTTTTGAAATGATGCAAAATTTACTTAGCAAAGAGCATGCAGTTTGGTTTTAGGAATTTGTGCATGAGCAGAAGTGACTTTTCCCAGTTGGACTGCTCTGTCTCCGCTGCAGTTTACAGGTAATCCTTGACTTATGGTCACAGCTGAGCCCAAAAGATAATAATTAGGTGAGTTTTGCCCCATTTTATGACCTTTCTTGCTACTGTTGTCAAGTTAGTAAAATGGTGGTTAAGTGAATCTGGCTTCCCGATTGACTTTGCTTGTCAGAAGGTCGCAAAAGGGGATCACATGACTCTGGGACACAACAAATGGCATAAATGTGAACCAGTTGCCAAGCATCTGAAATGTGATCATGTGACTATGGAGATGCTGCAACAGTTGTAAGTGTGACAAATGGTCATAAGTCACTTTTTTCAGTGCCGTTGTAACTTCAAAGGGTCACTGAACGAATAGTTGTAAATCGAGGACTACCTATAGTTCCTTGGTCTCTCTGAGCCCTTCAGTCAGTTCTGTTTAGGATAAATAAAATATTATTTTATTTTTTAGAGTCCTGGTGATATGTGTCAAGTTTCCGAAAGATGCCCTAATTAATTCATGAGCCATGATCCAAACTTCAAAGGAAATATATTCATTTATTAGGAGCAACATTCCGGCAATACTCGGATGCAGTTAGGACTGATCCTATGTAGATTTACGTTCCCCTATGACGCTGTCTCTCCCCTCCTCTCTGGCCATGTCATAAATCACATTCTCCAATTAACCACTTTGGCTGGCTGTGAAACCTAACACCCTCCTTCTGATTGCGGTCAGAAAGAATGTATGGAATTCACTTCAGTTCTCCCTCCCTCCTGCTCATGGCAACTTGAAAGCTTTGCAAGTTGACAATATGCAGTATTGCAGGCTAACTCTGCCCACAGTCTGGAGTTCGATCCTAATGGGCTCAAGGTTGACTCAGCCTTCCATCCTTCTGAAGTCGGTAAAATGAGGACCCAGATTATTGGGGGCAATATGCTGACACTGTAAACCATCCAGAGAATACTGTAAAGTACTTTGGAGCGGTACATAAGTCTAAGTGCTGTTGCTATTGCTATTTATCCCAGTATTACACGCTTTGTCATTCCAAAAGATGATTGGAGAAGCCACAGTGAGAAAAAAGAATTGGAAAGCTTTATTCAATACAAGATAGACCCTATTCTCCTTTTTGTTGTTGGAGCTTGGATACACTTATTAAGATTACTCTTTTGTCCCAATCAGCATTGCAAAGAATTGCATGCACTTGAAAATGTATAAAGCTATTTTTTGTTTTAATCCAATATACAGTACTTTTTGGGCATTGAGTATTTTAACATTTTTTCTGTTTGTGAAATCAGTGTTTATAGTTAGGATTTAGTAGTCTTACAGCTCCATCCTCTGTTTGGACTGCGTCCTGGGTCTGCCTCTACTTTTTTAATTTATTGATTGACATTTTGCTTGAGGGGTCCTTGGTGCTCCCTGAGTTTATTTGTTTTCTTGAAGATGTTTCATTACCCAAATTAGGTAACATCATCATTGCTGCTGATCATTGCTGCTAGTTTGGGTAGTGAAACATCTGGAAAAAAACAAGCAAACTCAGAGAGCACCAAGGACCCCTCATGCCAACCCTGAGCTACAAATATTCTTCTTTATTGGTGACATTTTACTGCCAGCACAATATAACCTATAGAAAGTTCTTTGATTTTATCTATGTCTTTGCCACTCTAAGGCATTATAGATCAGGAAATACAGAACGCCCAGAAATTTCATTTACTCAGGAACAATGGCAGAAAAGAACTTTCACTTTTTGTTTGTGGGCTTCTGTGAGACATCTAGTTGCTCATTTTTGAAAATAGAATGCAGACTGGATAGGCCTTTAGTCTTAAACTGAAAGCTAACATTATGTTCCTGTTTGTTATTATTTTGAAATGAAGCCGCTAACATTTTGTTGTTCTGAAGACCATTGTCCTAAAAATGAGGGTTTTAGATTCAAGCAGTCACTAAAATTCGTGAATTTGTGTGTGGCATACATTAAGCCAGCAACCTAGTAATTTGGAAATACATCTGTTTCTGGAATTGGTAACAATTTTCTTGGCATCTTGTGTTCTTGCAGTGATTGTACAAGGAGAAATATAATTCTCATTCATTTATGGTAAATCCAGTGGTATGCTGGTGTCGGCTTACACATAGATTGTTGATTGTAGATTAAATGGACCTACAGTATATAAAATTTGGCATTAAACTGTAGTATTAACATAGGATGTTGCTTGTTTTCTATTCAGATCAGGCACTTATTTGAGGCCACATAATTATAATCCAGTCCAATCTAGTCCTCCAGCAGCACTCTGCTGGCCAAAAACGTGCCGCGTGGAGGCCCCACAAGGCCTCCACGCGGCCTGTTTTTGGCCAGCAGAGTGCTGCTGGAGGCCTTTGAGGCCGAAAATGGGCCACGGGGGGCCGCACGCACCCCCCGCGGCCCGTTTTGCCTGGCAGAGTCACCACAGGTCGGTGCTTTGATATTTCCAGGCCAACTCCATGGGCACCCCTGATCTAAAGCATTAAGCATTTTACTGATTTACAAACAATGCATACTGCTTTCTTGTATAACTAATTGATATAACATGTAAATTATTACAGAGCAATCTAACATATTGAGGGCACATTGCTTTAGCTCTGTTGAAGTGTTTTTCAGTAATTGCTCCCATGGCCTTATTTTAGTTTATAATTTAATTAATTTTATAACTTAATGTTGTATTCCAAGATTGCGATATGAAGGCTAAAAGAAATAACAAGCTATTTTCAATAAATAATGTAATTAAATATCCTTAATAAAATCAATAAAACTGTCAGGCATGAACAATCAGATCCACGTGTGAAGATCTCAATTAGATGTTTTATTGCTCAAGCCTATAACACAGGAATCTTCTTAGACTGATGGCTTGTGCATGGGTCAGACTAGATAAGGTTTAACAGCATTCAATTCTTATCCCCCTGTGGGGATTCCAGAATAATTCCCCGTTTGACTCCTCCCCCAGCTCAGTCAATCTTTTTCCAATAAAAACTAATAAAATATAGAAACAATCTTCACTCATTACACTGCCTGTAAGCGTACAGTACATAAATAATCTGTAGAAGAAGAGCAGGCATAGTTGGAGGGTATAGTTAAATGCATCATCAGTTTAGAGTCTTTGTGTTGCCATAAAAGATCAGCCGCCCCCTTAAAATCAGTTGGCTCTTATCCAGTGCCAATTTAGTGCTGACCTTTAGTTGACCAGATTCTTGTTTATAGGCTTCAATAAATCATTTAAGATGCACCCTTACGAATGGTCCTGATTCTTTGCACCTGACAATACCTGGTAAAACGGAGCTAACGTGTAAATATGATAGCGTTGATGTTAGTTGCCTTTTAAGTGAACCTATTATTAGAACCCCGCACAGAGAAAACTGTATCTTATGTCATGACTTCATAATCTTCCACTGAAGGTGGAATGAGCCTCCTTTCCTGCTCCTAAGGAGACAGACAGAATGGTGCAGGGAAAGGCTTTCCTTGATTGCATCTGGAAACAAATAGACAGTCAGTGCACTTATTTCAGGCTGGGTTGCATGATTCCTTTGTCCCTTCAGGCTCTGAGGCAGGGGTGAAATGCTCCTGGTTCAGACCGGATCGCCTGATCCAGTAGTGATGGCGGCGGGTGGTTCGGAAAACCGGTAGCAAAAATCCCTGCGCCCCGCCCATGCCCAGCTGAGCCGTGTGATCATCAGAGGCTGTTTTTTATACTTTTAAAAGCATTTTTTCTACAACCTCTTCAGCCGAAAAAATGCTTTTAAAAGTAAAAAAAAAAAGCCTCTGATGATCGTGGCTCAGCTGGGATCGTCAGAGGCTTTTAAAAGCATTTTTTTACAACCTCTTCGGCCGACCCAGTCACATTACCCCCCCACCAAGCCACGCCCACAGAACCAGTAGTAACAAATTTTACATTTCACCACTGCTCTGAGGGTCATGTTTTGTACTGTGTGTCCTCTCCAGATCATTATGGGCATCCATATATAAAGCATCTAACAATGATCCAAACAAAAAGTAACCAGAACAAGAGCCTTTTGTATCTTTGGATTTGGGATTCCATGTCTCTGAGATCTCCTGGGCCTACAGTAGCAGAGCTGGAATAACAATAACACTTAGACTTATATACCGCTTTACGGTGCTTTACAGTCCTCTCTAAGTGGTTTACAGAGTCAGCATATGGCCCCCAACAATCTGGCTCCTCATTTTACCCACCTTGGAAGGATGGAAGGCTGAGTCAACCTTGAGCCTAGTGAGATTTGAACTGCCAAATAGCAGTCAGCCGGCAGTCAGCAGAAGTAGCCTGCAGTACTGCACTCTAACACCTGCGCCACTGTGGCTCAATGGAGACAATACAAGTCACAAAATTTTTAAAAGAAAAGTTTATAACATATTAACATTTATATATTGCCTACGAAAAACATAATAGTCTTTATCTGTATACATCTCCCATTTTATGGAAAAATAATGGTAACAAGTCATGTCAGTGGAGCAAATAGTTATTGGAAAAAATACCTATCATAACTATCCTATTTCCTAAGTCACCACAACAACCCACAATTTATTCTGAAGTTATTGTTTAGACCACTGAAATTTAACAGGAGATGCCGAGCATACAGTTGAAAAAGATTCTGAATATAGATTTTTCAAAACTCTGTTTTGACTTTTTTTTTTTAATCGTTTGTTACAAGGAGCATTTTTTGGGAATTAACTGTGCTTTCTGTTTTAGGTTTAACATCAAAGTGCAGTTGCAGATTGTGGCCAGCTTCATGCTTACTGGTGTTTCTGGGGGTGCAAAGTATGCCCAAAATGGACAACTTTTTGGACGGTTTAAACTCACCGAAACCCTTTCTGAAGATACTTTAGCAGGGCGACTGGTGATGACCAAAGTCAATGCTGTTTATTTATTACCGATCACTAAAGAGAAGTCAGGGCTGACCCAAGGAACCAAAGAGAAAGTATACGAAGCAATTATTGAAGAAAAAACAAAGGAATATATCTTTCTGAGAATATCCAGGGACTGCTGTGAAGAGCTTAACCTTCGAGCAGATTGTGAAATGCAGGTATGTTGGGGTGAAATCTTTTTTACTTTTTTAAAAAATATATTTATTATGTTTTAGAGTGAAATCTTTTTTAGATGCTTTTGACTCTTTCTATACTTGGAGTCCTGGTGACTTCAGTCCCAACATAGATACCTGCATGGCAGTGGTGAAATGCTACCGGTTCGCACCAGTTTGGGTGAACCGGTAGTGATAAAAACTAGCGGTTTATTTATTTATTTTTATTTTATTTCGAATTTATATACCGCACCTTCTCCCGAGGGACTCAGGGCGGTGTACAGCCAGATAAAAACATACAATACAAACATTAAAAACAATTAAAAGAATATATATTAATTTGGCCCCAGTTTAAAAAGACAAACCAATTAAAATATTTAAAAATATGTTAAGCCAGCCCGGCTTGCTGAAAAAAGAAAGTTTTAAGGGCACGACGGAAGGCACCGAGGTCTTGGATTCTCCTTATCTCTGGGGGCAGCTGGTTCCAGAGGGTAGGTGCCCCCACAGAGAAGGCCCTCCCCCTGGGGGTCACCAGCCTACATTGTTTGGCTGATGGCACCCCGAGGAGGCCCTCTCTGTGGGAGCGCATGGGTTGATGGGAGGTTGTCGGTAGCAGCAGGCGGTCTCGAAGATAACTAGGTCCTATGCCATGGAGCGCTTTAAAGGTGGTAACCAACACCTTGAAGCGCACTCGGAAAACCACTGGGAGCCAGTGCAGCTCGCACAGAAGCGGTGTTATGTGGGAGCGCCATGCAGCTCCTGTAATTACCCGCGCGGCTGCATTCTGGACCAGTTGGAGCCTCCGAGTGCTCTTCAAGGGGAGCCCCATGTAGAGAGCGTTGCAGTAGTCCAGGCGAGAGGTGACGAGGGCATGAGTGACTGTGCACATGGAATCCCGATCAAGAAAGGGTTGCAACTGGTGAATCAGGCGAACCTGACAAAAGGTCCCCCTGGCTACAGCCGTCAGATGTTCCTCCAAGGACAGCTGCGTATCCAGGAGGACTCCCAGATTGCGCGCCCTCTCCGAGTTTGGGCGAACTAGTAGTAAAAAAACGGCTACCAGTTCATCAGAACTGGTATTTCCGACGATCAGCTGTGCTGCGCAATTTAAAATAGCTAGAAAGCAGGAAATTCTGCTTTCTAGTGAATCTAAATCACGCGGTACAGCTTCCCCCCCTGTTCTACTTACCTTCCCAAGCCTCCTTTTTCCGTGCGAAGCGTGCATTTGGCACGTACTGTGTATGCACGCGCAGCATGTGTTTGGCACGCACCGCGCATGCACGGGCAGCAAACCGGTTGCAAACTGGGGAATATTTCACCACTGCTGCCTGGTATATCTGAAACCAATACAGTATTTTAAAGGGAGATCTGAAGACAAGGAAGAGCTTATGTGTAATGCTGTAAAATCAATTGAGAAAGAATAAAGGAAGTTTATTTTTGTGCTTGTGTTAGGTTAACAATTGGTAGAATCATGACTTTTCTGGTTCAAAAGATATGTGTAGAATGCCTTATCAGAACTATTGCTGTGGGTTAAGCTTGGTATTATGAAACAGGGACAGAAGTATCATCTGTAAAAACTTGGATAGTTGTTGCAATCAGGTGTAAATAGCAGGGCAGAATGGCCAACGTGGTATTCAAGGAAAGCATCACATATTTTTTTTTTAGCTTTAAATAAAAGTGTCCAGTTGTGAGCATACCTGCATGGTGTCATCTTCAATCTTCATCAATTTTTATTATGGTCATGGGCCAGCACCAATGTGGTCTTCTTATTAGCATTTTTATTTAATGTACACTTATTATTAAGTGTAGCATGAGACATATTTTCCCCAGAACAACAACCCTATGAAGAGGGGTCAACCTATTCTCCAAAGCACCTGAAGGCAGGACAAGAACCAATGGATGAAAACCAATCAAGGAGAGAAGCAGTCTAGACCTAAATAGAAATTTCCTGACAGTAAGAACAATTAATCAGTGGAATGACGTGCCTCCAGAAGTTGTGAGTGCTCCAACACTCGAGGCTTTTAAGAAGAGATTGGACAACCATTTGTCTAAAATGGTATAGGGTTTCCTGCTTGAACAGGAAGTTGGATTTCCAGTTCTGTTATTCTGAGACTGAGGAGGCCTTGGTACTCTCTGGGCTTGGTTGTTTGCTTACAAAAGTTTCATTATTCAATAAGGTAAGCTAAACTGAGAGAATATAAAGGATTCCACAATTCAAGCTTGAGTACACATCATCTCTTCTATTGGAACCTATGATGTTGTGTTGCTCTGGGAGATAATAACAGACCCAAAGTCCGAGTGAGCTTCCATGACTGAGGATGGATTAAAATCTCTCCACTCCTAGCCTGACATCTTAACCATTCAACAAAATTTGTCTTATTAATTTGAATAAGCAAATATCATCAAAACCACTGCTTCATCTTCCTTAGTTTTTTTCTAATTGGACTGTAAGAAATATATGGAGCTTTGAAATTATCTCATCATATTGGACATAAATAAGTATCTAGTTGAATTTTTATGTTTGTTTTTATAGGTAATAAAATTTAATGGTCCAAATTAATCATTGGCATTTAAAAATGAAAGTATGCCTTTTATTTCCCAGTTAAAAATCTGTTCTGATACAGAAAAACCACAGGGTTGACTCAAGTGAATCTGTTATCCTCAAGGCTCAAAATCGGCACCAGTGCAGATTATTGATTACAGGACCATCCATGATTTCATTTTTTTTGCCTGGAAATCCAAACTCTTGAAAATAATTCTGTCTATAACCCTGCTGTTTGTTCCTTTAACTGTCATCTATGCTCACCAACACTTTTTGCTCCAGATACCTAGCATGAGTCATTGAAACTGCTTTAAATGGTGTGTCTTATCAACCTCTTCACTGTACTTAAGAGTGAACAACTTCCATCCCCCTTGAAAAGGTAGACATTATTGTGTATTATCAAAGTGGGAATGTGACAAATTGCAGTCCTCTCTAGACAGACCCCTCAAGGTGTGCTTGTGTATGCGTGTGTATGTGTGCTTTTAATGGCTCTATTGTTATGGCTTCAGATCTTTTGCTCCACATGCTGAAGAATTGTAAAAGCTTATTTTTGTTTTGGTGATCAAAAGTAAAATGCTTTTACTTAGCATTTTCCATGCTTTCTTTCAACAAAAATTATTTGACACTCTTCTTAAATAAAAGGAAATGAAACTATTTTAAACTATTAAAATAAGCAGAAAGAACCCTAAAATTGTTAAAAGAGTGTCAAAATAAAATTAGTGTGAGAATCAAAATAAAACTAGTATGAGAAAAGCCAAAGAATTTAAACTTGGAAATTTAGGAAAATTAAAATGTCTTCATCCATGGCATAATACCTTCTGTGGGAAAATGATTCACAATTGAAGTGCAACCATAGAAGATGCTTTTTCTTTAATAAGAAGATTTCCTTTGCAGGAACACCAGGAGACGATTAATTAATAATGGCCCTCTGGTTCATTTGTGCTATATCACATATTTTGCCCTACAACATAACTTTTAAAGAATAGAAAATAGCATTAAAAATTCAAAAATGCAGACATCCTTCTGAAGGAGTTTTTGTATAAATGCCTAATTATAATATCTAAGCTAATACATAATAATGGTTTCTTTGTATAATAAAAGAAAAAAAAACAGATAGACAATGTACTCAGTAAGTGTCCATTTTGCTAAATGTGATAACACTAATTGCATTTTGGGGCAAGTGATAGAGTGCTATGGGAGAAATAGTTTGTTTTGCAGAAAACTGAAAATACTTTGGAAGAAATCTGTCTAGACAATAATGGCAACTACGTCTTATTTCATTATCATGATTGAAGTAGCTCAGTTCTCTCTTTAGTTCTCAGTTCAATAAAAGCTGTTGCAACCTCTGATAATCAAATTAAACATCGGACAGCTCCAATTTGAATACAATTAAATGTAATGTAATTCTGATGGAGGAGATAGCTGCAGCCATCTTCATTTACAGGGTACATTTCAACTTATTTCATTAGAGGAGGTAGATAAGTGCCTAAAAGCAGTCGATCAATATAGTCCTGATTTGATCCTATATGAGATCAGTCCCATTCTTGATCTTAGACTCAATAGCATGTTTACCAGATCTTTATTAAAAATAAATCTATAGGTCTCCTAAAATAATAAATTATCAAGATCAAGCCTAATAATTTCATAACTGATAAAATAATGATGATGATGATGATGTTTGGAAATGTTTGAAAATGTAGTTTTTGAATATTAAGAATCATAGGCCTATTTTTGATAATGAGATGAATGAGAAAAATTCTTCATGATCTTTCAGTGCTGTGTGAGGGTTTTTAAAATTTAAAATAAAATAGAATAACAGAGTTGGAAAGGACCTTGGAGGTCTTCTAGTCCAAACCCTGCTCAGTCAGGAAACCCTATACCAGGGGTGTCAAACTCATGTCGTCACGTTGTCACGTGATGTATCGTGGCTTCCCCCCCTTGCCAAACCGGGTGTGGGCGTGGCCAGCTCCTGACACATCCAGCCCGCAGGCTGTGAATTTGACAGCCCTGCCCTATACCATTTCAGACAAATGGTTCTCCAATCTCTTCTTAAAAACTTCCAGTGTTGGAGCACCCACAACTTCTGCAGGCAAGTTGTTTCACTGATTAATTGTTCTAACTGTCAGGAAATTTCTCCTTAGTTCTAGGTTGCTTCTCTCCTTGATTAGTTTCCTTCCATTGCTTCTTGTCCTGCCCTCAGGTACTTTGTAGAATAGCTTGACTCCTCTTCTTTGTGGTAACCCCTGAGATATCAGAACACTGGTATCATGTCATCCCTAGTCCATATTTAGGTTGGTAGTGAAACACATTACATAAAAGTGGTTCTTCACTTATTCTGTATATGTTAGAAAACCCTATGTGCTGTATTTATTTTTGCCTTCCATGGACTACCTAGGTTTTTTTTCTTACTGTGAATCGTATATATGAGGCCACCTTTAATGTATGTCTAGATACATTAACCAATTCAAAATGATTTCATCAATTAAATTATATTACTTGAAGGGAACATAGAGCAACTGCGTTGATTACTTCTCAAATCTGTACAAAAGATGTAAATGATGTTTAAAGCCTTTAACAGCCATGGCATAGTTCCGTTAAGATTATGTATTTTCTTAGCTTTTTTTAAAACTGTGAGAAGCAGAAGAGAACTTACTCTACTGCATCTGTTTGAGTTAGCTGGATTAATGGCAATCAACACTTTTTCAGTTTTAGCATTCCTCTTTGGAACACCTTTTTTTTGTGTTTTTTTTTTTAATTTTATCCAATAGAATTGGGATCATTTAGAATTATTTCATTCCTACAAGAGGAAATGATTTTCATTATTTGTGTTTGTGGATATGTGGTTTCACAGCTCTAATTATTTATTTTAAACTTTACTATGTATTTTTGTTGTTGATTGCAAAATCGTGTCCGACCCATCACAATCCCATAGTTCTTAATATTTAAAAGTTAAAATTTGTATCAACTTATGAACAAATTAGTGATTTTTAAATACTTGATTTCTGCTGTTTCTTACAAATTGTCCTTATTTCCTTCTATACATTTCACCCAAAAATTATAACTCAGTTTTATTTGCCCATCAGAGGTTTGTTTGTTGTTTTATAAAAAAAATTCATCAACTGTCAAATTAGAAAGCCCATTTCTTGTAATATAAAAATATCATATTAAAATTATTTATTTAGAAATTTCATATAAAAGATAGAAAGCTATGAATGAATTCCAGGATATGGTAATACCTACCATAGAGTGTTGATTGATATCATTAATAGCAGACATTTTACTGTCATCTGATATTGGAGGATGTAATGGAAAACTTGTCCCTGTGTTTCTGAACAAATTTTACTTCCATTAAACACTTTTAAAATATTTTTCTATACACATGAAATGATTTCTCTATCTCCTTTCTGTAGGAATGTAATGGCTGATTGGCTGTCAAGTAGAACTTTCATATACAATTTTCATGTACAGATTGTAATAAATGAATTTTCATTGATGGAAACTGACAGTGTCACTTTCTAATCAATTGAAAAATTACGTGAGAAACTTAATGTATTAATTTAACATGTATAATTAGTTGACATGCTGCTTACATCAGTGGTACTCAAGCTGTGTATATTTTCTAACAAACAATAATCAAAAGGCTAATTGGCTCTATCTGAAAATAACACTTCAGTAAAGAATGAAATGGTTCATTAGAGGTGGTGACTAGATTGCTTTCAGAGGTTACTTGTTGTTGAACTTGTTAATGTCATTCCTGCATTTTGCTAAATAGCATTGATGTATTATGGAGAGTGAGGGGGACGCGGTGGCTCAGTGGCTAAGACGCTGAGCTTGTCAATCGAAAGGTCAGCAGTTCAGCGGCTTGAATCCTTAGTGCCGCATAATGGAGTGAGCTCCCGTTACTTGTCCCAGCTTCTGCCAACCTAGCAGTTTGAAAGCACGTAAAAAATACAAGTCGAAAAATAGGGACCACCTTTGGTGGGAAGGTAATAGTGTTCTGTGTGCCTTTGGCATTTAGTCATGCTGGCCACATGACCACGGAGATGTCTTCAGACAGCGCTGGCTCTTTGGCTTTGAAACAGAGATGAGCACCGCCCCCTAGAGTCGGGAACGACTAGCACACATGTGTGAGGGGAACCTTTACCTTTACCTTTATTATGGAATGCATTTAGCTTTACATAATAATAATAAAATATTACTATCCATCCACTCCATTAATAGGTTTCTATATTTTAGAGAGGAAGTAGGTAGTTTGTGACCTCAAGTTCATGTGGCTCCCAAATCCCTTCTTACCATAACCAGGGAAAACCAAGACAGTTTGCTCTCATCTTGGGGTGGAAAACATGGAAGCTACAATATATCCTCAATATATTCTAGTTTAAAAACCAGTTAAATCCTCCAAATTCCCCTCTGATCCTATCCACATATGTATTATAGCTACACTATAGCTCACCACTTCCAAATGTTCTTTGCCCACCAAAATATTTTCTACACCTGTTTTACTCAGTCTAATGTATTGTATTGTATTGTATTGTATTGTATTGTATTGTATTGTATTGTATTGTATTGTATTGTATTGTATTGTATTGTATATTATATTATATTATATTATATTATATTATATTATATTATATTATATTATATTATATTATATTATATTATATTATATTAATTATTCATTCATTCCACATATTTATAAGCCCACACAACTCAAGCAGTGTGACTCTGGGCCATGTGACTCATTTCAATATATATTTAATGTAGTGCTTTGATTATATTTCTAGTGGAAATTGTGTTAGATAACATACTGTGTTTGGCTCCTATTAAATTGTGTTGTTTGAAATTTTACATTTTCTCTTTTTGAATATGTGTGTATGTATGTATATATAAATAAACTTATCCCAATATTATAGAATTGTTTAAGCAGTCAAAAGCATGATAGAGTAAATGAAGTAACATTGCCTTATAATGGCTGGTTTTAAAACAGTCAAATAAATGGATTTATTGATTTTAAAAATATTTCTAATTTTTAATGGGTTAATAAAATAAAGTTTTTAATGTCTTACTCTTTCAAAACAATGTTTGTTTTTTACCTTAATTAAAAAGAGATGATGTGTTTGCATTATAGCCATTTGCGATATTAACATATGGTCAAGTAGGAATGTATTAATTATTAATTAATTATTAATTATCATTCAAGTTTCAAAAAGTTTATTCACAAATTATGTAGTTTTATGGTGACAATATAGGGGAGTCATTATTTGCACTAGTGTAACTAGTTCGTTTATTCATTCCTTCATTCTTACATTCATTTTGTATGCACTTAGGTCGAGCTTCAGTTTCAGTTAAACCGCTTACCCCTCTGTGAAATGCACTATGCCTTGGATAGGATCAAGGACAACGGTATCCTGTTTCCAGATGTCAGCATGACCCCCACAATACCTTGGAGTCCCAACAGGTACAAAAACATTAATATTTTGATACAGGGAACTAGTATATTAACATTACAGAATTTACATTCCTTGTATTTAGATGATTCATATAACCTTGTCCACTAGAATGTTTTAGGTAAAGAGATGAAAACGAATGACTATTTTTTCCTATGAATGTAAGGATTAAGCAATGGACTATTTTTATTCTTTATATCAAAGGCCAGTTTTAATCAATCACATCTTTTATGGAAGAAACCGCTTTAAAAATGAACTGTTCTTTCAAATGGGTGATGTACTTTATTTATTTTATTTATTTATTTTTAAATTTGTATACCGCCCTTCTCCCTGAGGACTCAGGGCGGTGAACAGCCAAGTAAAAACATAAACTACAAACATTAAAATACAATTAAAAAGATATATATAAATTTGACCCCATGATTAAAAACAATAACAGACAATTAAAAACATTTTAAAAAGTGTTAGGCCAGCCCGGCTTGCTGGAAAAAGAAGGTTTTAAGGGCACGTTGGAAGGCACTGAAGTCTTGGATTCTCCTTAACTCTGGGGGCAACTGATTCCAGAGGGTAGGTGCCCCCACAGAGAAGGCCCTCCCTCTGGGGGTCACCAGCCTACATTGTTTGGCTGATGGCACCCCAAGGAGGCCCTCTCTGTGGGAGCGCACAGGTCGATGGGAGGCCGTCGGTAGCAGCAGGCGGTCTCGAAGATAACTAGGTCCTATGCCATGGAGCTCTTTAAAGGTGATAACCAACACCTTGAAGCGCACCCGGAAGACCACTGGGAGCCAGTGCAGCTCACGCAGGAGAGGTGTTGTATGGGAGCACCATGCGGCTCCCATGACTATCTGCGCGGCCGCATTCTGGACCAGTTGGAGCCTCTGGGTGCTCTTCAAGGGGAGCCCCATGTAGAGAGCGTTGCAGTAGTCCAGGCGAGAGGTGACGAGGGCATGAGTGACTGTGCACAGGGAATCCCAATCAAGAAAGGGCCGCAACTGGCGAATCAGGCGAACCTGACAGAATGTCCCCCTGGCTACAGCCGTCAGATGTTCCTCCAAGGACAGCTGCATATCCAGGAGGACTCCCAGATTGCGCGCCCTCTCCGCGGGGGCCAAAGACTCGCCCCCGATAGTCAGTGATGGAGTCAACTGACTATATCGGGATGCCGGGAACCACAGCCACTCAGTCTTGGAAGGGTTGAGCTTGAACCTGTTCCTCTTAATGCAGTCTAAAGCTTACTTCGAAGCATTTGTGTTGGTTTATATAACAAGCTTTGGAGAAAAGCTGGACCTGTATGGAGCAGTCTAAAAGAATTGGGTATGAGAAGATTTTAATCTGCCTGATGATGTAATGTTGCATCTTTTGATTAGGGGTGTGGTGAGAATCAATAACATTTCTAACATCTTGTTTGTAGTATTTGTAGCATATTAAGCTAATTTGTTTTTTAATCTGACTATTACACTAGCAGGTTACAGGCAGCAAATTATTTAAACTGCTGTGTTTTTGTGACTTTTGTATATTGCTCATGCATATATTTCTTTTAGATCAATTCATGCAAATGTTTCTGAGATATGAATCTACCGTAATATAAACAGTACATTTTACAAAAAAGTAGCAAAAAAGTATAAAAGAATCAAAAGGTATTTTGAGGAAACAATGCTGCATACAAAGCCTTTTGAATTTAAACTGATTTCATTGTTTGAAAGTAAGGTACGTTGTAATCTAGGCAAGGAGTAGACAATCTTTATCCCAACAGCTCTTTTTTTATTTCTGTTTTTTTGTGTGCAAGATAATTAGATCACTGGAGAAGACAAGATTATGATTTTGAGTCTGATATTTCTCTCTTTAGGGTTTTTTTAAAAAGGTTGTATAGGTTTTCCCTTTGTCTCCCAGTGACAATACCAAGCCAGCATTGGCAGATCTTGGAAAAGTTAAGTGGGTTTTTAGATCATGGGAAGAAGACAGTAGCAAGCCACTTCCATATTGTTGTTGCAAAAACTTGCAGTACTTGTAGTCCTCGGGAGCCAAATTCAGTTGAGGGAATCTTCATCTTTTATCACAAAAGACAAAGAGACAGCAATTATTCTTGAATACAGGTAGTCCTTGCTTAATCTAATTGGAACTGGAATTTTCATTGCTAAGTGAGGCAGTTGTTAGGTGAAACGTCACAGGACCTCACTGCTTAGCAATAATAGTTCCATTAGTTAGGCCACGATTGTGCTCTTGTTAAATAAATACTTCACACTTCTTTTGCCCTGCCACACTTGCCTCTGTTTCAGTCCCCCCCTCTCTTTTGGCCTCTTGACCACCATGTATTCTGCGCCCGCCCACTGCCACCCCCCGAAAGCTGCTGGCCCTTTGCAAAGCTTTGGAAGAGGAATGCTCTGCTGAGAGTGAGCAGAGGATCTGCGGCAGTGGTGGGTTTCTACCGGTTGGCCCCGGTTCGGGCGAACCGGTAGTGGCAGCGGCGGGAGGCTCCGCCCATCCGCCTGGCCATCATCATGGACACTCTGTGCATGTGCAGAAGGTCCTCAAGTGAGTGAAGCGAGTGCGCACGCTCCCGATTCCGAACCGGTAGCGAAGGTAAGTGGAACCCACTACTGATCTGTGGGTTGTTTCTGTTGGTGCTGGAATCACCTCCAGTCCACACAGAAGGACACAAGCCATTTCTATAGGAACACTTCCAGTGTGAATTACAGAGTTTATGCTGCAAACACTCCTGGAGAATCTGTCTGTGGGCTTTAACGCATTGGAAGCTGCTGGCCCTTTGCAAGGTTTTGCAGCGGGAAGGCTGGACTGAGAGTAAGAGGTGGGCTGTACTGGTGCTGGGCTCGTCTCCATACCTCACTGAAGCCTGCAGGCTGGGTCTCCATGAGTGCTTCTGACCCAAGCTGCAAAGAAATGGAAGCCCTCATCCCTCCGCTGCCTCCAGTTCTGCCACTACCCTGGGCAGCACCTGCCACACATTCTCCACCTTCACCTGGAAAGGCCCTGGTGCCTCTCCTGCCTCGCCTAGTGACAAAGAGCACTACACCTTGCTGCCATACTGCCTCCTCCCTGGCTGGACCCACCAAGCTTTGGCAGATGAGGCTCTGCTGCCCTGCTATGAGCACTTGAGTTCTGGACCAGCAGCATGAACAAGTCAGGCAGATGGTAGTGATGGGATGGAGCAGAGCAGGGCTCTGCGGTAGAGTCCAGAGCAGCAAAAAGGACAGAAATAGGGAGAAAAATAGGCATGTGGGAGGTGAAGCTCCCCTGCAGTCCTCTGTATGCCTACTTCTAAATCTGCCACTGCCCATGCTAAAGCTGCAGTTTAAAACAATCATTAAATTTCTAATCTATAAGTGGTCTCAAGCATTTACTGCCCCAATTTAATTCTTTCCAATTCTATAGTGTTAGTGCTTCTCAGTGTCAGAGGTAGGATTTTATATTCCTTCCCAAATTATTTAAAAACATCCACCCAATTGATCACATTTTTAATTATATGGTTAATTTCTGTTTTGTTAATGTCACTTGTATTAATTAACCAAAAATAATATTCTGTGGTGTTAAATTAATTGAACAATGAATTAACAAGTATTATGGTGATGTAATGACAGTTGAAAGTTTATTAGATCTTTTAAAACTTAGCTTTGATTATAAAAGCAATGTGAAGGAAGTTCACAAGGCCTGTTTCAAACTAAGTTGAGGTGTTTTAGGCCTTTGGACAGAATGAAAGAGGGCTATTTTGTTCCAAGCAGAAGGGGTGTGGGAGGAGTGGGCAAAAGGACAAGTATGTCATCTGCTGAGATGGTGAGGCAGTGAAAAGAAGGAGTGTCAGATCCATGGCAAATGAAGTGGTGGGGAGATGCTGGGATGGGTGGCTGAAGGGATGGAAGGAGAAAAGATGCTGGAAAATCAGAGGTAGGTAGGATGGCCCACTGGCTAGTGAGACATGCTGCTCTGGGACATCAATGGCAATAACTGAGAGGAAGGGAAAGCTGCAGGGAAGATTGAGGGCAGATGGACCAATGGGATATCAAACATTGGTGAGAGTTGAAGGAAGGAAGAGGAGGTGATGAGATTCGGAACAGGCAGATTAGTGAGATCTGTCCCACTGGGAATACTGAAAGAAAGAAGAAAGGGGACATAGGGCAATAGCCTTGACCTACTTAGCCCATCCAGATTTTGTTTCATGTGAAACAAAGTGTTCTGGATTTTGGTTCTGTCCAATCTGAAATGGTTCAACAGAACCTTTAGAGCAGGGGTGGGGAACTATGGCCCTTTTATGACTTGTGGACTTCAACTCCCAGAATTCCTGAGCCAGCCATGCTCGTAGTTAATCAGTCAGATGATATGACCAAATATTAAACAGTTTTTAAAAAATTTTTAAGGGGGATATTTTTTATCCTGAGTATTAGTTTTGAGATTATAAAAATGGTATAAGAATTTATTAATACATTTCCGATGTGTCTTTGTTTATATCCTGCTTTCTATTGTGCAGGCAGTGGGATGAGCAGTTGGATCCTAGGCTCAATGCAAAGCAGAAGGAGGCTGTTCTGGCCATCACAACTCCACTGTCAATTCAATTGCCTCCAGTCCTTATTATCGGTCCTTACGGGACGGGCAAAACCTTCACTTTGGCTCAGGCAGTCAAACAAATTCTCCAACAGCAGGACACTAGGTGAGATGGGATGATCTGCAGATTTTTAATTAGGACACAAATGCCTCTCTTTATTTAAAGGTTAGCAGAATAGAGTTTTCATCCGGCTTTTCCCCTCCCCTCCCTTTCCCACCATCCCTCATTGTCTTATATAGATATTTAGGAGAGTATTTGTGAGTCTAATCTCTTCCTTTGAATTAAAAGTGGCACCCTGTGAATAAAAGCACAGCATTCCATTTAGAAATCAGTGATTTGTATAGCATTGTGTTAGTAATCTTTGTTTATAATACCGTATTACTTTTTTTTTTGTATTTACCCACATTTGTACGCCACTAATTCCTGTGATTCTAGGTGGCTTAAAATATATAAAACTAAAACATGGATAAAAATAGAATAAAAGCAATTAATCATAAATAAAACTTAAATATTCTAAAGAACATGAATGCACATAGGATCTTGGGGCCATACTGTTCCAGGCAGAGGGGGCAGCACCTGAGAATGTCTTCCTGCTAGGCCATGATGGAGGCAGGCAGGCAGGCAGGCAGGCAGATTCTGTCTGGAGAAGATGGCCCTGAAGTAATGGAAAGCAATTGTAAAGGTTTTGTTGAAAGGATATACGTTCCCACAGAAGCTAGGAACATCATTAAATCATAAAATTTGCAGATTAATTTCATTGAAAGAAGTATGCAGAAAAGATGATCACTATTTTTTTGTAATTTTACTGCTTTGAATGATTTTCTGTTTCTTCATTGCTTTTTTATTTGCACCATTTATTCCAGCAGGATTCTCATTTGCACCCATTCTAATAGTGCTGCTGATCTCTACATAAAGGATTATTTACATCCATATGTAGAAGCAGGCAATCCCCAGGCGAGACCTCTCAGGTATTTTTTAAGGTTTATTATGTATCTATACAATATCTTAAGAAAAGGTGTCTATTCCAAACAGTTTTGAAAAAAACCATAGAGCTTTCACGTTTATTGGCATTTTAAAATGATGCTTTTGCATAACCCAGAGACTCTAACATGCATAATGAAAGAATGTCATTTGTGAGCTCATTTCATGCATTAAAGATAAAGACATCCTTTTTTAAGTTGTTCTTATGTGTTTATTTGTGCTTTCCTAACTGAACAAATTTTAATGTGGTCCTCTAAAAAGCTGCTAAAATATTTTAATAAAATATTGGTTGAATTTTGTTGGGGGTAAATAATGCTTCTTTAATTCAGAGCCAATTTAGAGTGAACAGTTGTTTAAAAAGCTACATATCTGGGAAATCATAAAAAATTAGTTCAGTATCAACCTCTTTGTGTATTTAACTGAACTTATTTCATGCATTATCTCTAGAGTTAACAAAAAAAATTAATTGGGAAATAAAATATATGTGGTTTTTGTGAGAAATGTGTGTATATTTACATCTGGAATATGTAGTTTTTTCTTAAAATGGATATATGTATAATTTAACAGTTCATTTAAGTCCTAAACCTGCTATGAAAACTTCATCACTGCATTCTATTGTCCTGATGTCAGGACCGTAGTCGAGCATGGATGGAATATTTTAGCAAACAAATGTTTTATATTTAAAATGATACCAATGGGCATGTGAAGTGGCAGCTTCACTCTAGTGTCACCTGTAACAAAGATTACACCATTCATAGCAATCTGCAATCTATAAAATAACTCAATTTTGAACTGTCTCAAATTCAAAACACTCCATTTCAAATGTGAGATATTTTGAATTTAAAACGTTTTGCATATCACTATGAGCAGTCCTGATTTCTCCTAGAATATTTCCTTTCTTACTCTGAGATAGCTTAGAATTAGAATTTCTATCTTCTATCCATAAAAATAGAAAAGGATCGCATGAATCAAAGATATTTTTCTGCAAGGAAAAATCCTACAAGAATGTTTGTTTTCAGAAGATTGGATAAATGGATCAAGTGACTTTTAAGAGACATCATGTTCAGAACAGGGAATGTTTGAATACAAAAGAACATATCTCATTATTTTCACCTTCTTCATTTGCAAACAAGATATTGGGTTGTATGAATAAGTATCACTAGAGAAATTGATTCTGTTCATTGCTGATCATATTTGGATACAATCGTATGTGGGAATAGTATTTATTACTTGTCAGTGTAATACAAGGATTAAACTATTTGGCTAGAATGGAGTAGATCCAAGTGCATCTCCCTTCACCAAACCTCTGGGTGATTCTGGATCAGGTACCGTGTTTCCCTGAAAATAAGCCCAACCAGAAAATAAGCCCTAGTATGATTTTTCAGGATGTTCATAATATAAGCCCTACCCCAAAAATAAGCCCGTTAGGATCGTCAGACACATTTAGTACCACATTTCTCCCAAAATAAGACCTAACAGGAAAATAAGACCTAATGCGTCTTTTGGAGCAAAAATTAATATAAGACCCAGTCTTATTTTCGAGGAAACACGGGTATTCTCCTTCTTGCCCAGTCCTGCTAACTCTGCCATTGTCATTGTTGTGTGGATAAAGTCAGGAAGATTTCTATAGAAGTTTGAATCAATATGAAGATGGAAAATAAATGCAAAGACTGAAATGAAAAGGGATTAGGAAGAAATCTTCCATGAAAATCACATTGAGTACGTATTCTTACAATCTTTTAATTCTTCTGCAATATTGGCTTGGGTCACTGAAATAAGTTATATGTTACTGTTAGATGAACATTTAGCCTTTGGTGGCAAGAACTCAATATTACAGCTTTGCATGCAGTGGGTCGTAAATTCAGTCTCTGACAATTCTAGTTGAAAAGGAAATCACAAAGCGGACTGAAAAACTAAGTTTCTGCTAATTACAGATAAACAGTTGATCTAGATCAGGGGTATCCAACTTTAAGACCTGTGGACTTTAACTCCCAAGAATTCCCTAGCCAGTCCCTAGTCATGTTGAAGAGTTGCCATTTAAAAAAAAGCATTTTTGATTTTGATAGAGATTTTATAGATGTTATTTCTGTAATGGATTCTATTCCTTGCAAAGGCAAGGAAGCAACATTAACACCTTTGTGTAAACCAAAATAGCTGGTTCACATTGATCTCTTAGAACATGCTTACCCTGAAGATATCTCAACTGTTGCAAATGGGGAAGACTAAATTCATCATGAAGTTGAAAAATCATTTATAGAATTTATCGGTAATTTAAGTGTGGAGGATTTACTGAGGAGTATATAACTGTTCGATATAGTCCACTGAAACCCAAGCTGCCATTTAATCATTTCAGATACAACATGAGGTGATTGTTTAAAAGCCATGCAGTTAGGAATTCTTTGTATTGAAAAATCTTCCACTTTAGTCCTTTGAAATTTAATTGATTTCAGAAACCTATTTAACACATTCAATAAGAAACTGCTTAGGCTTCCTGTCTAATGGAGGAGTGGCCTCTGTTCAGAAAAGCAATAGCAAACCAGGTAGTATTTCTATTTTTAGAGCTACTACGATTGCTTAAATGTTAATTTTTATGCTTACCATTGTCAGAGATTCACTGACATCCAGAAATGTTCAAGATTTTTATTTCACTCTATATAATTCTACTTTATCATTTTGATTCCAAATAGAGAAACAAAATTTATGTTCCTCATTTGTTCCTTTTCCAGATAATTTGCCAAACAGAATTAGAATTAATAGTTTTAGGAATGAATCACAATAGAATTGTTTCCTTTTTTCATCTGCAAGAGTACAGGGAAGCTAATGGATCTAATCCATCTCCTTAGTTTTCATTTTCGTACTAGTGACTAGACTATGCTTATTATGAAACATGCTTTAAGTGGAAACCCATACATATCACCCCAAGAACTTTATTCCATACTGTATAGGACACGGTTCATCTTCTGTTGCCTTCTCATGCCTGCTGTCTTGTCAGATAACAGAAGCATCTTTTCATAGAGGGCTCTAGTGCTTGTGCTAGAAACTGGGAACTCATGGTGAGGCATTTATAAAATAAATATAATATTTTTCATTAGTGAAATTCTCTTTTTCCATCTTTTAGCATTTTTGCAGCAAATGTATTGTTTTGGAAGGTTGATTGCTCAGGACTTCATAAAAATAACCCCCCCTAATTCAATCTAGTTTGCTTTTTATTATTTTATCTTCCACAAGTAGCTAAATAACTTTAATCATGATTAAAGATTATTAAATAGGTTAAAACAAGTGTAGATGAGTAAGACTTCAAGAACTCATATTGATCTGGGATTAGCATAATTCTTCCCCCTATTTTTAAAGAATTGCCTTGAATTACATATATACAGAATAATGCAGATACTTTTTATTTTTGGTATGTTTTTCACATATATCTAGTTGTATGCGTATAAGACATTTTACTTTAACTAGATCAAAGCCCCAGTTTCTTTGAAGTACATTTATTTTGAAGTTTTGAAATGTTCGCAAATGCTTTCGAAATAGCTGTGAGAAATAGCAAGGCAATACAGTGAGAAGTGTTATATAACTGCTAGTTGCAAGACATTTGTTATATGATAGACCTGAAGTATAAAATCATCTTGCTTAAATCACTGTTGTCTCACCAAAGGGTTTGATTTTTCTTCACCATAGACCCAATTCAACTAAATTAAAGAAAATCAGTTTGAAAAGTTTTCTTATTTTCTTAAAATCTAAATTATAAAGGTCCTGTAATCGATCACTATTTTAAAATAAAGTTTTCCCTAAAATTACAATCTAGGGAAAATAAAAATGTTATGGAAAGTTTGTAAATAAAACAAGGATATTATATGGTTGGGCATTTTCACTGTGTCTGATATTACATTATTGATGCATGATTCTGAGATCAGAAAATTTCTTTTACTTATCAAACATAAATAATAAGCATACATACAAGTCAGTGAACTTGTACAGTTCTGCCCCCCTACTTCTGCTACTTTATGTAATTCGTTCTGGATCCCCATCCTGCATCAGTTTAGAAAAAATCCTATATAATCCTTGCTATATTAACCATGTCTTGTCTGCTGAAATACAGATAACAATAGATATTAAATATCCATAAAATGTAGTTGATAGTTTAATTTCTGAATAAGATTGCAACCATCCACAGTCAAATTACAATGCATTTAATAGGAATGTGTTGTAGTACTTTTTTTGGAAATTGGGTCATACTGTGCATAGGTGTTAAATGCTTTGTGGACATATTGATTGCTTACTTTCGTATATGAATGTGCTACTCTGTGTTAGTGGTGTTTTCTTGGAGTGGGACAATCTGAGTATTACAGATAGTCCTTGACTTACAATCATTCATTTAGTGACCATTCACAGTTATAATGGCACTAAAAAGTGACTTATGACTGTTTTCACATGACCTTTGCAGCATCCCCATAGTCAAGTGATCAGAATTTGGATGCTTGGTAACTGGCTCATATTTATGACCGTTGCAGTGTCCCAGATTCATGTTATCCCCTTTTGCAACCTTCTGACAATCAACGGGGAAGCCAGATGCATTTAACAGCCGTGTTACTAACTTAACAACTGCAGTGATTCATTTAACAGCTGTGGCTAGAATCATCGTAAAATGAGGCAAAACTCACTTAACAGCTGCCTCACCGATCAACAGAAATTTTGGACTCGGTTGTGGTCGTAAGTTGAGAACTACCTGTATAAGAGCAAAGACATCCAAATTTAAAGACAGGTAGCAATATCTGTGACAAGCTAGCCTGTCTTAAGCTGCTGAAATAAAAGGAAGCAAATTTAAGGTGTGCTGATGGGTTTTTCTGCGTGTTTGTCTTTTGCTTTCCATTTTGTGTCTTGCACTTCATGTATCTGTCATGCAAACCTGTTCCTTCCTTCCTTGTTCTATATATCTGTGGACAATGAGACTTCTGCTCATTGTCCTGCAAGCTGTATGTCTCTCCTACATGGACCCTCTGCTTTATTTTCTAATTATTGTCTTTCCTTTTTTTGAAGCACATTTTGCATGGCATGTACATATGTACTACTGATCCTTGAAACTGTAGTTATAGCCCACAGCTTGATTTCACCACATTGATTTATTTATTTAGTTTGGATTGAGTGTTCTCTGCTGTGGATTTATTTATTGCTTTGGGGACTATTCTCGCTCTGTATTCCTTACTCAGATGCATTTTTTCCTATGAGTAAAAAATACAGAGTGAGACTCCCCAAAGCAATAAATAAGCATTCCCCCCCCCCCCGAATGCTTCATTTATGTAAAATAGTTCTACATGTGTATGTGGTGTATTAGTGACTGTATACAGCAGGGGTGTCAACTCAAGGCCCACGGGCTGAATCCGGCCCATGGGGTGCTTAGATCTGGCCCGTGGAGCTGCCCTGGAAACAGCGAAGGACCGGCCCTTGGTGCCTCTGCCAGCAAAGATGAAGCTCCGGAGGGCCGCATTCTTTTTCTCTGGCAGAGGGTTGCAGGAGGCTGTCCCAGCCAAAAATGGAGCATGTGGCACTCCTGAGCTCCGTTTTCGCTGGGAAAGAGTTGCAGGAGGCCATCCCAGCCGAAAACGGAGTTCAGGAGCCCGTTTTTACTGGCAAAGTGCTCAGGCTACCACAGGTGCCCCCAACAAGAATAACGTCAAACTGACCACGCCTACTCTGGCCACACCCACCCCAGCCCCCCGAGGTCAAACACAACCCTGATGCGGCCCTCAATGAAATCAAGTTTGACACCACTGGTATACACTGTGGTTGATCTTCACTTGTAAACTTTCTGTTCTATATGAATTACACCAACAATCTGAATTATGATGAATTGACCTGTAGTTATCTCATATGAAGAGTGATATTACTCGGCAGCAAGGAACTTTTAAACAATGCAATTGTTATGTGCAGCCCATCAGCCTTCTCCATTTTGGTGCATTCAAAGCTTGGAAGACACTTCTTAGTGCATATCTGTGTGGCGGCCCATAGGCTGAAAGATTGCTCATCCAGGTAGTAGATCAAAAATTAGCAAACCTTTTGGTGGCTGGGTGCAGTTTCCATTGTTGAAACAATAATACAAAACAGGCATTTTGGGACTTTCTGCTTTTTCATGGATCTGGGGAATAGAGATTTATTTTATTTTTTAAAGAAATTCTATTAAGCTACAGGTTTTGTATATTCAAATTTAAATATAATTGTCAGAAAATTGTGAGAATAATTTTCAGCGGTTGAAGTTGGAGGGGCTCCGGGGCCTGTATACCCAAAAAACTCCGGGCTGCCTAATCTTCTAGTAGATGAACAAGATACCTTCTGGGGAATCTACACTTGATTACCCAAATGTCTACTAAGTTCACATGCCATTTTGTGATCTGTGGATACTTAGCTGTAAAATATGGGAGGTTAACCTTAAGTAGCAAAAATGTTACTTTGTGATGCAACTAGTTTATGTTAATAATTGAGCCCAGCATGGGTAAAAGAAGAAACAGCAGCATAATGTGAAATTTAGTTCATACTTGTAATCTTATAAAATACCTTGTTCTTGTTTCTTCATTGGATGAGGAACTGAAAATGGTTGTTAGGATTGGTTAGGCCTCGGTTAACAACCAGTCATTCACTGACAGTTCCAAGATACTGTGGTGCTTAAGTCTCCTGTGCCTGGCAATAACCACCTCACAGTGCGCATCTTGCCCCATATGACCTTTTGAACACCTCAGATGCCCCACTTCTGGCAGGAACTATCCCACAGCTCTTATGCTAGTGCCGCGCCACACCAGACCCTTGTATCCCCACCCCTGCCTGCAGCAGCCACCCTGAGCCTTGATGTCCTTGTGCTATGTGCTACACCGGACCCTCACATGCTGTCCTTCACTCCCCAGCAGCCATCTTGAGCCTTGCTGCACTTGTACCGTGTGTCCCTGGCCATCTATACACTCCCCATCCCACAAGACACCAGTCACTTACCTGGGACTTGCAACTTCCTGCTGGCTTCCCCACTGATTTTGATTATTGGAAGCCAGCAGGAAGTTGCAAGAAAGTTCTCGCTTAATGACCACAAACTTCACCTAACAATGGCAATAGGGATTGCTTTTGCTAAGCGATGCGGTCGCATGATGTAGCATTTTACAACCACCTTGCTTAATGATAGAAATTCCAGTCCCAGTTACCATCATTAACCTGTAAAATAAGATTTGCTTAGTTTGGGTGCCATCCTCTTAAATCCAGGAGCCTTATTTCTGACATAAAATAATAGAAATACTGGTTTTAATTCTATGTCTTGAACAGGAAGTATATTATAAGGGTAAAGACTGGGACCTGGCTGTTTAGAGCAGGGTTGGGCTTTCCCACTGATATAGTCAGATTAAGCAAAAGAGCAAAATATAAATATTTTGCAAATTTAAGGTAATTTGTAAAAAAAGCATATAGATGACTAAGGCAATTGCAGTAAGAAGAGCTGAACCACTAAGGAAAGGGTTTCGTAAAAAATCACAGTGATTAGTATCTGTAAAAATAACAAAAAGCTTGAACTCAGGGCCGGATTTAGATGAAAAGAGGCCCTAGGCTATTCCACTTATGAGGCCCTTTCACCTATAGTGAAAATGTAATTTTAATTTTGCTAACAATTTGAATGTAGGCCCCTCTTGATCTTGAGGCCCTAGGCTGAAGCCTAGTTAGCCTATAGGAAAATCCGGCCCTGCTTGAACTATTACTTGTTTCACAGGAATTCTGTTTTACCTGGAAATATAGCAGCTCAAGGAGCAGAATTCAGAGCAGTTCCTTGAATGTTCAGATCTGCTCACGGACAATGATAATAACACTGTGGAATTTTCCAGATAAAATTGAATGTAGTTTATAAGTGTTGGTCTTTTCAAAAATGATGATGATTAATGCAAATAATCATCAACTGCATTTATCAGTTATTAGGTCTGTACAGTGCTTCAGATTCTTTCTCTAAAAATTGCTTGAGAATGCTTTTTCTCAAAAAAAGGCAGGGCTGCTTTATGATGTTTCAGATAGGTGCTGCGTTCCAGCTTTCATGTGCTCTGAAACCCTCGTTGGAGATGAAATCTGAGCCTTTGCATAATCCTAGCCATTACCTCCTGCACTAATAACTTGAGTCCAGTAAAAATACTGGAAATAAATACTGGTGGAAATAAAATTTATTGTTATTGAAGCCAATTCAGGCTAGGTAATCCTATGTTTGCATAAATATAACCTGCTAGACTCTGATGACCTGTAACACAGTCGTATCGGGGAGAGGGCAAACTAGTTTTACACTGCAGAATAATGCATATAATGTTAAGGAATTCAGTGTATAGTACATTCCTTTATAGTTTACTTTGCTTAATAAATAGTGTTCAAAAATCAGGAGAAAAGTTAAGAGTTCACTGTTGCAATATTTTGTCCAAAAATAAGATCTTTTCCTCTTTTCCAGGGTTTATTTCAGAAATCGCTGGGTAAAAACTGTCCACCCAGTTGTGCATCAATACTGTTTGATTTCAAGCACACATTCCACCTTTCAGATGCCCCAGAAAGAAGACATTCTTAAACAACGAGTAGTAGTGGTTACTTTGAATACTTCACAATATCTGTGTCAGCTAGATCTTGAGCCTGGTGAGATAATGTTTTATAAGAAATGATTACTGCTTCTTCTTTTTCAATACGAAGTTCTCGTGATCATTTTCTACCAGAAGTGAAAGCTATAACAGCTTTATTTTGTGTGACATTCTGTGTGAATTCAAAGCAGTGAGAAAGCAGAGATATATTAACTCATTTTTTATCTACATAATATGTATTAATTTATATTCAGGCATGTCTTTATTGTGGATCTTTTCTATAGACAGTTTTAAAAAAGATACTGTTAGGAATGTGAAAATCAGCCAACTCCTGTCATCTTCCCCCATAAATGAAATAATATTTTAGGATTTAAAGGGGCCTGACATTAAATTGGTATGGCATAGATTAGTTTTTCAGAAAGTTTGCAGCTGTGGGAGAGGGGGGTTAATTAACAACATGGGAGAGAGAAAAAAGTGTGGTTCCTACCTTTATTTTCAGTTAGTTTGCATGAACTTGGCAAAGCTTTGATTCTTCAGAACTTTTGAGATCAGAACTTCCACCATAAGTGGAATTGACTGTAAATCTGGCTTTTTATATTGATCTTGCTTAAGGATTTTCTTTAAGTGAACTGTGGGTGGTGAGAAACACAACTGTTTCTTTAGATGAATTGCAGGCAATGAAGAGGAGTTGGTATGATCTCCTATATTTAAATTTTAGATCATTTATTATATATTTAATCTCTGAGCGTTATGAAGAAAGTGGACAGATTTGCTCTTGATTTTTGTCACTTCTCTATAGATTTTTATTAAATCTTTTAATCAATTTTGTTTTTAATTAGTTTCTGTATGAAGAAACCCAAATATTAACTAATTAGAATTATTCTACATGTCAACCCCTCAAATTTAGTTGTTTCAAGGAACATAAAAGCAGTTGTAATAAATACTAAATAATGAATATGTTCATGGGAAATAATCCACAGATGTAAATATATTTATATAGGGGTTTGTTCAAGTTCTGTTCAATCTTTCTTTCCTGTAATATCAATTCTAATATAGTCAATCTTATATATTTCTTGCCATATATTATGAATTTAAAAATGGCTTTCATACATTTCCATTTGATCAAGAAAGTACTTCAGTGTTGTCAGATTTGCTCTAATATTTTCGCAGCAGCTCTGCCTTCTTCTTTTCCATACATGAGTAATGCTATTTTTCATTAAAATAATTCATTCAGATGTAATTAGCTATTCAAAAGTACCTTGTCTATAATAATAGTTGAAGTGCAATAAGCAGTTGAAATTTTAATTATAATATCTTTAAATCTATGTTTCATTTGTTATGAATATCAGAGGCAGTCTCTTCCAAACTGAGATTATCAATTTTCTGAATGAATATTTTGTATACTTTAGTTGTATATTTTTTCTTTCTCTTCAGAAATCTTTGTTTCAAATTTTTAAATTTGAAAAGTATTATTTTTGCCTAACTGGATTTAATTATTTATCTGTATATAAATTAATCTGACCTTTTTCAAACTCATACTTTGCATTCTGTTTTGGACTAGATTATTTGTACCAAGTATTCTATTGATGAAAAAATAACTCTCCCTCCCTCCCTCCCTCTCTCTCACACACACACAAATAAATATCAAGAAAAGAAAACTTGTCTGGAGAGTTAACAATTAAACATTAAAAATGCAACATGCTATATACCATATTTCATTTTAAGCCAGATATGCCAGGACTGAGAGATTAAGAGGCAACATTCCAGAAAAATATTCCAGGGCACCCAGAAGTAATTGCAAACACTTCAGCAGCAAAATAATCTGAAAGCCTAGAGTGAAATGTGGAATCTCTATAGATCACTGCAACTCTTTATCCTCTATTAAGGGGCATAGTTGGGATAGAGGACCATCTAATTATGGGAAGATACTCTTAAATATATATCTGTCTTTTTCCAAAGATGGTCTTTTAATTCCTAATGCTATACTCTCCCCTCTCCTGGGGCACTAAAAAAGACAGTCACTTCCTTCCCAGAATAACAAGTCAAGATCTCCAATTGAAAACATTTTTAAAAAAAGCAGATGATAAGAGAGTTCGGGCAGAGATGACAGACATTATTCCCATATTCAATATCAGCTTTTATCTCTCTAATATGTCAAGATCAGGGAAAGAAAGAACCAGTTCTCTTATAAATAATGTGTTTCGTACATTTTGCTTTACTTCTTTGAGACTTGTGTCTGGGTGAGAAAAAGGAGTTGCGAGGGGATACCTTTTGCTCATCTAAAGATTTTACATTTTTAACTTGTCATTGCCCCACCTTTGATAAAATAACAAGAAAGAGATGTTGACTTGAAATAATTTATCTAAATTAATTTATCAGAGATTTTGTGTTGATTAGAGCCAAGACTGAATCTCATTGACAGGACTGAATTTAAATGTTTTCATAAGATTGTCACAGCTTTCATTGCTTGCTATTTAATATTTTATCCATGTCTGCTTTGTAGGGTTTTTTACACATATTCTGTTGGATGAAGCCGCACAGGCAATGGAGTGTGAGACTATTATGCCTTTAGCACTAGCAAATAAAAGTACAAGAATTGTCTTGGCTGGAGACCATATGCAGGTAATGATGTCTATTTCTGAATATATCCCAATTTTTTAAAAAAACATCTATCTCTGTTTGCAAATTATAAAGTGTAGACGAATAATTACTTCAAGAATTATTTTGGTGTAGGGTTTAAGAGAATGAAACATAAATCAAGAAGTACTTGGTTTAAAATCCTGCCATATGTTTTTAGTTCAAAACTCTATTAAAAGCAATTGATAGGAATATAGTGATTTGTTAGACTCACTAAAACCTGCATCTGTATTTAGGTAAGGTAGGATAATCTTCTATAGCTGAATAAAGGACTACAGTGGTGGATACATAATTTTAACAGAAGGTTGAAACACAAACATTAAAATCTGGATCTAAGTGTGGAACCCATATTTGTGATTGTCTATGGAGATTGTCAACCATGACCTGGATGATTGAATTATTCTGAATTCTTCAGAAGCTTCTTGGACGAAAAGTGAAACATCTTAAAGGAAAAACAAAGTCCAGTTGTCTTTTGAAAAAAACATCTTTGGGATTACTTACATGGCGGTGAATACCTTATCAGGTAGTAAGAGTTGCTGGATCCAATCTGGGTCGGTCTTCTTAGTCTCCTATGGGTCCAGCATGAGTCCAAAAGCTTGGGAGACTAAACCTCTGTTCCCAGTGACCTATCGAGATTGGATCCTGCAACATTATACTGGGATATGTATATTTCCCTGAGAGACTGTAAGAGTCTTTTTTTCATCCTAATCAATCCCATAGAAATAAATATTTTTAAAATAAAATATTTGTTGCTTAACATTAGTAATAAAGGAGAGAGAGAGAGAGAGAAAGAGAGAAAGAGAGATGTAAATATTAAAACCTGTATTTCCCTTAAAAATGGAACAAAAACTACTCTTTCACCATTACTAGTATGTCAGTGACTACTGGAGGAAGGGTGGCCCAATGAAGGAGATTATATAAAAGAATAAAAAGGTTTTATTCAAAGCAAAAGGTATAAATGCAGATGTGAATTCAGTATTTTATGTCCTCTTTGTTAATTAATTAATTAATTAACAGTAGGTTTAGAGGTAGGCAGTGGTCTGATGGGAAATGGGCAGATTCCATTTTAAATACAGGCTTTTTCTGACTTTCCAATGATTTCCTTATAAACTATTTTCCTCCTTGACTCTACTCACAATCTGAATGATGCTTGTTTTCTCACAGCTTCTGTTATCCCACTTCTACTATTGTGGCAAGTGGCAACCAGTTCAGGTCTTTCAGTATAGCATTACGTAATCCCTTTTATTGGCATAGGTTAGTAATCACATGAACATTTTGCATCAACTGCAAATTCCAGAAACATTTGAAGGATGACCCCACGTACACCATGTTGCATTAGTCAACATGGCATGCAATTAACATGTGGATAATCATCCTGAGTCCAGTCAGTTCAGGAAGAAGCATAGACGACACACTAGATATAATTGTGGAAAAGGCAGGCATTTTACCAGTTTACCCAATGAATTAGTGACAGTTGAGGATTAAGAACCAATTCCCAACATCAAGCCTTCTCTAGCATGGGAAAATACATATCTCATGTAATATGGCATTGATTTATCTCTCAATGGAATAGTCCTACATGCACCAATGTCATTAGCCCTGGTTACTACATGCTTGCCCTTCCTGGCTGATAAAATCAGTATCCTTGGGATCTGCAAATTGAAATTTTTATTGTCAGTAGTTTGAAAAATATTTCGGCCCATAGCAAAATATCTCCATTTTATGCAAGAGATAACCTCTGTTAACTGATTTGGTCTCAGAATCACATAGAGAAAATACTCTAATACAGTTATTAAGCTAACAAGTGATAGTCAAAACTGAAATTGCTATCTAAAAATGAGATTCGGTAAGATTTAAATAGAAAAGAGGATTTGGTATCAAAGACCTGATCTACAAAAAGTAGCAGAAGTGAAAATATGGATAATAATCTTTAAAACCAGGAAAAGCAATATATGTAAACAAGAGCAAAATCTTAGAATCATTCCCTTTTTGTGATCTTGAATGGAGCAAGAAACATGAGATAAGAAGTGTCACAGAAGAAGAGATCATAATTATTTCGGTGAAAGTTAGAGAGAAAGTACTGGGGATAAGATCTTTATCACATTTAGAATGACAGTAATATAAAACACAATAGAAATTTTAAAAAGAAAAGGCTTTTAGAGCTGTTAAAGCATTTATTTCAGACTGGGAAAAGTTCAGAGAAATAATTCCAGCTAAAAAGCATACAGATTAGTATTAGAGGAGAAGAAAAAGAGAAAGAAAGGCAGAAAGAAAATCCTAATGTCTAATGGGGAAAAAACTGTTCTAGATTAAGAGGATGCAATTATATCTCAAAAAAGATGTACTCAGCATGAATATCTGTATATCCAATCAATGACATCTAAGTTGACTAGAAATTCTTTATTACATTCATCTGATTACCAGTTTGTGCATGTGATGAAGTTTATATAATAATTAAGATGTTGGTCTCGGAGCAGGTTCTTGCCACCCTCAACTATGAAAGTTTACTGGATTAATTTCAACCAATTACTTCCTATCAGTCCAACCTACTTCATCAGGTTGTTATGGGAGGAGTAAAGACTGTGTTTGCTATCTTGAGCACCTGAAAAAAGCTATCATGTCATTTTGATGAGTAAAGAAATAAATACATACAAGCTTATGAAAATTTATGTCATCCTTTCCCCATAGGCACTATATAATTCTTTGATTTGGTGGTGTGTTTATTTTTTTTAGCAAAGTAGGTTTCAGAAAAATATTGCTTGGTTTCAGCAGAGCTTTCCCACACAATACTTAACAAATATTATCTGTCTGTCTGTCTGTCTGCCTGCCTGCCTGCCTGCCTGCCTGCCTACCGTGTTTCTCCGAAAATAAGACTGTCTTATATTTTTTGAACCCTGAAAAAAGCGCTTGGCCTTATTGGCATGCACTCAAAAGTCCGATTGGGCTTATTATCAGGGGATGTCTTATTTTGGGGGAAACAAGGTGTCTGTCTGTCTGTCTGTCTGTCTGTCTGTCTGTCTGTCTGTCTGTCTATCTATCTATCTATCTATCTATCTATCTATCTATCTATCTATCTACACACACACTGTGTGTATGTGTGCTATAGTGCATATAGTGTATATAGTTAAATATATATGAAAATAGAACTCTAAGGTGAATCTCGTGTAGGTTGGTTTCCTTATGTATATGCATATATCAGTAAAGGCAATCCAGAAAGTTTAGATGTGCCCTGCCTCTCTTGAAACTCTCTTTAGGGTTCCTCATGGAGTGTTCTTCCTCCTCTTCACTTTCCTGAAATAGAAAAAAATCACCCTACTTAAGAAACATAGAAATTCAAAGGAATATCCCCACTTGTTTGTTGCCGGTAAATTGAAAGGAAATGAAATTCAAACAATTAAATGGAGATTACTTAATATAATGTTATTCTTTTTCTTCCTCACTGTGCATAAATTTAATACCATTTTTACAGGTTGGTCATTAATTTATCTGTTGAGATAACGTTCTACACAAATACTCGGTTATAAAATGATATCTTTCTTTTGATTTTTTTTCCTCGGTTATAGCTTAGTCCTTTTGTGTACAGTGAATTTGCCAGAGAGAGAAATCTTCATGTTTCATTACTTGATCGTCTTTATGAACATTGCCCTGCAGAATTTCCATGCAGGATCTTGCTGTGTGAGAACTATCGCTCCCATGAAGCTATCATCAAGTAGGTGTGAACTTTTTCACTGTATCACACTCTGCTTGGCTGGTACAAGTGTCTAATAGAAGCTTTTGCCATTACACTCCAAATTAGTTGAAAAGAGATGTGTAATAACCTACCACTATTATTAGCATAATAAAGCTACTGTTTTTTTTAATATTTGAAATAAGTAAGAATACTGCATTATTTTGAGATTTAGTAGAATGGCCTACTTGGACTTTTTAATTGTGGTTTATGCCACCATAGCCTGTAATTTGTTGTAATAGTAAAGCTGATTTTTCTCCAATATTACACAAGGAGACCTTTATTTTTATAGTGAAACTTGGCTATGCTGTCCTTATACTAAAGATATTGAATAGAATTTGTGTGACATTGCATGGACCAAATGCAAGACAATATTTTGCAGTATGTAAGCTGAAATGCATAAAATTTGTACTTCTACTTGTATTTTAAGTTCTTTTGCAATATAAAAATGTTAATTCTTGCTAGAACGATTACAGTAGAACCACCTGATTACGTGTAACAGCAGAATAACCAAACTAGTTAGATAATTTTCAAGTATGTGGACTTGTTTGCTGGGTTGAAGGCTGCTATTGCATGCTGATCTCAGTATTTGTTCAGTTTGATATGGTCCAGCTGAGAAGCAGGATCTTTATTGTGCTCTTTGTATAAACTTGTAAAACAAGACAATGTGAAAGCAGTTATGTAACAAGTCAGTTCTTTGGGTTTTGAATCTAAATAGACGTTTGAAATGATGCTCATGGTCTAGGAATAAAGACATTGACGCAGGAAATAGGCAAATGAGAGAAAATACAGATGGCGGCGAATATCTGTAGCTCAGGTGTAGGATGAGGGTGAAGGTTCGTTCTCCGAGCTCGCGGGTTGGTTTCCAAGCATTTCATTACCAGGCTAGGTAACATCTTCAGTGGGGTTTAATCTCTACCCACACTGACACCAAACAGCACCAGTTCAATTGGAGCAACACAAAAATCATTGGCCACGCTGCCACGCTCGTGAGTTCATCGAAGTCTGGCACTCAACAAGCAATTCCATCAACAGACACATTGACCTACAACCAGCCTACGAACTCTTCAGAATCCAAATCAACCGCACAGCCAACCAGAGACAGCACCAACCCTCAACCCACCCACGAAAGCCCCCCCACTAGCAGCTCACCTCCAATGACCCTGACCTGATGTAATCCCCTTATCACAAGACCCATCACAAGACCCATCACAAGACTCACTGATGATTCACAGCTGACCGATCACTAGACCCTCACTTGATACTCCCACACCTGAATCCCGTATAAACAGCGGAACACCGACACTGACATCTGCTAAACTCCGCTGAAGATGTTACCTAGCCTGGTAATGAAACATTTGGAAATCAACACACAAGCTCGGAGAACACCCTCAAAATACAGATGCTCAGACAAAATGGCAAAAATTATTGGTTAATTATCTGTGCAAAATTGGCAAGAGAAATGCTACATAAATTGCATGAAAAGACATCATGGATGCATTTTAAAGATAGGATCATTGTGCCTATGCAGGTTTTCCACATGCAACTTCAGAAAGTTGCTACTGCTGATGTCGCACCACCACCATTATTATTAAATAACAGCATGTAAATAAGAATTATATTTTGATAGCTAAATTAGAGGAGGATCTCCCCCTCCCATTCATTGGAAAGGAGAATTTCATATTTCATCTTTTACTTCTGCCCTCAAAGATTTTTAGGACTAGCTCTGTTAACATAAAATTTCATAAATGGTCTGAGAAATATAACTAGGCATACTATATTATACTATCCTGAATAAATAACAGGTTTTTTTTTTTAAACGTGATTTTTAAAATGAACTTTAAAATGATTTTTAAGGGTTTATTATTTGAGCAAGCACAGAACATGTGAAAAAAAATGCATATAGATTATTTTCTATGAGATTTTGTTTTTTAACATATGCAAGCTATCATTTGCATTGTAACAAATAGTCCCAAATAGTTGCTTATAAAATGTTACCCCTTCTTATTCTCATCTTGGTGTTTTCCAGAAATGTTAGAGCTATACTTCCTATCTACTGAGCATGGTGATGGCGAATTCTAGGAGTGGTGATCTCAATACCTCTGTAGAGTATCAGATTGAAGAAGATAGAATTAATCAAAACATAATTAAATCTCAGAACGATGCTAAAAGCAGCATACGTGCTGAGGCATTCATTCACAGCTTCTGTGCATTGCTATGTATTTACATAAAAACATACTGAAGTTGTAAAACTATGTCTGATTCACAGGTCAAAGCAATAACAAGCAGAATGTTTACATAACGCTTCTCTTTGGCCTGAATATTGCTGGTTCCTGTCTATCTAGCTTCAGCCTTTATACAATATTTCTACGTTTCTTTCTTTTTTTCTTTTTGTTCCTCTTCATTGCAGTTATACTTCTGAGCTTTTCTACGAGGGCAAATTGATGGCCAGTGGAAAACAACCTGCACACAAAGATTTTTATCCTCTGACATTCTTCACAGCACGGGGAGAAGATGTACAAGAAAAGAACAGCACTGCTTTTTACAACAATGCAGAGGTAGTTGATTTGACTTCAATTAATTGCTGTTGTGAATATCTATCTATCTATCTATCTATCTATCTATCTATCTATCTATCTATCTATCTATCTCCAACTGAGTATTTGGCTATCCTATGCTAATGTAGAAGTCAATGGCACATTCCCAAGATTGACCCATTTAAAGTATATATGTAAAGAAGCCATATCTGCTTTTAGATATCAACCTCTTCTCCTTTTTTAAAAGCCAAGACTCATAAATTATCCATATTTTAAATGCAATTACCATGTTTGGTTCTACATACAAATTCGGCCTAATTGGTTCCTCAAAGTATTTTGTGATAAAATACCTCTGCAAGTCTGAAGATTTCATTAACAATTGCTGTTTGCTGTTCATAGTTTATGGCAAAACTAAACAAAAAAGTCTGGGTTTTTTTTTAAAAATGATTCCATTGTGCAACTAGAAGAGGGTTGGCCATTTTTTTTAAAAGATTGTGCATTATAAAGTAACAAAGATTATGGTCCCTTGAAAGTAATAGGCTAGGGTCAGAGATGATGTAATTTAACCAAGCATAGATAACAATCCCCGTTTATTTTTTTTCTCCATATAGAAGTCAGAAATACCTTGCAAAAAGTGTAAATACTTTGTTTTAGAAGGCTTTGACATTAATCCAAAAATTGCATGAAATCAGTCCAGGGACCACAAGTTGCTGCCTATGAGCTAGAATGGCTTTATCAAAAGACAAAAAGGTTATTTTTAGAATACCACACCCATTAATTAATTCTTTCTTTCTCCATCTTTCATTTAAGATGAAACAGCCTCTCTTCTTTTTAAATACTTCTTAATTTCACGATTTGAAATATGGGGAGCATTAAGCTGTTTCAAGTCAAAATGAACAGGGGATTAATTCTCTCCCAAATGAGTTCTGGTTTTGGGAACAGCTTGCCTAATGCAGTGGTTCTCAACCTTAATATTTGCACCAATTTTCCTATTTATAGTCTCTTAACTGCTTTGCAAGCTGCCTCATGAGCTCCCTTACCATAAATATGCCTGAGAGCAATTCAGGAATAACAGAGAGAGAGAGAGAAGAAGAAGAAGAAGAAGAAGAAATAAAAAAGATGATTTCTTCCTTGTAAGATCATTTCAGCAGCTATATCAACCCACCCAATATGGGCATCTTCCAGATACGTAGACAAAGTTCAGGAATTCAGCAGTGGTCCTTCTCCCAGAAGTTTACATATTTGGAAAGTATCCAGGTTGTGAATCTGAGGAATAGCATGGAAAAGGGGACCCGTTTGATCGGCATTTAAATTTCCAATATAACTACAATGCTAGTAGCTGTGTCTCAAAGTATGATTTTATGAAACGATTTGAGAATTTAATATTTAGTGTCCTGTCTTCCAGAAAAAGACAGGTGTTTCCTTCCCGCAGTTTTTGCAATATTGGCTATAAAACCTTTTTTCTATTACTATTCTAGATATTCCAGAAAGAGAGAATGGAAAATTCATGATTAGATCTAAATCATCTTAGCAAATGTTTAGGTTCTGGACATTCCATATGTAGATAGAACTGATTCACCAAAGCTCTTATATGGCTTCAAAAGATATATTCATCCATAATAAGACAGTCTGAAAGGACATTTATATACAATACTTTGGCTTCTTTATTATTATTTTTTGCTATATTCCTAGAATATTTGTACCAGTGTAGTACTAGCTTGTCCATAGGAGTAAACAAACCTCATTTCCATTTAATTTAGTCAGTTTGTATTAGCAGAATAAATCCTGGGGAAGTGTTTAGTGAGCTGCTATAACATAAGTAGCAGTACATCTTCTCTCATTCTTCATTAAAATTACTCCTTTTTTGAGTCTGAAAAAGAGACAACAAATGTCGGTCCACATGATCTTGGATTCAGCAGCCCTCAAGGCGTTCTTAGAGAAATGGTATAATGGGTTTCTCCATAAAACGAGAGAAACAAAACAGTTTGATTTTCTATTCTCCTTTGTTTAACTCCTGATTATGTGCTGTGAACTAGACTATGAAGTTGGGAAAAGTCCTGGGAGAAACAAGGGGTGAACCACTTATATAGTGGTATCAATTAAACTCCATAATGCAGTCATCAGGAATTACATTTGCTTTGAGGATGTCTGCATCTTTTATGTGTATTCAGTTCCTCCTTGTGCCTCTTGTTCATTATCACACACTAGTCACAACAGATGATTATCTGTGTTGTTATCACAGGTTAAATAGCTTTGCTCTGAATACTTTCTTCATTCAGAGCATATTTAATTTGTGATAAAACAATCCAGTGATAAAATGATTTGCTCTGATTTAATGACCCTAATTTGTGTGTGGGGGGGATTTACACAAAAAATGGAATAAAACTTTTATGTATTTTGAAGTTGGTTTTGATCAGAAGAGTAGGCTTCAACTAAAAGACTAAGGGAAAGTCTGGCAACACTGAACTTAACAGTTAATACCTTCCTTTTTTTGTCTGATATCAGACAAAATCAATCCATTTTTCCATTATTATTATTGTTGTTGTTGTTGTTGCTGCTGCTGCTGTTGTTATGTAACTTGTCACACAGCTAATCAGATGTTTAGACTGGATTTGGCATTTTTATCCAACCACAAGTAGTCCTCGACTTACAACAGTTCATTTAGTGACCGTTGAAAGATACAACAGGACTGAAAAAAATGACTTATGACCGTCTTTCACACTTACGACTGTTGCAGCACCTACAACCACTGTTGCATCCTAACACTTGTGTTGCACAAGTTCTTAAAGTAGAAAGTAATTTATCTGCTTCTTAAAATATACATTTGTTTCCCTAATGGAGAACAGTAAACTCATTTTATCATGCATGCTATTTAATATTTCAGATAATAATGTTGAATAAATAAAATTATGTTAGGAAATATATAAAATGATTGTTATTGATGTTCATTAAGGTTTCCACTCAGATTTAGAGTTTCGTTCCTTATTGATTGTATGGGTCCTTTTGATTGCATATGTAAAGCAATTATGGATGCGGTGAAAATATTAATAATTGAAGTGACATGCTTACAGATTATTAAAATCATGCCAGTGTCATACAGGGGATGCTGCAATTAAATAACTATTTTTCAAAAGACTTAGATAATGCTGTATACTGGTGCTAAAACTGGTTTCTGCTAAAACCTGTATTGCTTTTCATCCAAGAATATAATGCAAAATGTATATCAACAAAACTAGCCATTTCCTAAGCATGATTTTCCCCTTTTAAGGTCTTTGAAGTAGTTGAACGTGTTGAAGAATTGAGGAGGAAGTGGCCGGTAGCCTGGGGAAAGTTGGATGATGGCAGCATAGGTGTTGTAACACCATATGCTGATCAAGTGTTCCGAATTCGGGCAGAGCTTCGGAAAAAAAGATTGTCTGATGTCAGTGTTGAAAGAGTGTTAAATGTTCAGGGTAAGTAATACAAGATTTGATTTGATTTGATTTGATTTGATTTGATTTGATTTGATTTGATTGGGTGCTATAAAGTCAGGATCATCTTTTAGTGACCACATTGATAATACATACCTTTGACTAGAAGAATCTAGCCTAGAGTTGGAATAGCATTAAAGTGCTTTATAACAGCAATTTATAATATTACTGGTATTTAAAAACATTTAAAACTTTAAATCTAAGAATTAAGCATCCTTTTTTTTTAATCATGGGATGCCCTTTGAGACAAGGCTCTAGCAGTATTCAATAGCTGTGATCATTAAAATGTTCAAGAACAATATCTCAAGTTGGAAAGGAATATAGTTGAACTCTGCAAAAGAATACTATGTTGAAACAGATGTTTTTAAAAAAATAATAACAAATCAGTTATGATAATAGACCACACCATACCATACATTTAATTTTACTAAGGTTATGAATCATAGTAAAGGTCTTAATTTCTGTGTTTCACCAGGAAAGTTGCCTTTTTTCCTATTTTTCTTCCTTTGATGGGTTCGAATAGAATCTAGAGTTTTTAATGGTTCTTAGAACCCATGAAAAAATAATAAGGATGCTTAATTCTTAGATTTATTTACATACCCTTTCACCCAAGAATATAACATACATGTACATACCCTTTTTCCAACCTGGATACCTGCTGGTCTCCCACCTATCATTTTTTTCTCGTTATTTCTCCCTTATTTAGTTAGCTTTTTTTCCTCAGGTTTACTTTAAGCCACTCAATTTTCCCATTTCCCAAATTCCCCATTTCTGCTCTTCTTTGTAAATTTAATCTCTGTTATCTTCCATTTGTAAGGATATGAGCAAATATAAAATTACCTCCACTGGTACCTCTAAAATTGGTAAACTACAGTAGTAAAATTAAAGCAAAAGTTCCCAAGTACTGTTCGTTCGTTTGTTCTATCTATCTATCTATCTATCTATCTATCTATCTATCTATCTATCTATCTATCTATCTATCTATCTATCTATTCTAATCTATCTACACACACACATTGTGTGTGTGTATATGTAAAAATATGGCACACTGCATGAATGTTTTTAATGCAAAAGAAATTAACAGCACCAAAGATATCAATGATTAAGCATAATTAATATTAATACCAAAGCAAATAATGTTCTTGTTATTTGTAATTATTCTAGAATATTTATTTTCTAATTATTATAGCATAAATATTTTCAAGTGAACAATAATTATTCACTTTGCTAACATTGATGTAAAAAGTCAATACATGTGGTAGTGTTGCTAGCAAAAAAAAAAGACAGACTAACAGTATCTCATACTCTTCCTTCTTCAGGAAAGCAGTTTCGAGTGTTGTTTCTCAGCACAGTACGAACCCGACACACTTGCAAACACAAGCAAACAGCGATGAAGCGGAAGGAACATTTATTGGAAGATTCAACAGAGGACTTAGATTATGGTTTTCTGTCCAATTACAAACTTCTCAACACAGCCATTACAAGAGCACAGTCCCTAGTAGCTGTGGTGGGCGACCCAATTGCTTTATGTTCCATTGGAAGATGCAGGTACAACCAATATGTGGTATGACCAAATAATAAATCATAACGATGAAAGGCTTACTGTGTTTTTAATAATTAATTCTCATTCCTGCTCTGCTTCACCTAAGTGGACGCTTTAGATGGGGTGGGGGGAGGTGTCCAACCGTGGCAGCTTTAAGACTTGTGGACTTCAATTCCTAGAATTCCCCAGCCATCATGGCTGGCTGGGGAATTCTGGGAGTTGAAGTCCACAAATTTTAAGATTGTCACAGTTGGACATGCCTATTTTAGGCTTTCTCTCTTAATTTGAGATAGATGTGAGCTTTAGAGGGTGAGATACTATCCATGTCTCCCTACACACTATCTGTAATCCATGTCTTGTGTTTAATCTCACCATCATTTATCATTTCATTTTGTTTAAATCTACAGTATAGTATAATATATTAACAGAATCTAAAGCTGATAGACTATGAAAATTTCTTGTAATAGGCTCAAATTAGCAACATTGTTGTTGGATGTTTGCTAATTATATTTCATTTGCAGTGTAAAGGGGGAAACAAGGCCAATCTACAAAGGATTCATATTGTCAAATTTTCTCTTAATGTTACAGGTAAAAATGGAAATGTTGTATTGTAATGCTCACTCACAACTACAAAAAAATTGTTTAATGCTTTCCAGGATACTAGTTTTGTCTACTAATAGTGTGTTCCTTTAAATGCATATTTGTGTCGGTTTTATTGTTTTTTGAAATTATATTTATAATAAATGGGGGAAGGGAGAAATCTTTAGAAATTTTGCTAGAGGAAAGCAAAGTTTTACAGAAATGTGAATAAGCCAGTCTAGTTCTCAGATTAAAAATTGAAATAGAGTAGGATATAGTGAAAGCAAGAACAGGGCTGAGTTAGATACAATCTGCTGGATTTTTGTCACTGATGAAGGTATGTGCTGTTATATTTATATTGTTATAATAGCAATAGGCAAAACCAGATCCTTTAATCTTTTCTGGTTTCCTTGTTGATAATCTAAACTTTGAAGGTTGAAGTGGATAATTTTGTAATCTATTTTCAATCTATATTTTTTAATATTTTAAAAATGTGATAGTACAATTATTTGGTTTTAGCAGAAATTTAATATTGTCCCCTTGAAGAAATTTCTAGTCAGGGTGGATTTGATTTAAATCGAGTTGATTTAAATCACAATTTAAATCATGATTTAAATCACTAGTAAAAAGGCTTGATTTAAATCAACTCGATTTAAATCATAATTTTTAAAGAGCAACTGTCATCTCTGCTACTCCTTTGACCCACTGTTGACTCACCGATAGTCCCAGGGTTGCAGAATATACAGCCTCATACTACATAACTAAGCTCCATTTCATGCTGAATAAACTAAATTATTTATGTATCTTAAATAGAAAACTATCTTACAATAGATTTTTACCCCAAAAGTTTTTTATTAAAATAAATTTGATAAAAATAAAAAAAATCCGATTTAAATCAAAAAAATCTGATTTTTTTTAAAAAAATCATTGATTTTTATCCACTCTGTTTCTAGTTATATTAAGTATATACAATTTAATGAATGAATTATTGCAGAGAGAATATATATATAATGAGAATTCAGCAATATTCAGCATTATAGCAATTGCACTTAGACTTACATACTGTTTCATAGTGCTTTACAGCCCTCTCTAAGCAGTTTTACAGAGTCAGCATATTGCCCCCAACAATCTGGGTCCTCATTTTACTGACCTCAGAAGGATGGAAGGCTGAGTCAATCTTGAGCCGGTTAGGATCAAACCCCTGGCAGTCAGCAGAATTAGCCTACAATACTACATTCTAACCACTGTGCCACCATGGCTCTTATTTCTTTGTACTAGGTCTTGCTTGTAGAACATAAATTTTTTTGATTTATTTTAATTTCATAGCAACTGCATGTGTACAGGTTAGATAAAATAACTGGTTTATATTTGTGAATATGATCCATAGGCTGTCATACATAAGTGGAATATGATTTTATTTTTATGTAAACATGGACATTTTTGCACAGCATGTCTCATAGTTAACCTGCTAGCGCTGAAAGTAAAATTATGTGGGAAGTTACCGTGGAGAATCTTGCTGGTCCTATTTTATTTTAAATCCCTTTTGAATTCCAGGGATGTTATTTATTTCAATATTAAGGCTGTTCAGAAGAAGTATATGCTCTGTGGTGATCTTGATCTGGATTGGACGACCATCTGCTTGAAATTTATTACAAGAGCTTTGTTAATTTTGCTCTCGCGTTATGCTTTTCATAGCCATTTAGCCATTGGAAAAGTATTTGTGGTATATCCCTCAGCAAGCAGATGTGCAAGGATAATCATAAATTGCTGCTGTGGAATGCAAGCAAAGACTTTACTAACAGTCTGGGGTGTGTTCTGTGAGTAATCCAGGTGTAGTTAAAGCTAAACTCCAACCAATGGTTGTAGAGCTTAGAGACATGCTTCTTGTCCAAGTTTCATGTTAGGTAAAGCAATACATCTCTCTCTAGGAATTCAAATGCATAGGCAGTAGGAAAATTGAAGGACAAGACTCAAAGAAATAAGTTGCTTTTACTGCAAATGTGAAAGAAAGGTCTTATGATGAAAATAATATCGAAAGTAGGGATTTAATAGTTGGATGACAACTTCATGGTCTAAACCCCATATTTCTTTCTCCCATCTATACACAATATAGTGGCCTTTTTGTTGACTGGTTCTCATCCTGTGAGGTTGAGGGCACCTGCACAGGGTTTTTTTCTTTTCTTAAATAATGTTCTTGGCTGATCTTGGATACTTCATTTTCAACCTTGCCAGCTTCATCCTTCCTACTTCTTGTCTAAGCAGAAATAATATCTGCCACAAAACACTCCAGACTTAATTGTTGATGACAAAAACAAACAAACAAACAAAAATTGCAATACCTGGGGATAGCAGAAGAGAAGAGAAGAAGAGAAGAGAAAGAACTGGAGAAAATCACACAATACAAAGACCTGCTAATAGAAGTAGAATGACGTGACAATAAAATCAATAAAAGATAAAGATAAAAGATAGGAAGCTCAATGAAGCAAGAGGTCTCACTGCCTCTCCCCAGAGGCCTGCTGGTTAAAGATCCAGGTTTTCACAGCTCTTCTAAACAACAGCTTGATTGTAAAACTTCTTGTTCTTCCAACATTTTGAGACCTATTGGCATTGTCTGACTTTAAAACAGTTAATCAAGTCTACAGAAATATGCAACATTTTCATTGATAATGCAAAATTCTAAAATGTAAATGTAATTTGGAAGTTATTAAAGTGAGTCAAGAATCTATTGCAATAACTATCAAGACCTTTTGAAATATGGCTACAGTACGTATTTGTAAAATCGCAGCTATATCAGACAGAGCTGTGGCAATTTTTTATTTTAAATTCAACAGCATGTTACCTATCAGAACTGGCAGGATTTGATTCATTTTTCTTGCAGCCACATTGTAAATGTGCCCTGTGTGAACAATCCGCCTCAATGTTTTAAAAACAAAAAAGGCACTTTGCAGACATTCTAACACTTAAGACAGATGTTTGTATGTGATATAAAGAACTTGGCTACTAAATCTTGCTATTGCTCAAATGTTAATGCTAAATAGTTTTAGAAGTCTTCAAATGATGTTGTCTCATAATTAAATAGTATTGAAAGCAAAGGGATTAGGTTCAAGATTTACTTTTTATTTTTTATTGTAGAAAAACATTTTTGTGTTGTTCTTGTATTGGCTTGTAGGAAATTTTGGGAAAGATTTATTGCCCTGTGTCATGATAATGAAAGTCTTCACGGTATCACATTTGAGCAGATCAAGGCTCAATTGGAAGCGCTGGAATTAAAGAAAACCTATGTATTGAATCCGCTGGCTCCCGAGTTTATTCCACGGGCTCTGCGACAGCAGCATTCATCAAACACCAATAAACCACAGCAATCGCCACCAAAGGTAACCTCTGAGAAAATGATTAAAAGGTTGCAAGAATTTGCTAAGAAATATCAGAAAAGCATATTAGCTGTTGTGCTTCCTCCTAAGAACATAGAATGGGAAAATACTGGGCTGAAAAGATAACATAGTTTTACATATATTAAGATAGAGCTTTTCGTAAGCAGTAATTTTTTGGGTCCAGGAAAACAATATGTGTTCAGAAGAGATCATGATATTCATGCCAGAAGCTGCTAGAATGTCTGGGAAAACACAAAATCTATACATTGTCTTCCCCCCCCCCTTAAAATTATACAGTCATATCAAGAGTGAGTGTAGGGAGGGGCCAGCAGGTGAGATACGTAGGTGAGTGCTGCAAGCTGGTACTACAGAGTGTGGATGAGTCTGCAGGGGCTGTGAATGAATATTATGGAGCGTGGGTAAGCCAGCATGGGCCACAGCTGGGTGTTATTGAGTCCCAGATCCCTGGGATCTCATACCAGGGTGGGGATCTTTGAGAGAAAAACAGCAGGAGCAACTTATGATCACAACTGGTGACTTGTGATTTTCCCTGCCAGCTTCCCTATTAACTTTGCTAATGGAAAGCAGGCTGGGAAGGTTGCAACCAAAGATTGTATGACCATGGCTCACTGTGATGTAGTAATTGTGAGCCAGGCACCTGAGCGCTCAGATTGCAGTCATGTGACCACAGGGATGCTGCGACAACCGCAACTTCACAGACTATCCGGATATTACCCTTGTTCTGAGCCCTCATAACTTTGATCTGTTGCTGAACAAGCGAACCTGAGGAATATCTGTTAAAGTGATACTGTTGTCATGGTTGTTTTGTTTTTTTACCAGTTGTATTTTACGGATTTTATTTGTGATGTAAACTACCTCTTATGTTCATTTGGATGGAAAGCTGGGAATTTGCATAAATAAACCTTCTTAGTACTGTATTTACTAGCAAATTAAATGAGTCTCAAGAACTTGGTTTGGTGGGGTTGGAGATAAAAACAATAGCTATAACTCCTTTAAAGTGCCATATTCTATTGGGGAGTGCGTATGTATGTGTGTGTGAATTATTGTAATCAATAGTGATAGGTCTTGTAGAAAGATTAAGGAAACATTTATCTAACCCTAAATATTAGAAGAAGCAGAAATAGCCCCCAGCATTTTAAAATGTAATTTTTCTTTTGCAATGCGTTTTAGAGACTCTATCTTTATAGAGTAACTAGTGAACCAGTTTGTTATTCTTTTTCATCCATGTTATTCATAGGTCAATATTTATTCAGGCTTTCTAAACAGACTGATTAATGTGTTCAGACTGCTGGAAAACGGCGTAGACCTTTCCCCTGAGGAAGTAATGTTCTTAAGCATCAGTGAGTTTTAAAACTTGGTGCTCGACAGCATATTGAAAAATAGGCATTGGGAAAAATCACCATCTTTTGGTTTTCTCTTGTCTTCCTATTAGAGCTATATGGTAAACCTAGTAGATATTTACTAGGTAAGAAACAGTAGATTTTTGGAGAAAGAGTGTAAGATGTCCTAGGATAAGTAGGCAGCCCACAGTGTCCATGCCTTCTACTGAACATTGGGAGAGAGAACTGTAACTGTTTTAGATGAAACTGTAACTGGCCAGAGTGAAATAGTGTTTTCACATAAACAAGTTAGCCAGTTAGTTTCACCTTGGATCAGCTTCTTTACAGTCTGTGGACTTTAACTTCCAGAATTCTGGGGGTTGAAGTCCACAGGTCATAAAGGGGCCATAGCCTTGGATCCTGCCTTGGATCAATATATTTCTCACTATATTTTTCTGTATATTTTTTCCACTATATTGCTGTATTGCACTTTGCTCCTCTGAAGGCCCTTCCATTCTAGATTGTATAGTTGGGAGCCTTGCCATCAAGAGGTTGACGGTGCTAACTTCATCTCGAAATTAGTACAAGTTATCTCCTGCATCTTCTGTTTGCCTACTCCAGGGGTATCAAACTTGCGCCCCGTGGGCCAGATGTGTCACGCGCTGGCCACGCCCATGCCCGGTTTAGCAAAGGTGGGGGGGAAGTCACAATACGTCACGTGACAACATACGTTTGACACCCCTGGCCTACTCCAATGGTTTTGTGGTTAGCATTATTGTCTGGGTTAAGAAGCCAGAGCTTTAGTTAGCTGCCTCTTTTTTAGTCACATAAAGAACCCTCAGAAGGTAATCTTGATGTTGTGGGAAACATGCTTACATTTCTTGGGGCTGATTCAAATATCTTTCTCCAATGTTATATATAGTACTTTGCAGGAAAAAAGGAGAAGCCCTATGGAACTTGGAAAAATAGAAACTAATACTGGGAGATTCACAGAAGAAGCCAGTATCTCAGTTTAAAGATACAATAAACTGAGATACTGATTTCTACTGTGAATCAACCATTATTAGTTTCCATTTTTCCAAGTTCCACAGGGCTTCTCCTTCTTTCTTGCAAAGTATTTATTCCTCTTACAAAAGTGGGAGGACAAGTTTGCTGATGGCAGTGCCACAGACACTGACTGTTTAAAACAGGATCTTGACAATGATATTCTAAGATAGCCTTTGGCGATGGCTATTGTTATATATTTTCCACAGTAAAATAGCTATGCTGTTAATTCTACTACTAGATAAGTATAAATTTGCAAGATTGCAATTTTATCTTGATTTTAAAATGACCTAGTGTACATGAGAGTATAGTTCAGACTGCCTGTAGATTCTTCACCCAAAATATCATATTTTTTGAATCAACCCAAGAATGATTGGCGTACTTGCAGCCTGCTCTTTTTTAAAATTAAAATAACAAATTTTGTGAATGCCATTTGTTTTAATCTTGATTTGCTCAAGAGAAGATGATTAGATAGATAGACAGACAGACAGGCATTGACTTCTTTTTTCAGTTTTCTATATGCCAGATTGGTGTATTGGTTGAGGCGCTGGACCAAATAGTAGGAGAAAACCTAATTTACAAGACGTATTATATGATCAAAGTTGATTTGCCATGTGTACATTTTCAGCTGTAGAGTGTAAAACACTCAGAATTGTAAAAATAACCAATATAACAAGGATAATACTTTCAGTGCAACTGTTCAATTATATAGTTCTTTTGTATATTATTACAAGGATTAGGTTAAGTTTGTTCCCTGCTGACTCTGAAATTGATCATATGGTATTTTCTACTGCATGTCTAAAATTATTGTAAGAATTGGGGGGTTTTATTTGCTTTTTATTTATGCCATTTTGTTTCTGCATGGCGCTGTACAAGGTCCCCTCTTCGCCATTTAATGTTCCCAACAGTCCCATTAATCAGAGGGCTAATGTTATCTTACAAGTATTTGAACATAGTGTGCATTTGTGTTGCACTGCAACATCTTATGTAATTAAACAAAAACAGTATTTGTGAAGCATTGCAATTAATAAGATGTAAACCTGACTCTGAGGCAGAGAAATCTTGGTTTGTGAAGGCTCACGAATTACTCTATATCCCCCTGTCCCGTGCCACAGGAATATCTTTTGGTTACTGAAAATATTATTATCTTCTGTAATTTTCTGGAAATGTATAGGCATGCATTCTATAATATTGGTAGTTCTGAAAACTTTCTTAACTTTCTTTGATGTTTATATCAGCTTTAAAGGTAGAATAATTTAACTCCTGGCCAATCTTTTTTTAATAGGTAAAAAGCCATCATCATAACCATAGTGACCATTTTCACACTGATGGAATTGGTAAGTATTTGGAAGAGGGTGCTTTTTTGTTTTTTGTTTTTTTTGAAAAAAATTGAGAAATAAGCATGTTTTTGCAATGAAACTAAATGTTTTCTAAGTAAAAATCATAGGCTATCAGAATCCATAGCCCTGTTTGGAGTCTGGACTTTCTTTATCTAAAATTATTGAGGGAAGCATAGGGAAGGGATCAAGAATGACCAAAAGAGTGATCCTATACTAATTAAATTTAGGAGCTCCTCTGATTTTGGGAAATAAAGTATTTAACAACATATAGACTTGATTTGATCCAAAGTTCAAGAGAATTCTAAATATAGGCAATAGACAAATATCTCTATTGTGGCCTTTGATCAGTCTTTACAGTAGGAAAAGAGAAATAATTTGGTACAGCAATTCATTATTATGGGAAAAAAGCAACACAACTATAAAACCACAGATTAGTTAGACATTTTGTGAAATTGTATGACGTAATGAAGATGTTTGGCCACCTGGCATGCGAATGCAAAGTTAGCATCACTTAAAAAGTAATGAACATAAAAGTTATCAGAATGGACCTCCAAATATAGAGATAATTGGGGAGATAAAACATGTCTTGAGGCATCATAAAGAGGACACTGTATGAGGACATACAGTGGTCAAGAGATTCTACCTCTCTAAATCCACAAGGGCAAAGTTTCTGTAAGTAAGGAGTCCCGTGAAATCTTCCCACCAGCTGAACTGAAGGGAAGACATCAAAGCAGGCTCTTTTGTATTTGCTTAGGCTTAGATTGTATAGATAATCTGCAGTAGTGCTCACAGCTATCTAACATTTGAGAATAGAATTCAAGAGCAGTGGTGATAGCATTTTGATGATCAATGTCTTAGTTCTTTCTTTTATGATTAATTTGCCCTTCTCAAGGGTTAATTGGCCTAAATATACACCAGAGAATCCTAGACTGCAAAGTTCTATACAGGTTTGGTGCCAATGAGATTGGTAGTTGCCTGACAACAGCAGAGGCACCAGACTTGTAGGATCTATCAAAGATGACTGTGTGTAATTGATGCACTCAATGAATCTGGCCAGGCTATCATATGTTCCTGGCCACAGCTGCCGTGAAATAAACATCCTTTGAAGGCTGAGGAAAAAGTGAACGCTTGTAACTTTCACATTCATATTTTTTATGTAGTTCAGCCAACGGCTTCTGTCTTAATTGGAAATCCTGTCAGAGCGTATACCCCACCACCGCCACCCCCTCCTCCTCCTGGGCCTCATCCTAACCTGGGGAAGTCTCCCAGTCCTGTACAACGGATAGATCCTCACACTGGGACAAGCATTCTTTATGTACCTGCTGTTTACGGAGGAAATATGGTCATGTCTGTGCCTTTACCTGTAAGTATTCATTGTTGCGTTAACAAAGCACCCTCCCTCCATCCCCCACTTACTCACAGAAAGTTGAAAATACTATTTTGCTTCTATCAGAAGAGCTATTTGCTAATAAAAGAAAAAAAGCCACTAAAATAAGTCTCCCAACTATTTAAATGTTTGACCTGTAACAATCCAGATAACGCCCAATGAACTTTGCGTGCTGAAATTCCAACCTGCCAAAGCATGCCATGTTTTCATTCGTGGCTAATGTACTTATCTGAAATATCAGTAACTTTAAATATTTTAAAGTTCTTTTAGAAGACTATACTGTCTTGAAATATTTCAAAATGTGTCTGCAAAAAGATGAATATATATGAAAGAACTCAAAATGCAGGCACGAAACAATTCTGTACAAAAATGCACACATGGCTGGATGATAAAATGGAAGGGGGTAACTTTTTGTGATCAGGAAGTACTTTTTTTTCGTTTCCTGAACTGGAAAGCCATATCTGTAGCATTTCTTAAAGAAGAGGAATCCGAATATTTTTAATCTATTTTAAACATTGTTAAGGAGTTGTGGCAGCTTGCCCATTTTGTAGGGATAGGGTTAAGCATAGTGGGAGACCTCAGAAGTGGACTAGTAGTAGTGTTTTGTAACTATTTCTTATAGCTTACAAAGAGGCTCTGCAATATTTCTTCCAGATTCTCCTCTCTTCTCCTCTCCTCTCTCCTATATTTGCAAGGAGAGTGTAGTGGAGTATGACCTAGCTGGTACCGTGCTTTGAATTCAAATATTCCACTCCATTTCTTTTGCATGAATTTCTCTTTGTTCTCATGTGAAAGTTAACCATCATTTGATCTTTGGCAGGCAGTTTCCTTTCCTTTTTTTTTTCTTTTACTCATACTTACAGTTGGTTTCAAACACTAATTAGCATTGTAGTTCATTTTAATAAAAAGCGATAACACTTTTTGTGCAGTCTACAGGCATTTGTTTTGGGCTTCTTCAGGATCCACTGTAGCTTACTTATTTTTCAACAGGAAAATAAGAATAGTTCAACAACTGTACTTTTTCTAGTCTTCAAAATGTGACTTGTTTCTCTGAAAGATAAATAGATTTCAGTCAAAAAGATTTGCAGTTACTAAAATGAAATCTTTATCAAAGTCACATAAAGCAGGTGTAACAAAAGCAGTGGCAACTTTAAAAAAATGACTCTGTTATCATCAGTAGAAATTCTCAAAGATTGAATGTCAAGGATCTTTTGGAGTCCATAATGTTTGATTTATCCTCAGACTTCAGTTTTTAACTCAGGAAACTGTCATAGAATTGAGTCATCAAAAGCTATGAAAACTTAATATTTTTATTGTTAACACTTTATATTTTTTCTTCCTTTTCCTTTTCCTTTTTATTCATTTCTTTTGCAAAAAATACAGAGTAATAAAATATGTCTATATTTGCATTTTTAAAAAAAAATCTATTCTGAATTTGTGTGTTGATATAAACAGTTCATGTTCTTTTTCCAGACTAGTGTCTTCCTACTGTCCTATCTCAAATTATCTGAGGGATTTTAGGTTGTGTCCCATATTTATATTCAATATTATTTGTATATTTTTTACCATGTGTCATGTCTTTATTCTCACATCTTGATTCCCAAGAGATTTCTTCAGTTTGAAACTTACAACCATACTGGTTCTTACTCAAAATACCTGGTTCCTCTTGTTGAGTAATTTACTTATTTAGAGAAAACTGCTTAAACATTCTAATTTCATTGGTACTTTAGATGGCTTTTAACTGTTCAAATTAAAAATGTAAATGATACTAGGTTTTATATCTTTATTGCATAGGTACCATGGACAGGGTATCAGAGTAGATTTGCAGTTGATCCTCGAATCATTACTCATCAAACAGCCATGGCATATAATGTGAATCTTTTACAAGCACATGGACGTGGGTCCCCCATTCCCTATGGTCTTGGACATCATTCACCAGTTAGTATAGGACAACAGCAGCTTCATCATTCAGAGAAAGAACAACTTGAACTAAATCGAAACAGTGAGTTCAGTATCTCTTTTTCTTAAGAGAATAAAGTGAATAAAACTTTTGTTTTAAGTTAAAACCTAACATTAATATGTCTGTTCTAAATGGTACTGAGAAATGTGTTTATGAAAACTGGCTTTTTTTATAAGGAATATATAATCAGTATATTTCATTTACTACCTAGTCAGTGGGATGTGGATAAGGGTTTATTGGTTGGTACAATAACCTCTAGAAGAAAAGTCATTAAACGATAGGAGCATGCTTAGAGTAAAACTGGATTTTGGATGTTCTATTGGCATACTTTCCAAAACATGCCCCAAATGGCCTTACTCATAGGAGAGAGTGCTATATGTGGCACAAGTGCAACTCAGACTAAAAACAGCAGTAATAATTTATTAAAATTGTATGCCACTCAAATCTCAATGATTCTGCCTTACAACAATCAGAGAAATTATAATAAAGTCAATAAAATATAAAATATAAATATAAAAGATGGCAAACATAACAGATCAGATATTTCAAATCATATGTGGCTTTTTGGTTTATAAATGTCTTTTTGGAGACACTCAACTCCATTTAATGACTGCTTTCTCAGACTTTCTCTTTGACTCTTCTCGGTTTATCAGTTCTTGGTAGATGACCAAACTATCTCAGTGTTCTGGTTGGAGGTTACTTGCTTTAAACAATGATTCTCCTCTTTTATTCCTTCATTATGCTTCTCATTGCTGTTTGGATTCTCCATTGTTATTTCCTTCATGGAGGAGCACAGTGGTTGTAATATGCTGCTATTCTTCTATTCTGTTATTCAAGGAAATATTAAACTGGGTTTTCTGGGAAGAAGGCATGCAATATAGTTTACCAGACAAAAGTCCTGGAAACTGCAATATCGTATGGATATTTCAGAGTCCTCCAGACACAGGTGCTGTCTTTTTCTTGTTGAAAAGCACATCAAGTAAGCAATAAATGAATGCAGAATATTCTCTGGTATTTTAAGAGAGCAGAATGGATTTTGCTATTACAGACATTCTTTGGGGCATCAGAAGCTCCTATATATCCAGCACTATCTCTATTATAGTAGATAATGCATTGATGTGAAAAATATATAAATTATCTTAGATAAAAATGAGAAATTGGACTCTATGCTTATGCTTGTAGCTTTATTACCTTTCAATCAGCAGGTTTCAGCTGAAATTGGAAAACAAATCCGACAGATCCATTAGGAAACAATAAGCATAGAATAAGCATAATCTCATTAGCATAAAATCTATTTCAGAGCAAGGCAGCTTTTTAATGCTGAAGGACTGACGACTGTATCAACACTGAAATTGCTCTGATTTCATTTGTGCTGTTTGAGTGACTTTCCTTAAAGCTGTGCTGTTCAAAATCTGCCTCATTAACTGCTTGAAAAGCAGAGTAATTACTGTGTACAGTATTGAGTGCCAAGATGAATTTCCCAATATTGTAGATGTATGAGCTGTCACCTTACTATGCCAGATGATGATGTCCTTCAAAAGTTAATTGGATGCAAACTAGTTCACGGATATAGCCCTGAAAGAAACCTACTTATTTTATTCATGAAGGTTTGGGTAATTCCAGAAACAAATATGGCACCCCATCCTTAATTTCTGTTAAAACCCTGAGAAGTGGGAGAGCATGGAACATGTTAGAAATTCAGTTTCTAAGACTTTTAATAATGTAACTGAAAGAGAATAAAGAAAATGTTGTTAAATTCACTTAACATAATGTTCTGTCTCTGAAGAAAAATAGGATGACTGGACTTGCCTGTGAAAGGTGCTGATACTTTCAATTTATTATAAAATAACCTATTTTCACAAAAGCCAAATTCAATCATGTATTAACTTAATGTGTCATTAAGAAGGAAGACGAGCAATTAAACATTAAAGCTAGCTGTTCTTGTTGGTAGAAAATTACAGTGTGAAGTCATTATTGAATGAAAGATAATTGGTCACAGCAAAAAGGAAAAGAAAACCCTTGAAGAAAAGACTTTGAGGAGCTTTTGTCTTTTAAGAGTTCTCTGACTTTTATCCTGATATGTATGTTGTGCTGCAACCTGCCTATCTTCAGTTATTTAATGGCTGCATTTGGTCTTTAACAAAAAGGACCCAAGACTCTAACCCTAACCCTCACCATGAAGAATTTAGAACAGTTTTGCTGTTTTTGGTAAAATTTGGCTCACATTATCTGAGCCAAGATGGACAGTTAATCTTAACTAAAAGCACAACATATGGCGAGTAGTTGCCTTGTTTCAAATAAGCTACAGCTAAGGTTAACTCCAGCTGGTTGAGTTAATGAAAAACATAAAGGAGAACCCCAAAATCTGGGTGGCCCCAGCAAGAGGCATAGACAGGTGGCAGCTATGATGATTCCAGCTGCAATAAGCAATGTTTTATCATTTTTCATAAATGTAGTTGTTTTAGCTATTCCAAGGGATACCACGGCCAAGAAACTAGCCCTTAGACAGATGGAATTCCTAAACACTCAAATTGATTCAACAATAGGGAAAAAACATACTGACCTTTTCTTTGCAGAAATTGGCTTGAAGAAATCGCCAGTTAAGCTTTCTTTAAAAATGTTATGTTCATCAAAGTTCTGTTTTTCTGAATTAGCTTTTTCTCAGGCAATGCTAATCCTAGGCCTAAAGCCGAGCTGTATAACAGAACTGCCCCAGACCTCCACATCAGTTACTACACTAATTATATTTCCTTTTGGTAGATGCAACATTATCCAGTCGTTTGACAAAACAGGCAATAATTTTTATTGTGCAGGGGACCCAAATTTTAAGAGTCCTGCCCTAACCTAAACTATCAAGGTTAAAAATTCCGTCAGGGTAAATTCTAATAAAAAACATGGAACAATGAAAATCAGCAAGTATGTCATAGGATTAAAAAAAAAAAAACCCTGAAAGTTGGATGGTTTGATATTTGTGTTAACTTTGTTCTTTTAGAAAACTATTGCATTTTAGGTCCTGTGCCTATTTTGAGAAGATGTAGGGCAAACTTCTAATTTACATCTCTACATCAGATAGTTAGGACTGCATTTCTAATGAGAGACTTTTTCAGACAATTACATGAGATTTGTCATTTGGAAAAGCAAGATGAGTGTTAGGCCTACACATGCTTGTGTGAGCCCTGGATTGAGTTTAGGAACAGAAGCTTTTAAAGTTTCCTATTAAAGGCACTCTGAAGTCTTTGGACAACAGTTTGATATGAAGTTATTTAGCAATAGCACTTAGACTTATATATCACTTCATAATGCTTTACAGCACTCTCTGAGGGGTTTACAGAGTCAGCATATTACCTTATTGCTAAATTATTGGTCAGAAGATATGGGATATAATCATGTCAAAGTTGGCTTGTTGAAGTTTATTTGTGTTTGCATAATATATTTTCTTTGCTGTGTAGTTATCTGATCAGCCACTCAACCTCAATCTCAGTATAGATGTTTTGATAGAAAAGCACATAATGTGCTTGCCATACCTTTGGCTGTTGCAAGTATGCAGTTGAAAATTAGTAGTCCCCTACTTAAAAGGATTCATTTATTGACTGTTCAAAGTTACAACATCCCTGAAAAAAGTGACTGATGACTATTTTTCACACTTAGACCGTTGCAGCATCTCCATTGTCACATGATCAACATTCAGATGTTTGGCAACTGACTCATGTTTATAATGGTTGCAGTGTCCCAGGATCATGTGATCACTTTTTGCAATCTTCTGACAAGCAAAATCAACGAGGAAGCCAGATTTACTTAACAACCATATTACTAATTTAACAGCTGTAGTGAATCACTTAACTGGAAAGAAAGGTTGTAAAATGGGGCAAAATTCATACAAATGTTTCACTTAGCAACAAAAATTTGGGGCTCAATTGTGCTCATAAGTCAAGTAGCATAAAATACCTGTATAGCTGCTTATTCCTTTAAAAGAAGGGCTGAGAGAATGGTGATTCATAATTACCTTAAACTTGTGAATTCTGCAAGTTTTAATACGGAGTTAGGTAAAGCAAAATATTTTCATATTCATTCACTGCTGAACTTTTCCGTGTTCTATAACATATTGCACAAATATACATTCATTTCTGAAGATAATTCTCTTAGTCTGACATTTTGAAGATGAATGAATATATCATCATTATCAATCAACATAATGTATGCTGACTGAAGAATAAGAAACAAATGTCATTTGTATGAAATTTTCATAGCTGCTTATTATTTCAGAGGTTAAGTTTTAAAATACCCTTTTGTGAGTAAACCACACAAATTATACCTTCCTATTCTGGCAGCATTTTAAATTTATCTTTATCCGCTGGGGAATGTTTCTGGTTTTATCATTCCATAGTTTTCTGTGGAAATGACTAGAAAATGAATAAAGACATTTATCTTTGAGAGGAGGGTCAGAAAATATCTGAGTAGTGAATCTGATGAAGTATCCAGTTGGCCGTGTGTCTTTGCTTCATAATAGATCTGGCTCATTGATGATTTTCTAGTTACCTTCCTAAATTCAAGATTTAAATTTGGAGCTTTATTTTCCTGTTTTATTTTCCTATGTAGATAACAGGACCCAAAAGACTTTGCACTCCTTTGGATTATCTAAGAGTAGATTATAAATTAGTAATTGGTAATTATCCAGAACTGCTTTGGTCATCTTCAGTCAAGTAGTTCAGGAACAGGAAGTAGATTAAATTTATTTGATCATCTCTTTCATAGTATGTTAAGTAATGTTCTGTACTTGATCTAAAGAAAGAACATTGCAGGCTTGAATCAGCAGTGGTATTTGATTGATCAAATTGCAGTGTAATAAATTGAGACATGAAATGCTTATTTTCTACTCCTTTCTTGTGATCATACCACTAATCACAATTAGCTATAATATTACAACTGAATGAAGAACCATATTAATGACTTCCCAGGAAGCTATTGCATAGAAATCAATTTTAAATCATGGCTTCATTCTCTGGGTTTTGCCCGTGGTTTCTTAGTTTATAAGTAACCAAAAGATCACAGTTTATCTCCTATTGAGCAAAGATTGTTGTACTTTAAAAAGCTCTTGTCTGTTTTTAATTGTTGAGTACAAATTCGGTTATTTAGTCTGGGTAACTGTAAAAATGAATATTATTTATATGGCTATATCTGAGAACAACAATAAATTTTTGCTTCTAATTTGTATGTTTCTTTTATTGTTGATCACAGCTGATAGATAAATATATTTTTTAGATTCGCATTTACTCTTTTACTTTTTTTTTAATTTATTACCTTAACTTGGTTTCCTGCACTATTTTTTCACCTGTATTCTATTTTATACATAGGTATTCTTGTTTTATACAGTAATTTTAAGGTAGTTCAATTGATTGTCAATTTGGAATTATTTTTAGAAGCTGGAAATATTATTTAGTAAAATAAATTATTTAAATTAAGTGAAAAAATATTAATAAAGTAATATCATAAAAATATTTTCTTTTTCTTAACCATCTAATATTTGTCCCTTTGCTCTAAATTTTAAACAATAATATTTTAAATATGATCATCAATGTAAGATTGAAAACACTGATATTTCACATTTCTAGGTTTAATAACTTTCAACTGGGATTTTGGTGGGGTATAATTTAAGTTGAATATTAAAAATGAATTTTATATGAGGTTTCTATATTATTTAGGCAAAAATGAACCTGGTGCTGGACCTGAAATCAGTAAAATTCGGACACCTGAGAAAAACTCTTTAGAAGCCAAACAGGTACGCACATTATTATTTTTTCCTCCTGTGTGATGCCCATGAAACATGGATAATGTAGGTATTGTAAAAATATGGACAACCCAAAAAGAATCAAGATGCAGAATAACTAAGCCCACAGCAATAATGACTATACCTAAATAAAAATAAGTAAAGATCACTCTGTCACTACATAATACAATTCAAATTGTAACACAAAAAAGAAAATGTATTTGTCAAGGCACCATTCAGAGTATAACAAGCTCGCTTCAGTTGGATCCCAGAGAATAACAGCAATTCCTCCCATTTACCTTGTCCCCCTCCCCATTTCATTTTGCTTCCAATGACTTTGAAGCCCCATAATATTATTATTTTGGAACATTTTGGAGATCAGATATATTAGAGGGAAAATACAATTATTTGTGCAAACTCACCTAAGCAATAGTATTAGGAGAAATAATATGGTGAGGTAGTCAACATTTTGGGTTGTTTACAGTAGATAAGAGACTATTCCTAGTAATCAAAGTGAGTACAGGTAATCCTCAACATGCAACCATTCATTTAGTGACTAAAGTTACAATGACACTGAGAAAAGTGACTTATAATCATTTTTCATACTTATGACCGTTGCAGCATCCCCATGGTCACGTGATTAAAATTTGGATGTTTGGCAACTGGCTCATATTTATGACAGTTGCAGTATCCCAAAGTCATGTGTTCAGCTTTTGTGACCTTTTGACAAGCAAAGCCAATGGAGAAGCCAGATTCACTTAACAATTGCAGTCTTACTAACTTAACAGCTGCAGTAATTCGTTTAAGAACTGTGGCAAGAAACATCGTAAACTGGAGCAAAATTCAGTTAACAAACATCTCACTTTGCAATTGAAATGTTAGGCTCAATCGAGGACAACCTGTAATGCCAGTACTACAATTAATCCATTTCAGGAAATTTTGAGAATTTGTTTCAGTAATATTAAATTCAGTAGGGTTTTTTGTTTTTGTTTTTTGTTGTTTTTTTTATACAGCCTGTCTTTCTAGACTATTCATAATAAAAAAAAGCTTGATAGTCAATGCTTTAGCAAAAGCTCAATAGCACTTAATATTCTTTTGAGATATATTTTTTAAAAAGGGAGTATGATCATCAAAGCAAAATGAGTTTTGACTCATTAGCCTATCAGTGCTTATTCATTTAATGAATCTGATCTGTTCACGGGTGATCAAAGTCTATACAAGTTTGGGGTTTAGGTTTTAGGATCATGGTATTGTACATCGTTGTGGCAAAGTATTTGCATGGTTTTATGTTATTCAATTTGAAAACTGAATCATGCAGGAGGAACACATGGGTACAGATATTAGATAATTTCAACATTTTAATTTAATTTAATTTTAAAATCTGCATTTGGATAAAAATTTAAAATTAGCTTCTGGTCGTTGTCCCATTCCCAGTGCTCTCACCCCTTTAAGGAGGAATATTAGGAGGAGTTAATAGGTCAACAAGTCATCAGTAAGAGGGTGATGGAAAGACCCAAAGCAAAGTGAAAAAAGGAGTGGCATTTGCATTACATTGATGTTTTTCTTTAGAAGTGAAAAATTTTAAAAGCTTTATATGGTTCTCTCCCTTTTACTAAATTACTATGATAATTAGGAAGAAGTGAGTAATTTTTTCTGTAATATTTTCTAAAATGGTTTTCAGTAATGAGATCTTAATATTCAGTTTAACAATAGAAATATGAGACCACAAAACTTAGTGCTTCTGTATCTTGTAATAATAGCAATAGCACTTAGACTTATATACCGCTCCACAGTTCTTTTAAAGCCTCTCTTAAGTGGTTTTACAGAGTCAGCATACTGCCCCCCCCAACAATCTGGGTCTTCATAAAATAGTTTTAAAATTGTATTTTGTATACAGCATGTAAAATTTAAAAATTCATATGACATATTTTATAGTAGATTTATATTCATTGGTAAACTATGTTTTCAATTAAGCATATGTTAAAGGAGAATATGTATCTAAGCTTTACAATAGTTTTTCTTCATTCTGGATCTTGTTTTTCCCACCTTCTTTATATATCATATGCTTGAGTTGGTGTTAAAATAATTTGCTGTGTACTTTCATTGCTTAGGGGGGATTTCGTTGTATTCTTAAATGACTTTTAACTCAAATAATTTGTGTAATTTCCTCCAGGTTGACTTAGAAGCAAATCCCCAAAATAGAAGCCCTGAATCGCGTTCCAGTTCTTCTTATCCTAATTCTAAATTTCACCGCAAAGATAATCTTAACCCCAGGCAGCTGAACATTCACCTCACTCCTCCCCAAGCCCAGTACGCTGTTCCTAGCCGCCCCTTCCAGCACTTAGCCCAAATTTCAAGGCATCCATATCCTGTGCCACCGCAACCAAACCTCTTAAGTCAACAGCAGAATCATTTGTCTGAACAACATAACCAAATGCCTCCTCCGCAGAGCCAGATAGTCCAGCAACACAATCATTTAAATCAGCAGCCGCAACCACCATCTTCACAGCTCTCTCCTGCCTTTCCAACTGGCCCCAGCCAGTCTTTCTTTAAAAATCCGGTTCCACATAGACCTCATTCCCCTGGTACAGACACTTCGGTTTTAGAACAGCTCCCTCCATCTGTGCTGCAAGATGTCAGTAGCCCCCTGAGACCCATTGCACAGCCTAACCTCATGATGCCATCCCATTTGAACCACTTCATTGAAGAGAATCCTCCAGGAGTGTCTGTGGGAGAACCATTAGGTAGGTAACCATGGCTACAGGCTAGGGGGTTTAAATTGGGGCAGTCTTGCTTAGGTGAAGAGGAGATGTGTCACGCAAAGAATCATTTTTGGCATATTGTATGTTTGGTATTTTACAGCCATTGTATAGTATTGAAATCCTTTCGGTTTTTGTTTTGCTGATTGAACAAAAATAACTGTTTATTTTTCATTGTTCGGAGAACTGAAGGTCATTTAGTCCACAGCCTTTAACCATGTCACTTCTGCAAGCATTCTTCCTTAATTATCCCATTCTCAGACTATGTGCTATTTCGGGTGTAATGATCTCGGTTTCCTAAACTACAGTAAAAGTTAGGCGTGAGCATTGTGTTCATGTCCTACTCCTAACCCTGTTGTGCCTTCTTATGCAAGCTTTAGTGGCTTGATTTTGGCTACATTATTTCCTTATTGTGTCTTAAAATGGAGCTGCAATCTAATATCAGTTTACTAACCAGGATCTTAAAGAAAGATGAAATCATGGCAGCTAATCTTCCTTAGATGTAAATAAGGGATAAAACCTCTTCAAGACTAACATTCATTTGAGGATTTTAAAAAAAGAGGCAATAAAGTATAATGGTGTGTTTCTTTCAAGTTATTTTTGAAACTGACATTAAATACAGTAAGTTTTCATTTCGATATATGGATCCTAGCTGCTGAAACATTTTTTGGGAGGATAGCACAATTTTAGCAAGGAATGCTAATGCTTGATAGTTTCTCTATGCACATGTATGCACATGTGTGTGTAAAAAAAATGCAGTTTTTAAGCACAAAGCTCTTAAATATAGAAGCTGGGTAATTATTCTCTCCCTTTTGTCTCACCCTCCCCCCCTCCCCCCCGCCTTTTACAGATCGTATTCATGGAAATTTAGCTTTGGAAACCTTAAGGCAACAGCAAGCAAGACTACAGCAATGGAATGAGCATAATGCCTATCTCAGTCAGGGCAATATTTCTTATTCTCATCATCACCACCCTCACTTATCCCACCTTTCTCAGCAGTCCATGGGACTGCATCAGCAGCCAGTCAGGGCAAACTGGAAACTTGCCAACAATATTGAAGACGAAACGGAGGCAACATATTCAAGGTAATTATCATTTGGTAGGAATTACACAACTGCAGGTGGAATATTTTTACTTCCCTTAAAATGCTGGGGTTTGGGGTTGTTTTCTTTTGCCATCATGTGTATATCTCACATGTAGAGTGAAAACTTTGATCTAATGGAATCTCATTTATTGGATTCAGCAGATCAGACTTCTCCCTGGATTCCCCTTCCCAAATATGTCTGGGCGAGGGAGTTAAATTTATGTTAATTTTAACTGTTTGCATCAATTTATGTTATTGGCAAAATGCCATCATTACACAAATGATGTAAATAGCCACAAATGACATTTTGTGATTTAATGGGTATTTAGGACTAATATCCCATTTGGATTGTTAAATCCAGGTTTCGGTATCTGTTGTTTTGTTTGGTTTTTATTTTTATTTTTTTTGTTGCTTACATTTCTGGTTGATCATTTAGTATATTTACAGATGCTAATAATTTTTTTAATGAGTACACACACACACACACACACACACACACACATCTCTCTTTCCTAACATTTATAATTATAAAAACTCTATAAATTAATTTACAATTTTACTCTGGTGATATCTACCTTCGCTGAAGTTTATGCACAGCCTGGATAACGGCACTTTAAAAGAATGTGTGTTGTCCTTCTTGTAATATTACTTGTTAATTGGAGGGTGTTTTATCTCACTTGAGCAATCATTATCTCATTAATCCAGATTCCAGGATTTGCTTCGAGAGCTCTCCCACCGTGATCAAACTGAAAACAGGGACCTCGTTGAAATGCCGCCACCTCAATCAAGACTTTTGCAATATAGACAAGTGCAGCCCAGAAGTCCACCAGCACTCCTCTCTCCTACATGCAACTCAAACCACAGTGGCCACTTTCCTAATTTCTCTGAGAGTAGAGACCTTGAGATCTCTAACAATCCAGCATTTCAGCAGCATTTGCCTCAAATGTACAATCCCCCTTTCTCAGTGCCATCTGAACACCTGACCCCACCTTCCTTGAAATACCTGCAGCCAGATGGATCATGGACCTATGCTAATTTACACCAGAGTCATCTCATGGGGCAAGGCTTTCATTATGGTATACCTCCATTGCCTCATAGATCACAACCGAACCCTTTTATACAAATACAAAATCATCAGCACGCAGTTGGTCAGGAACCATTTCACCCCCTCACTTCACGAGCAGTATCTGCTTCTTCTCTGCATAGCTTAGAAGAGGTAGGTAGTCTGTGGGGGGCAGGGGGGGGGGTTGTATACTTGTGTCTTTTGCCCTGGCGCCCAGTTAAATTTAATTGTGTTGAAGGCAGTGGCAAATCATTTTTGTAGTGTTGGCAAAAAAAAAAAATTGCGAAGAAGTGTACACAGAGTCAGCAGGAGTTGAACTTCACATGGAAAAATCTTTATATTTATTTTGACCTATATAGGTAGTCCTTAACATTCGTTTAGTGACTGTTCAAAATTACAAGGGCACTGAAAAAAGTGACATGACCATTTTTCTCACGATCACATGATATGGTCACATGATCAAAATTCAGATGCTTGGCAACTGGCATGTATATATGATAGTTGCAGTGTCCTGGGGTCACCTTTTGCGACCTGCTGACAAGCAAAGTCAATGGGAAGCCAGACTTACTTAACAACCATGTTACTAACCTAAGAGCTACAGTGATTCACTTAACAACTGTGGCAAGAAAGGTCACAAAATGGGGCAAAATTCACTTAACAAATGTCTTGCTTGGCAATGAAAATGTTGGGCTCAATTGTGGTCATAAGTCGAGGATTACCTGTAATGAGGAGTTCTGCTTAATGATAGCATATACAAGCTGGGGAAAATGGGGCTGGTCATTCTGGTAGTGACTTTGGGCAAAGTTCTATACGTTATTGTTGCTGCTACTGCTGCTTCACTGGAACTGGTTGAGTATCAGGTATTACTGCTTTTTATGCCATTTACCAGATGGGCAAGTTATTTTGAGATACTGAAAATCCAACTTTAGCAATCTGATTTTATTTCTTTTTAAAGTGGTGATTTTGGATATGCTTCTGAATGATAAATTGAGTGTCCAATTTTTTCAAGGGAGCCAGTTTGGTATTATAAGTTAAAGCAGTTGAAACTGGGAGATCGTAAATTCTAGTCTCCCTGTTTTAGGCATTAAAGCCAACTGGGTGACTTAGGGCCAGTCACTCCTTCTTACTCTTAGGAAGGCACTGACAAAATAATTCTGGAAACATGGCCAAGAAAACTGTGGGGACAAAACCTGTCCACATAGTTACCAGGAGTCAAAACTTAATTATAGTTGCTTATACATGAACCTTAGATCTCTATTTTTTTCCACCCCTTAGTGGGTATCTAGCATTTGCCCAAAAATAGGCAAAGCTGGGCAAAAGAGCAAAATAACTACAGTAAGCCCTATTAATTTTACGTTTTTCAAAAACACAGCCAGAGACTAAGAATTATTGTTTGACAGACATTGGAACAAATATCCAGTAAAATCTTTGATTTATGTTTAGTGGGACTCTGAAAATAGTAATGGAAATGTTGCAGATCTTTAATAGTGTTTTTTCTTCTAAAATTCAAAATTCTTTGGGTTGTTTTTTTTAGCAGAATCAGTTGAAAGGTCTCTTTTTAAAGGGAAAGACAAAGCTTTGTTGTTTTATTCATCTATACCATAAAGATGAAGGGTTTCGAATAAATGTATTATTTAAATGGGTAACTGAGGAAAGAATAGACTTAATTAGCTTTTACTCATATTTCACTATAGAACTATAAATATTAGAAAATAGCATGGTTTAACTAATCTGAATATTTATCCCAATACCAATTTTATAATACCTGTTAACCCTTAACACATTTGCTGTGCTATTTTGTTTCATTCAATAACACAATTATAACAATCCATCTTATATCAAGGAACCAGTCAGTTATTTCTTCTTCTCTACTTTTGGAAGCCATGTCTTTAGTGTAGGACAGGCATTGGCGGTAGAAGGCCATCTTAAAATGTAGGTGACATTTTTCTTTTGTATTTTAAAATATGATGATATAATGGAAGAAGAAAAGAAAGGAGATAGCTAAGAAAAAGCCGATTGTTGAGAAAGTGCCAGCTGGGCTGGAAGGAGGGATCAAGCAAGGGCCTAGTTTGGAGTCATTGCGCAACTGCAAGCAGCATAAGCTTGACCCCTCCTTCCAGTTTAGCTGGCACTTTCCCAACACAGATACAGATAGATACCATTGGGAGCTTCTCGCTCCCAGCTCCTGAAGATACTATGATTGATGGAATAGAATAGAATAACAGAGTTGGAAGGGACCTTGGAGCTCTTCTAGTGCAACCCACTGTTCAGGCAGGAAACCCTATAGTATATAGGCTGTTATCGCCCTCTGCAGATGCATAGAGAGAATCTGGAGCCAGGTAAGAAAGAAAAACAGGCCTCCCCCCCCCCAGGCCCTCCGGAGGCAGGAAACAGCCTGTTTCCCTACTTCTGGTAGGCCCAGAAGGCCCAAAAATCAGTTGGTCAGCCCACATGCACGTCAGAGCTGAGCTGGCGTGCCCACTGATATGGCTACGCGTGCCACCTGTGGCATGCATGCCACAGGTTCACCATCACGGCCCTATACCATTTCAGACAAATGGTTGTCCAATCGCTTCTTTAAAACTTCCAGTGTTGGAGCATTCACAACTTCTGGAGGCAAGTTGTTCCACTGATTAATTGTTCTAATTCTAATTAATTGGTGTTGAAGACAGCTGAGAGATCAAGAAAGACCAAGAGAGTTGCATTCCCCCAGCTTGGCCCAGGAGCATGTCATCTATAAGAATGATCAATGGCCTCAGTTCTATATCCAAGCCTGAGGGTGAGCTGAAGGGAATAATCTAAACAGATTTTGATGGGAGCGAAAGTGATCCAAACATATTTGCCTTCCATTCTGAAAACCTCTATTCTGTTAAGAAAATTAGCAGCACTTGTCCGCAGGGCAAAAGACAATGGCACTTTTATTTGTAAACTTCCAGGATTAGCAGACACGTAGCACTGTTTACCTTGCTATGTCCTTACTGCCTTAGAGTATTTTAATACAAGCTTTGAATGCATTTTTTTTGTTCACAGATATGCTTTAATCATAGTGGGACTGTGCAAACAAAGGAGAGGAAATTATAGCAACAGTAGCAGAGGGAGCATCTTGATGAGCTTTAGTGGTTGGGAGATCTATTAACAGTAATTCAGAACAAGGCTAGATATAAAGATGCAAGATATTTATGAGTTATAGGCAATTGATAAAGGCCCTGAGAAATGTACACAATTTCAAATGGTACACTTGTGGCCAGGTTTAAGGACAAACTTATTTAAACACCATCTCAGAGAATCTCTTCAGTAGCAGGAGAAATGCATCCACAGTAGGGATGCATTTGATTAATGGTGGGAAAACGGAGGGAAATTCAAGGAAGAAAAGGGAAGAAAACATGAAGACAGCTTTCTCTTTTTTTCTGAAATCCAAGAGTGCTTTCAAGCAGTGCTTCTTTTTAAAGCTACAATAGCATGAATAAAATCTAACATAATTTAACAGAGAAAGTTTATATTTCTGTATTTTCTTTACTCTATCATTTCCTTCTATTTGGATAGTTCCTTCCCAAGGCTTTTAATAATATTCACAAGGCAGACAGTTGCCATGAACTGAAAGATAGGAAAGAATTACAAATAACGCAACATTCTTTTTCTTGATTAAGAAGTTTGCCCTTCTATCAGCAAACCTCTTTGATTTTTCTGTTCAACCATGAACCTGGCAGATTCACTGCTATTATTATCTCAAGGTTAGCTTCCTTGCTTTCTCATTTATCAACTCCTCATTGAAACTCTGGGCAAGCGTAGAAATAGACCCTTACCAGCCAAGATGGATGGGCTTTCTATTAACCAGTCAAGATGGATGGGCTTTCTGTTCCTGGGTAGCAGATATACAGACTTCCTGTTTCAGGGTTGCTGGTATCAACCAGGCACAGCTAGGTTGCATTTTCACTGACTTGAGGGCATGTGAGCTCCTTTTGAAGCTGACAGTAATTGGTAGATGGAGGGGGCATTTTTCATACAAGGGAAATCATGTGAAAACTAAGGCTAATCAGGAAGAGAAATGGCCTAAGTTTTCTCATCTTTATTTGGGAATATGTAAATATTCTCTCAATGTGCTATTAGATCAGTTACTGTTCTGAAGGGAATTAGACAAGGCTTGGCATTTAAACAGAAATAATTTTTTTAGAAATTAGAATCCTGCATTTGCTGTATATCTTTAAGTTGTCAGATTGGGTGTTCTCTACACCAGGACTCCTATGCAAGGGACTTGTAAAAGGAGGGGCACAGAGACAAAGAAAGTAATTTTATAAATGGAAATCCGTTGGTTGGGAAACACTTTAGTCTGGGAAGTCTTAACTCTGTCATGCTGAGATAAGCCAAATCCTCTAGAGAAAAATAGAGAGAGTAAGATAGTTTTAAAACAGTTCCAACTGTGTTTAACATGGGAATTTGGTTTAAAATGGGAATTTAGTGAACTGGAACCCATAGAGTGGTGTGAAATTAGAAAAGCAAGTTGTGTCAAAGTAGTTTCCTGAACTTCTGCCACAAAGACAAACTTTCTATCCCAGGAGGAGAAGTGCTGGACAGCCTAAATAGCAAGCAACTGCTATATTATGAGTGGTTCAGTCAGGAACTATTACCTATCAGATTGGGCACAAACAAATAACCAATCAGAGATCGGAGACCACTAACCTGTACCAATTGGAAGACAAAATTCCCGGCTATAAAAGCAGAAACTCATTCAGTTTCTGCTTAGGTGCCTGTGGTCTATGTAGCAGATCTCTTTGCCTCTGAGAAGGCCAGCCACAATTTTCCACAAAATGTCAGAAAATCTGTTGACTAGATTTTGGCCACTAAACTCTGAAGCCCAACACCAGTACATATTAGGCATGAAATCCAATTCGGTGACTTTGGCTCAGTCTTGCTCTCTCAGTGCAACTCACCTCGGAGGATTGTTTATCTGGAGAAAGTAGGAGGAGGAAGGATATATTAAGCAGGTTTGCCACCTTGAGTTATTTGTTTTTAAAAAAGGGATAAATAAATAAGATGCCTCCTTTCTAAATGGATCCAATGAAAATACTCACAATAGGCTTATTCTAATTTTAGTACCACCAGTGCTTGAATAGGCTGTAGGAACAGATACTTGGTGCTTAATGAATAAGACAGAATGCTAACTGAGAAACACACTAGGAATAAGCTTTCTATATTAGAAGCAGGACTACATATTGGAACTATTGGCTGTTTCCTAAAATACTGTAGTATTTTCCCCCTTGAATCTTGAATCTACTGATTTAAGCCTGGTACAAAAGTACTTCAAATTTTGGAATTCTAAACCCAGCAAGCGAGTGAAGTTCGACGCTCACACCACAATCTTGGATACACCACACTTCCTTCCTTTCAGTCATGTAATTTGGCGATAATGATGGGGCATTGTTTTGTTACTACTATTGTTAATAATAGGAGAAATTCTAATTGACTATAAAGTACCAAAATACCTATTTATTCAGATAAATCCGTTGTTTGTTGCTGTTTCCATCTATTCCAACACCATTCTATTAACAGTATATTTTCCTTATGGGATATCCACCAGTGTTTTGAAAAAATGATTAGTAAAATGAAGAACCATACTTGTTTGTCTTTCTAAATAGTAATAAACATCTATGTGTTCTCACTTCTTACCTCATCCACAAAGAAAAAAAATAGCATCAATTGAGCTTCTTCTTTAACAAATAATATGTGTTTGTGTTTCTGTGTTATATTCTATTCAACTTCTTTGCAGTTTTGGTAGTGTTCTTAAAATAATGAATTATGAGTTGTTGCTCTTTTCAGTGAAACTTGCATAATGATGGCATTTCTTAATTCCTGGTTATATTCATTAAGTATAACCATTAAAATATTCAGGGTAATGCACCTAAATATAAAAATAACATTTTGCATATTATGATGCATGGTATCACATGCAGAGAGCTTTTTGTGACCCCAGATTATATCTGCAGTTTTTGAATCCAAATATATTCTCCTCAAACTTCTTCCCCTCCTTTCCTTTGTTGTCTTTATTTTATTTGTTTTATCTCTGGTAGAACAGAGCAATAGTTCAAAAAGAAAAGAAGAGAAAAGGCTTGGTGTAAACATAACATGTATCGCAAAACAGGTTTATATAGACTGTGTGTTATGGACAACCTAAACTTTATTTTCAGGGGATGAATTACACCAATATTATGAGTCAGTGGTATCAGAAAAGGACAAATTACAGCTGGCAAATATTTCATATAATTGCCCTGCAGAGGAAATTTTGTAGAAGACAAGCTTAGATGTAAACAACATACAATAACTAAAAGTTCAAAGTGAAAAATTAGGAATCAGAAGGGACTTCTAAAGAGATAAAGTCAGTAGCACCATGTAATACAATTAACTGTTATGAAAGAAGGCTGGATCTGAAATTACTTTAAAAAGTGATTTAATTCTTTCAATAATATTATATATCTGTAATTATACAGATATATAAAAATGGGAGAGTTTTGAGTGCAATATTTATCTCCCTATTCTCATAACAGGATGGTGAATGTGAAGAATAGGATGTTTTTGTGTTAGTGAATAAAATCACACCAAGTAAAATATACATGTTTATTTTGAGGGCAGTTTCAGAATATGCGTATTGATACTCAGATGGGATATTTAATACAGACCTGTCTGCAAGTGATTGTCTTCTTTCATGCAGTATGAACCAAGAGGACCTGGCAGGCCATTGTACCAAAGAAGAATGTCATCTAGTTCAACCCAGGCTTGTTCTGAAGGTTTAAATACTCCTCCAGATAATGTTGGACAGTGTCAAGAGCTTCAGGACCAGAGTAACCCCTCCTCTTTCAATTATTCACCCCCCGAATGGTGGGTCAACTCTTCTTCATCAGCCCCCTATCAGAACATTCCATGCAACGGATCCAACAGAGCAATCCCACCAAGAGAACAGTTAGGTGAGTGAGTGTTACTTTCTTGTCCCTTTAAACCAGGGGTGGGCATCTGTGGCCCCTTTAATCATGATGCTGACTCAGGAATTCTGGGAGTTGAAGTCACAAAATCTTGAGGTGTGTATGCTATGTATCCTTGTTTGCTCATTTACTCATTCTGATTGTGCATGGTTAGAGTACACCAATGATGTGTTTTTAATCTTGGCCTTAAAAGTGCAGTATATTCTTAAACTATTTTGGCTATCTTTATAAAACCAACTGAATAACAATTTCAATAGGCTTTGTAAAGATCGCCCAAATTCTTTCAAGTTAAAATGTCTTACAGGACTGGAAGCATTTGACAAATTCCTGCATTCTTGTATTCAGCTTTTAAGTAATGCTCTTTGTATATCTTTGGGAACGGAAACCTGAGAAGTAGCTTTCCAATCTGTTTGTGATCAGTTAAAGTTAAAATGACGGTGGTCATGGCCATGGTGGTTGTGATGATGATGATGATGTTCTTTTCTTTCTAGTTCCTCCGAAGACTATCAAATCCCCCGAGGAACAGATGAAGGTTGAAAACATCCCGTTGTCCAGTTCTTTTAACTACAATGTACTCCAGCATCTGGGCCAGTTCCCACCCCTCATGCCCAACAAGCAGATTGTGGAATCCAACAGCAACAGCCAGCCCAATGCTGGGTTGAACAAACCTGCCATGTCCTACGCAAGTGCTCTGAGGGCTCCTCCCAAACCCAGACCCCCTCCTGAGCAGGCAAAAAAGAATAGTGATCCCTTGTCTCTGTTTCAGGAACTTAGCCTAGGTAGTTCATCAGGTAGCAATGGCTTCTACTCCTATTTTAAATAATCAGACTATTTTTGTAGAGACATTTTAATTTTTATTTCTGTGAGTAGATTTAAAATAGCTGGGGCTGCACCTGCAGGCACCATCGTTTCTCTCTGTTTATATTAGTAAATATATTTTGGTTTAATGGCTTTGCTGCTAGACTTGAAGCTAATTCTTTTTAAATTATATTCCACTATTTTACTTTCTTTTTGATGTGGGTCAGAAGTTTGAGAAAAAAAAATCCCTAGAAAAAAAAAACTTTTAAAAATTATGTAACTTTATCTATGTGTTGCATTAAAGCTAGCAGCTGAAAAGTTAACTGTGCAACTTTAAAAAAAATATATAAACATTAAAAAAAAAGTTGTCTAAATTGTATTTAAAAATGTAAGTAGCATTTACATTTATTCAATAACATTTAGCATACTGTGCTGGGTTTCTGTACCAGAAATGGCCAGTTAATGTACAAATGTATGTTATGTCTGCTTAAATTGTTTATTTTTTTTTTAAATAAAGATGCAGCATCTTATATTTACATTCAGTTTTATCAGATTTCTGTGAAGGGATGCTGCATTCTAAGACTTTTATAGTTTTAGAATCTGTATGATGTGGTTATAGTAATTTCCTTTCTAGGATGAAGTGAAGGCCTTTGCTGCAGACCCAGATACTACTCTTTTGCAATTAAACAAAAAATTAGTGGTCAACCTAAAGATGAACAATTCATGTTGTTGTTGTTTTGACAAGCTACTCATTCAGCTTGTTGGAGGGATTAATTTAATAGGTTTTTAAACAGAAATCATGAATTGACAAAAATTGATATATTGGGTGCTTAGTAGTTGAATAGCTATTTTAAAAAAATCCAATTGAATGAACTTAAGAAAAATAATTGAATCCCCCTCCCAACTATGCACGTTAAATGTTTGTAATTTAGTTTCTTCCCCTCTGATTTTTCCAGTGGTATGAGTATTGTGCCACTTTAAGGGTTTTTCTTCTTTTTTCCATCAAAAGATTTTGGTACATGATTTGATGTTTACCTTAAATGTGACATTATCCACAAATATTCAAATATTTTGCTAACTGTTTTGTTTGAGGAACTTCATTAAAGAAGATTTTTATGTTTGCCAAAGCTGTATCCAAATTAATCCCAGCCTTGGGGAAGAAGAGTTGTGGGGAAGGTTTGGGGAAGCAGTATGAATGACGTGGTTATTTATATTCTTGTATCTTCTGTCAAGGCCTTTTGCCACTATATATTGAAAGAAAAATCTATAAAAGACTGTACAGCAATATGTTACAAAATTTGGGGGAAGAATTAGGGTAACCTTTACCTTTACGATTTTGGTCTTGTACACTGTTCATACTTTTGAAAGAAATCTTTTTTAACTTCAACGGAGGCATGGCCTCCTTTACACTTGAAAAGATCTCTTTGATCAGGGACAATTAATTTTTATCAACTATTTATTTTGATTTCCCATTATAAGCGATATTTTCAAAAATATAGTTTTAAAGTTTCTTCCCACGACTGTTTAAAACTGGGCTTCATTTACAGGGATGTTTGTTTTTGCTTTGTCGAGCTACTGTATTTGCTGCTGTATCAAATCTAATATTTGCTTTGGTTTCAGTCCCTTCATACCTGTTGGATTTTATACGTTGTGATGGTGACATCTCGGTTTGACTGAAATCTGTGTCACTTTTTTCTTATTGATTTCAGATAACTAAGGAACTTTCTATAAAAGATATGCATACTAACTTAATGTGCTGCAATATTTTAATGGCTGCTGGGCTCAGAAATGGGTGAAGCTAAATAAAGCTGTTATAAAACCAAACAAAATGAAAGCAGAAGATTCTGCTCAATTTTATTTAGTACCCCAAGGACTCATTCAGGATGTAAGCATGAAGTTAGTCAGATCACTCTGTCCTCAGTTGACATAAACCAGGATTTATTTAGTCCCACTTAAATATCTGAAGTTATTTCTGTTGATTCTCTGTCCTGCCCTGACTATCACTGATGAATGTTGAGGACAATTGACCTACTGAAGAATAAATAGGAACACGTAGAAAGGTATAGTAGTTGGTTGCTTATAGCACAAATACATACACTTTCAATTTAGCACTCTGAAATCACAGAGTTCAAATTCACACACTTAATAGTCTTATTATTCCCTTCACCTGGACTGAATCTAAATAAATACTGCTTGGTCAATTATTTTCATCTGTGAGTTAGTGAAATTAGGAAGAAGGTGCAGTCTTCAATCTATTTAATCTATATCATAACTTTTCTCAAGTTATAACATATATATCATATGTATATGATGCATATATATATATCATATATATAAAAGAGTTATATCATAACTCTTTTCTCAAGAGTTAATAGGGAATTAATAAGCTGTGGAGTACAACATGTTATGGCATCTATGTAGATCTGCAGTAAGGTACTTTCTGAGTTTTCACTCAGTATTTTAGTGTTAGCAATTTCAAAGAAAATGTGCATGAAAGCTCCACATTTTTGCAATTTGGTTCCCATTTGTATTGGGTCATAGAAAAATTCTCATAGTCTGTGTTCAGACTGCTAGTTTGTTATGCTAGTTTGTAATATTGGAGACATTTTACTTTTAAGAGCAGATCACCACATTCTTTCTGATTTGAGCCATGATGGATCTTGATTTTTCAGATTAGTGGATTATACCATTACCATAATAAAAGGCATACATAATTAGTGTAACATCTGATTATCCTGATTATTGAGAACACATTGTTAGAGCTATTCTATATTTACGTCTCTGAATCTTATTATTCGAATTATATAATTTTTGTAAAAACCCTTTTTTCCCACTTCAAAGAAGGTTTTCTTCATTATTTCATTTCACAATAACTTTATCATTGTAGGAACAAATTTACTTTAGGAGCATGTCATATATCACATAGAAGTTTATTTCATTAGCAAAAAAAGTTTACATTTAAAAATATAACACTTAAAGTTGGTACTGTATAAAGAAAAGAGCTGATAAACTTTGATACGTGAACAATGTTGATTCACATTACAATTGAACAGCTAGTTAGAATAATAAATGAATTTCTTTTACATGAAGGATTCATTTTGCAGGAAGTATCCAGTCTTGTAAATTCAAAAATACAAAACTGAAAATTGCTTACTATGACTTGAAGCTTAAAAATTAGATGGTTCTTGAAGACAATTTGTCAACATATATTTGTAACACTCAATTCTCATCATGTGTGTGTGTGTGTGTGTGTAGATTCCATGTTCAGAAGTTATGATATTAGTTGTTGATGTTACAAACCCTGACCGTATCTGAGGGTGCATCTAAGATCCATTCCAATCAATGTATTCTCAGTGACTTTAGGTCTATTTTCTAACATAAAACAGGACATACATTTTCCCCTATAAAATTTAAGTAAAGTAGAAAAAGTAGTGGTTCAAAAGTCCATTGACTTGAGTGTCCCAGCAGATGGCAGTTTTCTATGACTCCTATTTTTTTTTTTTTTTTCTGTGAAAGGACATCTATTAAAAGGCCCACACCTTTTGGGAGAATTCCTGCCTGTTCTACAGGGGATCCCAACTTTGGTTTCTGAAATGCTTATGTGTCTATTCAGCCTGAAGTCTAGCGATCAGTACTTGTTGGAGGTGACAATGCAGAAGCATGCAAGGATTCCCAGGATAATCATCATGCCATTTTAATTTTAGTTGTTTTGCTATCCAGTGTCCTTTGAAGCTGAAGCAGTCTTGAAATACTGTTAATAAACATCTTTTCAGAACTTGTGAAAAGTGACCCTGAGTTATGAAACTTCAAAATTAGAGGTAAAGAGTATTTAGAACATCAAAGGGTAAAGAGGAATAAAAGGTCATAGGTTTGAGAATGTATTTTTCATGTATTCTTAATTTAGGTGCCAAAATACACTCAAAAATTCAGTTCGGCTCATCCACAGATGGGCTTATCTGCAAGGATGCATGATAACAATGCTTTTTAAAGTACCTCTATATCCCATATATGGAATACTTGAGGATAACTCTATCTGTGGTCCTCAAATTTTTCATCAAATGCCATGAAAAATTGATAATCTGTAGGTTACCCATGGATAAGACAGCCCTGAGAATTAAAATATATGAAAATGTCCAGAATTGGCTGATCCACAGCTGGCATATTTTTAATGGTATTCTTGTTTTTAAAAAATTGAGGATTGGCTTATTTGCAGATGGGTTTATACACAAGTATATACTGTGTTTGGGGAATTCATTTGGGAACAATTCTGATCCAAGCCAGTTTATGTCAAAAAGCAAGAATTTTCAAGGGCACAGAATTTTACAAATTCTATTTGTAAAATAGAATTACCCTTGGTTTTGCCCAATAAGAACCATATGTTTTAAAGTGGAGGCAGTTTTATCGTTTTTCTTTCCTGTTTTGTTCTGTATGTGTATGTGTGTTTCAAAGTACATTAAGTCTATTAATTCCTTTCTACGTTCTCTTTTACTGATTTCCAATGGAAATCATTCCATCATTCAGCTGCTTGCGGGGGTGGGGGGGAGCTACAAGGGAAGTGCCTAGGATTTGCACATCCACAGATTGCCCACCTCTCCTCTAAGATGATGATCAATGTCAGTGCATCAGCCAAGCTAAGTCTATTACACCATAAACTAGCAGGAACCAGTGTGACTTGATACATTCATCAGTATACGGAATTGCAATATTTGCTGAAGAAATCTATTCTCCCTGTAGATTTGCTACATGTTCCTGATCTTGAAGACCCTGGAAATATTCTATTTAAATAAAATGTGAATTGGTTACAGTTTGTGTTAACTGTTTTAATCCTAGTAGCGAATGCATAAGAAAGTGTGTGTGCATTGGAGACCTGGTGAGGAAAAAAAAGGTTACCTGGCACAATGCTGCAGGTTTAGTAGAGTTACTTTGCACATTGATCCAAGTGACAATGAATTGGGAAGGAAAAATGAGTATGGGCAGATTGGAGTAATACATAAAGAGAATATTAGACTTGCCTCATATCCCATTCAATCCCAATGGAAGTATTCCTGCTTACTCATCCTGTCCAAATAGGCCTTTTGTTTATTACCTCATGCAAGTCTGAATAGTCTGAATAGCTTTGCTGCAGATACTTATTTATCCTTCTTTACACTATATTAACTACCTATTTTACTATCCATATTTATGTAGAAAGGCGCTACTTCTAGTCCAAGATACAATCACATAATATTTGCTGAGAGACATTGATGTAACACCACATGGTATATTAACAGACATCTATATGCATGTTTTAAAGCAACGTTTTTCCCCTTCCCAAAATCTCCCTGCTCTTTTCTCCCTTGCAGCCTGCCACTGCTGAGTGCCCAGAGACATTCTTTTCTAAGGTTAAACATAGGTGGGTGTTAATGAATCCCACAAAATGGTTGCATTGTATTCAAATTCACACTGTTTAAAGTGATATTTCTATGAAAAATGTGGTAATTGGTTCCAGCTTGATGAAAATAGGTAATGTGTACTAATGAAATATTATGGCAAAGGATAAAAAGCATATACTTACTATTTAAATTTATGGTTAACAGAATCCCAGAGTAGTTTTAGAAAACAAAAGCAAAGAAAATAAAAATCTGCCAAACATCCAGGAAATCCAACATCCTATTTTAGCCTTGCCAATGCCACATTCAAGTTGCTCAATTGTATCGTTTTTTTGCTGCAATGTAATACTACCTCTTTTCAAAACTTGCGCTATTTCCACTTACGAAATCTTTTTCTCCTTTTTGCACACATAAAGATTAGCAGTATCTAAAACCACAATTGTGCATGCCCTTGCCTCATTTGCCCATGTGCTAGCCTTGTATTAACTGAATTTTAGGGCACGTTCAATGCAACTTGGTATCATCATACAATTCTCACCAAATCAAATATTGCATTAGTCAAACTCACATTAATCACAACCTTCAATAATAACAATGAACCCTTAGTCAACTTGTGCAGAATCTTCCATGTCAGCCTTTACACAGACCAGATTTGCTCATTTCCCTTAAAGTAGAACTATGTTTGTTAAACACCCCATGGGGGCTTGGTTCTACATTTTGTGCTAAGCCATGATGGGTGGGCTCCCACTTCACAAAAGGCCAAGACCAAGCAATGGTTAAACAGCATGACTAATAATATTTATTTTGCCCAAGTCATCGATCTCTATGAAGTTGCCATAAAAGAACTATTTGAAAATTAAAACTTTAAATCATTTAAAACTTGCATATATGTCTGTGGCAAAGTTTAAGCAACCAGTAAGCTTTAAAGTAATAATTTGGGCTTACGCAGATTCCAAAAGATTTGAACTTTCGTAATTACAAATCAAAAAGATACCTTGTACTGTATGAAGCTAACTCAAGACATAGTAGTTGATGTATAGAACCTATACAGAAGCAATATTTTACATACAACTTACAGATAAATAGGGAAAGAGCCAAGCACAGAATTGGGAATGGACCTTGGGAATATGAATCTCAACACACAAGCCATTGGAGAAAAGATGACACAAATTTTGTCATGCCCCACAACACCCATCCAGGGAGTATTGGTACTGCTCAGTGTCTCAGTACAGAAGTGTAAGTAGAGAAATTGCCACAGGAGTGAGCTACCAACTAGCTCTACAGGACAGATGCTGGTTGGTTGGTTGCACATTATGTAGTAAGTTGTAGCTTGGGATGTGCCATTCATGCAAATCTTGGGAGTCCCTTGGGAATTGGGTGGCATAGAAATGTGATAAATTAAATTAAATTCAATCTTTACAAGTTTCTGCTCAATTTTTAACCCTAACCCTAACCCTTTGTCTAA